ACCTTGTTATATATATATATATATATATATATATATATATTTGGTGAGAGACCGTGCACGTGGTTTGACGTCCGAGCTGCTTTATCGATGCGAAAAATCTTTTTGGGCTTTGCACACAATCGTTCACCGGGGAAGGCGGCAAGCACGTGTAAGGTTTTTCTTTTTCTTTCTTTCACTTCTTCTTCTTTTTTAAACTTTTATTTTCCATAGTTACTGCTGTTTTGTGCGTGTGCGTGCGTGGTGTTACTGCGTAGGTTCATGTATCCGTTTCTCCTGAAAGCTGCGTTACCTTGTCTTCTTCCTTTTATTATTATTGGCCACGTCATGACCCCGTTTGCACGGCAGTTTGGTGCGTGGTGTTATTCATGGCGGCGCGATGAACGAAAGGTGCGGAATATGCAAAAAAAAAGTGGAAAGAAAAAGAAAATAGTTGTAACGAAAGATGACCGACAAAACCACAGCCCACTCAGTGAGTGAAATGCGTGACGCGGCCAATTCCGCAAACTGCAACAACCACCAAAAAGAAAAGAGACTCATTTGGACCCGTCTTCTCTTTTTTTTTCCCAATCAGCTTTGTTTTTGTTTGATTTGTTTTTCTTTTGTTGTCGTTTTCAATCTTTTAAAAAATATTTTTCTTCTTCTTTGAGCATGTGTGTCATGTGCAAATTGCCATCTTTTCCACCAAAAAATGCTCTCTTTTTTTTTTGTTTTCTTTTGAACGGAAGTTGCCTGAAATCGCGCATCGTTTGCGCGCGTCTCCCCTACCGGATACAGTTGTACCATATCATCTCTGGCGGACAGTAAACGTGGTACGGCATTCGCCCAGTTGTATGCTGATGGCCCTTTTTCTGTTTCTTATTATTATTGCCTTTGTCGCTGGCTTTTCTTCGCGCTTTCATGCTTGTCCGTTTCCCTCTTCTTCTGCAGTTTTGTCAAGAGCTGGCAGAACGGGAGAAGTGCCCTCCTTTCATTTTTTTCCTTTTTGAGGAGCGAAAATAAAGTAGCTCCTGGTGCGCAAAAGAGCTGCGGGCCCTTGAGCTTTCGCAAATGAAGGGACTGCGCGCCATATCAGTCTATCTATTTACCTACCTCTCTAAATAAGGTTCATTCAAGTGGAAACTTTGAAAAAAAGTGGAAGGCGTAACTACTTCTCGTGTGCTTCAGCGGTTTTTCTTTTCTTCTTGTGTCTGTTTATTTGTCCATCTTTGTCAATGTGTGAAAATGAAATCTTATTTTCCCCCTGTTCTCTTTCGCAACTAGTCTGTGTTTAGTTTTTCTGAACCCGAAAGTTAGTGTAACAGCACACACGAAACCAATGAAATAAACACGGAACAAACGCGCTTCCATCTTTCTTTGATGGGGGCGAGATAGCGAAGAAGCAGCTGCGGTTCTTTATTTTCGGTTCGACAGCAGCAGCAGCAGCAAGTGAACAGCATCAGAAGATGTCGTGTCATGAGTATTCGTGCGCGCCTTCCAACGCGACGCTAAGATGCACACGCTCCGCACTACTGCAATGTCGACGACACCGGAAAAGGAGAGAAACGCCACACACAGAGTCCAAAAAACAAAAGCAGTAGAACAACAGCGCAGGAGCAGACCTGCCAGCTCCGGAGACAACAAGGTACTTCGCACCATTGTGTGTGATTGTGCATGTGCTTACTTCGTCTGTCAGCTCTAGATATTCTCATGAGTAGTATGCAAGCTTTCCTTCTTTGCGCACTTGTCGCGCTGTCCTCGGCTACCTCCTCCTCGTTTCACATCGACGTTTTTACTCCCACAAATTGGTATTTTCCTCCGTCTTATTCGTGTTGTAATGGTCACGCTTCTTTGTTTATCTATCGATGTATGTAACTGGTCGCAACACTGTGTCACCAACGGTAGTCTGTGAAAGAGTTCCATTTGTTTCATTTTTTCACTTTTTCTCCCTTTTTCTTCTTCCCACCCGCTGAGTTTTCTTACAGTGCCGTGTTCGCCCCAAACTGACGAGAACGAATTATAAAAAGAAAGGGAAAAACCGTCGTGCGTTGCTTTCCTGGCTCTGCTGTGCGGTCCCTTATTCCTCCCTCTTTTTTTTCCCCCGCTCTTGAGGTTTTCTGGCTCTGTGCGAGCCCACGTCTTCTAAGAGAAGGAAGGAAGCACACCCACCCGCCTAGCCAAGCAGCGCGACGCGGTAGGCAACGATGATGAACGTCGGTGTACCTCCTCCGGGCTTCTACGGCCAGCCGGGCGTGACGCCGCAAAACGGCCCCGTAGCCGCTGTCGCCGCATCGCACAGCCCTTACCCCTCTGCGCAGGGAAAGCCAAACCAGCCAATACAGCAAGAGATGATGGCGCCGCTCCAGCAGCAGCAGCAACAACTGCAAGGGAAGCCGAATGGGGGGTCCGCAGCCAGACATGCGAACGGAGAACGGCGACGCGGTGCCGCGCGCGAACTACGACGCCAACTCGCAGAAGGCGACGTATGCGAAGCGCGTCCGACGCGGCGAGGATCCGAAGCCAACGGCGCACTCCGGCGTGCAGATCGCCAATCGACCCGTCGCAGCCGCTGCGGATCCGCAGCGGGTGAACAGCAACCTGGCCGGTGACGGCCCCGCCTTTGCGCGTGCGGTCGCGGAGCCGGCGCATTACTCCTTCAACGTCGACCACAGCTCCTTTGCGCGTGATGCGTACCGCAGTGGCGCGCTCCGGGCCGGCTCCTACCACGGCTCCATGTACAGTGGCATGGGCATGAACCCATTGATGGGGTCCATGATGATGGGGGGCGGACCCATGGGTTCGATGTACGGCATGGGCAGCATGTACGGCATGGGGATGACGCGGCCCGCCTCACTCTTCGGCTCCCTGTACGGCATGGGTGGTCCGATGGGCTCCATGTACGGCATGAATCCGATGATGGGTGGGTCGATGTACGGCATGAATCCCATGATGATAGGCTCCATGTACGGGATGGGCGGTGGAATGGGTTCGATGTACGGCATGGGCCCCCCGATGGGCGGGTCCATGATGGGGCTGATGGGCGGCTCCATGTACGGCGGCATGCCCGGCGGCGGTGGCAGCCAGTTCGGCCCGAACGGCTACGGCAGCGTCTACGGTAACCAGAACGGCAGTATGGGCGGCGGTAATGGCGGTTCGCAGTACAACGGCGTGGGCGGCGCACCGAGGGGGTACGAGGCCGCAAACGGCACCGGACCGACCGGTGTGAACGGCGCTGGGGCGGCGCGGGGCCCCGCCGGCGTGGGTGCTGTGTCACCCGGGCATCCCAACAACTCTGCCGGTGCTGGTGCCACCGGCGTGTCCCCATCGCAGGCAACTGAAGCCAGACAACAGCAACCGCTGCCGGATGCCAAATCCGCTCCGCTGACCCCGCAGCCCAACCTGGCCACCATGCCCGCCGCGGGGAACGTGGGCTCTGGCGCGGCGCAGGGCAGCGAACGGAGGAGCGGCATGGTGGGCATGTTGGTGCTCGCCGCCGCGGCGGATCCGGACGAGACGGTGGAGCTGCCGGGCGGCGCTGCGAGTGCGCTGACGCCGCAGGAAGTTTTCCGAACCGGCCCCGACGCCGAGTCCACGGCGACGGCCGTGAAGGAGTCGCCGCTCTGCCAGCCCATCTTCACCAGCGTCGGCAGCGGCCACAACGCGGCTGTGCTCATCGCCACAGATGACACGTCCGAGTCGCGCGCCGCGTCAGCTGCGGTTGTGCGGACGATGCTGGCGGAGGTCGTCGGCGTGATGGAGCGAGCGGCGTCGGCAAATGGGGAGCTAGGCTACTACGACGCGCGCATCTCGGTCTGCGTGCTGAACAACGCGAAGGAGGCGGTGGATATGGTGGCCGGCGGCGCGACCAAGACGCCAGAGGTGGGCTCGCACCCCGTCTTCGGCGCCGCCTTCTTGAACATGGACACTATCACGGTGCAGAACTCTGCGACGCACTTGCCGAAGGTGGACGCGGTCATCACGATGGCCTGCAACACGCCGAGCGCGCCGGTCATCGTCGTCGACGCGGTGGTGAAGCAGGTGCGGCCCTCGCAGAAGGGCGAGAACCCCAGCGACGTGCTCCTTTCGTCGGTGCTCTTCCTCATCAGCAACATGTCGGTGGGCCCGACGACCTTCTTCGAGTCCCTCCGCAGCGACGGCTTTGTGCCGCCGGCCATTACGAAGAGCTGTGTCGGTGGCGCCTGCTGCACCGTGGCGGTGCTCTGCATGCCAACATGCAGCGAGCCCTCCAGTGCGCAGACGGCGCTGGCCTCGCTGCGCAGCATCCGCGCCGTGCAGAACTCGGCGCCCCGCAGCGGTAACATCGCCCGCTTCATCACCTTCGCCACAGGCGAGAACGACAAGCTGCGGCAGAAGCCGGACGTGGACCCGGCGGTGCTGGCGAAGGTAGACACGATGCTGGCGGATGGGCGGGCCATGCTGGCCGATCCGCGGAACGCCGTCCCAGTCGCCTACCCGAGCTCGCAGCGGCCGCAGGAGCGCCCCGTACAGACTCCGCAACTCACCTCGCGCGACATCGACGCACACGCGACGGAGAAGGGCCGTGACGTGGCAAACCCGGTGCGCGTGGTGGTGATCGCCAGCCCGTCCGCGTCGAATGGGCTGCCGCCCACGTTTGCGATGGGGGCGGACAACAAGTCGATTGTCGACGTCGCGACGAACGCGTCGGCGCCGGCGATGGAGGTGGTGGTGCGGGCGCCGGAGGACTGGCGCGGCAGTGCGACCGCCAAGCAGGTGAACGAAGTGCAGACGCTCTTCCAAAACGGCAACAACACGGCGATCATCGGCAACGTCTCGCCAAACGAGGTGAACCAGCTGGACAAGCAGCCGCTCTGGCTGTCCTACAAACGAATGGTGTCCTCTTTGCTCAGTGTCGCGTCTCAGAAGTACAAGTCTGCGGAGGTGAGTCTGAGCGTCGTCCTCGTCAGCGGTAACGAGATGCTCGCGGATTTGCTCACAGGGATGGACGCCGCAACGCCGGCGCCGCAGGTGCCGCAGAGGCTGTCCGTCGCCTACTCCCCCCTGTTCGGCCCCACCGTGTACAAGGCCACCATTATTAAGCAACCCACTCCGTTGCAGCTTGAGTCTACGATCAACGGCGCCCTCTACCACGTGCCGGCGATCCTGGAGCAGTACCCGGGCAAGAAGACGCTCATCGTCGCTTCCGCCGTGATGAAAGGCGTGACGGGCAGCGACGTGTACACGAGCTCCATGCTGGCCGCCAGTGCGATGGACCCAACGCTCTTCCTCAACATCCTCGACAAAAAGCCGGACGTGCCGCACGACCTCTTCGAGTACGCCTTTGGCGGGCCGTGCTGCACGCTGTTCCTGGCGGATGTCATCCAGGGCGACCCCGACGTGGCGCCGCTGATCGAGCTGATGCGGCGCCTCGGCGCAACGCAGAACCGCAGCGTGCGCATTTGCAGCGTAAAGAAGTTCATCGCCTTTGCGGAGGAGAGTCTGCGCAAGGCGGACGCCAAGGCGGCAGCGGCGAAGTCGGACACAGAGCGCGACTCCATCTTGCGCAGCAAGAAGAGCATGGAGGTCTTCTACAACGAGTACAAAACTCTCATCGAGGATCCGGAGCACCACGACCCGAAGACGTATCGCCGCAGCGGTGGTGGCGGCCTCAGCAGCGGTGGCTCCGGCATGATCGCCCCAGCAGCCTCCGGTAGCGCAGCGCCAACAGCGTCGACAGGGCGGACACGCAGCGGAAATGCACTGACAAGTGGGTCACGCGGCATCGCGACGCCTGGAAAAGAGGGCAGCGGACGGGTAAGCTCGAGTGGCCACCGCAGGGACCGGAAGGACGGTGATGCGATCTCCAGCGGAAGTCGACGCAGCGGCTCCAGTCATCGCAGCGGCTCCAGTCATCGCAGCGGCTCCGGCAAGTCGAAGGACAAATCGTCCTCCAAGAAGCCGACGGACAAGAAGCGCGACGATAAGAAACGACCGAGCAGCAGCGGTAAGGGGGCCGATGCAGGGTCGCGTAGCAGCAGCCGCAGCGGTGGATCGAGCCGTCACAGCAGCGGCTCACACCGCAGCAGCAGCAGTGGCGCCAAACGAAGTAGCAGTGGAAACAGCGGTGCCAAGCGTGCCGGAAGCGCTAGCGGCGCCAAACACAGCAACGGAAGCGGTAGCGGTGCCCATCGTAGCAGCAGCAGTGGCGCCAAACGAAGTAGCAGTGGAAGCAGCGGTGCAAAGCGTGCCGGAAGCGGCAGCGGTGCCAACCGCAGTGGAAGTGGCTCGCACCACCACCACAACCGCTCTTCTTCGTCCAAATCGAGGTAGGCTGCCACTGCAACGGAGTCGTGTCTTCGACTTTCCTTATCCTTCCTTCTTGGGATCCGCTTGCAGACACGACTTGTGAGGCGGCCTACTTCACTCGGCACCTCTTATTATTATTATTATTACTGTGTTCATTTTGCGCTTCATTTTCGTATTACTGTTTTCTCTTTTTGCTGTGTGCGTCTGCTGTTGTTTTTCAAACGGTGCTCACGCTCCGTCGCGCCCCCTTTCGTGCTTCCTTCTTCTTTTCTTTCCCCCCTTTGCAACAGTTGCTTTCTGGTAAACGTGCGACGCATAGCGCAATGCAGCACCGGTTGTTTTCTTCATAGTATCTCTTTACCTCCTCCCTCCCAAATTATGACAAACGTTTATGTGCTACTGTTTTCTTCTTTCACCTTCCTTCGTCTTCTTTTTTTTTGTTCTTGTTGGTTACAGAGGAGGCGGGTAAAGAACACATCACGGAGGTGGTGCTGCCGTGCTCTCCAAACATGTTCTTCTTATATTCGTGTTATATTACGGCTCCCCCTCTTCTTTTCTTCTCCCTTTTCCTGAAGGAGCATGTGCAAGAATTGGTTGTTTACAGTTGCGGTTGTTTTTATCATGTATGTTGTTGATGCATCTTCTTTGAGTCACTGGACTTGGAAAAAGAAAAGAAAAGGCATAAAAGCGCTGAGGCGTCGTACTAAACAGAAAACGACAACAACAAAAAAGGGAAGAAAGTTATGTATGTGAGCACCTTTACTGTGCATTTAGGTTTAGTCAACATCCTCCGTGACAAGAGGAAGTTAAAAAGCAATCTCATTTGTGCGTGAAGGGGAAGACTGCGGAGGAAGATGCGTAGAGGGGGAGGGACCGCAAAGCATTCGCACTCCCTGTTTTGCCAAAGCAACAAGGAATGATACGAATACGAGGAATTTTGCTTTCAGGTGAGAGGAGGTGCGGCGCCGTCGGCGAAGTCTTGCTTCGGTTTTTTTCCCCTCGACACTCTTCTCTATACACGCCAGTCCCCCGAGATGTGCACCGCCGATGTGGTGGGAAGAAAAGAAATGAGTTTTGTCCTTCGAGTACTACTACTATTATTATTATTACTTTTGATTCATATGACGTACGAGTTCTGCTCGTCATGTGCAAGAAGTCGACGACCATGTGAATAGCTTTCTTTAGTGTCGACTGTGCTTTAATATTTTTTTGGTTTGTTTCCCTATAGCTACTTTACTTTTTCAATGTCTACCTTGCACCTTTTTAAACATTTCTGTTTTAGTGGAAGCTAACAGCAGTTGTTCAGCTGCTTGTAAGACAATCCGATCTTTTTAGTTCTTGCTGTTGCTACTTGTGTTGGTCTGTGTGGAAAGGAAGTGCCGTGTTTGTGCATCGCTGCGCTTGTGGTGGCCGTGCACATGAAAAAACGGGAAAAGACGGCTCGTCCTCGATTGTTTCATTTTAACCTTTTGCTTCTTCTCCCCTTCATCGTTACCTCGTCCGTCTCCCCCATGTGCTCATGTCTTGAATTAACTTAATTGTGTGTTGCGAAGATTGCACAGGGGCAGGTGCACGGCGGACAAAGGTCTGTATGTTTATTGATGTGCGTTTGTTCTTTCCTGTTTTTCTTTTTGGCCCCCCCCCCTCCCCTCCTCCTCTGATTCTCTTTGTGTGCATCGGTTTCCTCACTCGTCGGTTGCGTGAGACAGGTATGGAAAACATACACACAGAGAAGTATCGTGTTTTTTTTTTCATTCTCTTGCTGTTTCTTGCTTCAGTGATCGTTGTGTATGTGAGATTTGTTTATGTTGTTGGCGGTTGTCACTTCTCTTGGCTTTTTTTCCCCGTCTCTTCTTCCTTCTCCCCCTCCCTCTCCGTTGTGCAAACGACAAACAAAAACCTTTTCTTATTTCGGTGCGGACGATGTAAAGTTAAGTGACACGGCGTGTGATACAAAACTGTGAGCTGCGAAATAGTGTGAGCAGCGTGATGATGTGGCCGAACTACCCCCCTTCCTTATTTTTTCTGGTGTTCTGTTGTTCTCTTCATTCACTTACGTGTGTTTTATCTATTGTTTACCTGCGAGACCCTCTTTCCTCTCTTTTTTTTTTCAAGTGCTCTTCTCACTCACGTGTACAGAGCGTCGTATGTGCCTCGACGCCGTCCCCCTCTATTACACCCCACCTTTCTTCTCCTTTTTTTTTGCTACCGGCTTTCTTTTGTCGACGCTGTTGAAGCACCTCGACGTGCATCGAATTGCATCACGTGCCTGTCCACCGTCGCAAGCATGCCCACGAAGGCTAATGGAGATGAGCCGCTAAACGGCCATAACTCGCTCGTGTTTCTTCCTCTACCCTCTGTACTAGCTCCCCAGACTCGTTACTTCAATGCGCCGCACGAAGAACGTTTGTATTCGTTCTTTGCTGTTGAGGTGATAAGACGACACCGCGATTCGGGCGAAAAGCGTTCCTTCAAGCCGCTTTACAGGAAACCGTCTTCAGTTTTTTCCCCTTTTCTTCTTACGTCTGATCTTAAGTTCACGCCTCACGCTTCGTTATTTTTTTTCTTTTTTGTTGTTCACGTCTGACTTCGCGCCAGAACACACACATCCCCACACCTAAAGAGCATCAGTAACACAGATTAATGAAAGTTTACCAAAAGATGTCTACAAGCAAGTAGGAAGAATGGCGCGGATATCGCCGTAGCGACCCGCATTCTTGTTATTGGAAGGCGTGCCTTGCCTGTCCCATTTTGTTTTTCTTTTGCTTTTACGCTGGTTGTACTCGCCCTTTGCGTATACAAACAGAAAAAAAACAACGAATAGGGATGTAATGCGCATTGAGGATGAACCTTCAGTGTTTGTGTCGCAAGTGCGCCGTGTGAAGGCGCTTTCATCCCGATGCACTCAGGCCTTTTTGTTCTTCTTCCACTGGTTGAAGCAACAGGATGCATTAATTTTCTGTTAAAGAGAGAGTCTTGAACAAGTGGGCAAGTTATGTGACCGTGAGCATACATTTCTATGGACATCTCTTACGCAAGCCGAATTCGTCGTCGTTTCACACTTGCATCGCTATCTGCCCTCTTTTCTTCCTTCCTCACTTCACGGCACCCCCGTCACTTTCTCCTCCTGCCCCGCCCCCCTCCTCGCTCTCCCTTCTCACTCTTCTCTTCTGTCTGCAACGCAACAACGATCTCTTCCCTTTTACAGCTCCCAAACTTGCGCAGTTGCGCACGTGCACCCATCTCCTCTTTTCATCCAACCCCCTCTTTTTTTCCCCCTTTCTCTGCGTTGGTTCGTCGGAGAAGACAGAAATCGCTGTCGTGCGTTTTCTTGTCGCTTTCGTTGCTTCTCATTGTTCTATTTTTCATTTTCTCTTTCTGTTGTTTCTTTGAGATATTTTCAAAGGACGCGTGAGGCGGTCGTATTCTTCTTCGCCTTGCATCCCCAAATAAGTGGATTGGAGAAACAAACAAAAAAAAGTCTCAAACAGTGAGGCATCGACGGCAGCGCGGTCGACGTCGTCATGCAAAGCAACGGAAATTACATGCAGATGCAGGCCGGTGGCCTGCACCCGCAGCAGATGGAGTGGCTAATGCAGCAGCAGCGGATGCAGGGTGGCAGCCCGCAGGCCGTCTCGGCCTCCCGTGCCTACCACCTGGAGCCGATGAACGTGCCACAGCAGCAGCAGCAGCAACAGGGACAGTTGTCGCCGCACTCGAGCAATGCAATGATGAACAACGGCGTCGGAGGGGCCCATCAATACGGACCGATGGGGATGCTACCACCGCAGCAGCAGATGGGCATGGGTGGCTACGGCGGACCGAACATGATGATGATGGCCCCACAGGGCGGCAACGGTGCTGCGTACGCTGGCGCCAACTTCGGCGGCACGCCCTCACCTCTCCACAACAATAACGGCGGCGAGGCCGGTGCGGGCGAGTGGAATCAGGTGAACTTCCAAAACGTTTTCAGCAACGCCGCAGACCCGCAGACGCAGCAGAACGTCTTTAAGCTGGATGATGGCAAGCCGCTGCCCTTCCCACCGGGCCATCTCCTCGCCCAGTACCCGCCCGACTACCAGCAGCAGATGGTCTTTTACTATCGTCTGCTGCGGCTGCAGTACCCGGAGTTGTACCAGCAGTACGTCGACTACTACAACACCTTTTACGAGCCCCTCTACAACCCGCCCGCGCCGACGCCGGAGGTAAAGGAGCGTCGTGCGCCGCCGCCAAAGAAAAAGAACGGGCCCCCGCCACCGCAGCAGCAGCAGCGGCCGACGCCCCCGCCGCAGACGGCACCGCCGCCGCAGCCTATGCAGCCGCTGCCGCCGCCGGTGCAGGGGTCTCCGCAGAAGAAGCAGGAGGGTTTGCAGCGGTCCAACTCTAACGTGAGCAGCGGCCTCACCCGGCAGAGCTCGCTGCGGCGTCAGAATTCGATGCGGCGTGCGGAGGTGAATCATCTGAAGAACGAAGGTGGGCTGAAGCGACTGCCCAGTATGCACCAGTCGTAACGCTCGGAGGGGAGGTGTAGGAGGCGCAGAGGGCATTCGCACACGCACCACCTTACGCTCTCCCTTCCATATTATTATTGTTGTTATTGTCATCTAAAACAACAACAGCGGTACACAAAGCAAGATAGAATGCCAAATACTCCCAACAGGGAGAAAAAATGTGGTGATTCGAGAAAGCTTGCCTCACTTCTCGCGGTTTTCCTTTCTCTCTGTTGTTTTCCTCTTGCTTGCGTTTATTTGCTCATATATATAATTTTTTTTTTTTGCTGCCAGAACTAGCAGGTGTGACAAAGATGGTCATTGCTTGTGTTTCTTGTTTTCTTTTGTTTTATTGCTGTGGTTGCCTCCCATCCCGCCCGACCTTGCCTTCTAATGTGCCGTGTGGACTGTACATGAACAGATCTCTATTTTCCTGTTATGATGTTATCTTACCCCGTTAAACGATCTCATATTGTGCTGTGGTGTCGGTGTGCACAAGTGGACAGCTTGTTTTTACTGTCACTGTTATTACTACTATTTTGTGTGCACATTAACGTGAAAGAGCCGTGGGTGATGAACACGCCAACGATCCCTTTTTTTTTGTTCCCCACCAAACATTTTTTTGTTTGTTTCTCGGAGGATCGGAGCTAAAAGTCATGCGAAGAATGGTGCGACTTCATGGCAGAATTTTCCTTTTCCTTCTTCTATTATTTGCGTTGCGATGCGCTGTATTGTTCCTTTTTCTTTCGGTTGTTGCTGCTTCGGTGGTGGTCGCGGTGGCACCGCACTCGGTATATACGCGCAGGAGGTTGAAAGGTTGCTTTTGAGCAAATTTCTATTTCCGTATGTTTCTCAGTGTTTTCCTATCTGTTTTTTTCTTGCTGATGGAAAATAAATATATATTTTTTCGAATCTTTTATTTCGACCTTCCACTGGAACTGGGAGAGGTTGGCAACGTACTCCCCTCGCCCGAATAATGTGTACATCATCTATATATTGAGTTTGTTTCGCTTGACGTTTTTGTTCATAACAGTCGATGATCCGCCATAAAAGTTGTTGACGCCCGCCTTGAATGCCGTTATCTTTTTTTACCTTCCCCGAAGCAATCGAGCGCTGATCCCACAGGAGGGAACCGCGGAGACTGGCAAAATGACCACACACACACACACACACACACACACACACACGTACGTCGTTTCCTATTTTACGCGTGAGTCTTGTGTGTGTGTGTGTGTGTGTGCTTGTTTGTGTGTATGCTTTGACAATGGCAGGTTTAGTAGCTGGAACGAAGCGCATTTTTTTCCCTTTTACCCGGTGCATGCTGTACTTGAAAAACAAAAAAACAAAAACCATAAAGATCGAGACGCGAAACAGCGAGGCTTCCGCACCTCTTGCTCACTGGCACTCTATCTGGTTTCCCATCTGCTGAGGAATTGTGAGGAGTTCTCTGCCGTGTCAGATTTGAAGACGAGGACGTGAGCGAGTACACACTTCGCCAGCTCTTTCGCTGTCTTATGTTTTTTTCTTGTTTCTTCTCGGGTCTGTGGTTAAAGTGCACCTTTTACTTGTGCTCCAACGTGCGTCGCAGTTTCCTCTCCCACACATCGCCTCTTCTCTACTATTTCTTTTCCCCCTTCTTCATCTCTCCTTCTCCGCACGTTCTTCACGGCTCTGTTGCCACGATTCGCAGCCCTCGATTTACGCGTTACGTCTTTCCTTTTCTTCTTCTGCGTTTTTGCTGGATGTCCTACCGTTGTGATTGACTTCTCTGTCCATTGGCTTCCTTCGCGCGACACGTGTCTTCAACCCCCTCAAACGTGTGTTTCCTCCTTCTCTCTACCCCCTTCAAAACGTTGTACATCTATCATCTACGTGCGATCGTTTCCCTTACATCGGTATCTGTTCCACCTTTGTTTTTTTTTCCTCGCTTCACTCGTCAGTTCTTTACGGGTCTTTCTTCGCGGCTGTTGCCGGCTCGTTCGGCAGGCTATTCCGCGTGCTCCCCTTCTCTCTCTTCCCGTTTTTTTATTATTGATTTGTTTTACGCGGGATTGCAAGAGTGGCTTCTGTTTTCCTTTCGAACTCCCCTCCGACACACAAGCAAACTAACGACCCTGCCCGCGGCAGCGGTGAGATGAGTCTCTACGGAAACGCGGGATGGCGTTACGGAGAACAAAATGGCTCGCAGAACGGCTCCTTCTACGGAGTACACAATAGCTGTCCATATATGCCGGTGACCTACGGGGGCAGCATGCGCGGCGCCAACAACTCCTTTTACGGTGCACTCCAGCGCAAGAGCAGCTTTTACGCGGACATTCCACAAAGCGGTGCCTCATCTTTTCTTCCTGCACCCACGCCGACGGTGGCGCTCGGCACTGTGGCGCAGACCGCCAACGACGGTGCGGCTACGTCGAACGCGTCGAGCTACTACGACTCCGTGTTCGATAGTAACGCCACAGAGGAGCCGGTCGCTCCCCCGCCGAACGATGCGAACTCGCAGGACACGCCGCCGCCGCTTCTGCGCCGAAATTCCTCCAGTCGACTGTTGCGACGGAAAGTGAGTTTCTCCGGTGTGCCGCCGACGCTGCCGCCGGAGGTGGAGCCGCCTGTGCTGGCGCCGACAGTGAAACGCATGGGCACGCGTCGACTGAGCATCTCCCCCTCCGAGTTAAGCGTTGGAAATGAAGCAGGACAGCAGCAGTTTCCGTCCTCCCGACAGGCACCGCCACCGCATCTGGAGCGACCACCGCTTCAGCAACCGCTTCTATATGCGCCGCAACCACTACCACCACAACGACCTGTACACAATGGCGAGCCACCGCAGTACGTTGAGCAACAGGCGCCGTACAGCGCACAGGAGCCACCGTATGTGGAGCAGCAACTTGCACACGACCCGTCGCAGCAGCAACCGTATGTTGCCGACCAGTGTCCCCCGTACGGTAAACCACCACAAGCACAACAAGAGGAAAAGCTGCCGCAGCTGGCAGAAGAGGCATCGCAGGAGGGAGAGGAAGTGCTCCAACAGCAACTCGACGACTTTACTGGGGCAAGTACTCCTCAACCGCAGCCTACATTTGCGACGGGCGGGTTGGTGAGGCGCAGCAACTTCGGCTCGTTCAGTCGGGGTAATAGTGTGCTGGTGCTTCCCCATCTCATTCGTCGTCCGCCCACCGGGTACGGGCCGTTCATGCCGAATTACGCAATGATGCCCTTTCCGCCTCGTCCGGTGTATCGGCCTCCCTTTAATCCGTATCGCAGTGCTCTTTATGGCCCTTACAACACCAACATGATGCTGTACCAAAGACAAGCTATGTCAAATCGTTATTGAACGTTGCTTCCAGATCTCAAACGAAAGAGAGGAGGAAGTGGTGTGGCGACGTGTGAAGACGGACACAAAACAATCACCTTTTTTTCCTTGCACTGCGTTTCCTTTTTTTTTAAATATGTACATGTACATATATATATATATGTGTGTGTGTGTGTGTGTGCGTGTGACTGCGTATTCAGCCTTTTGAAAGGACTTTTCTTTCTTCTTCTTTTTTCCTTCTCAAAGTTCTCCACTTCATTCGACATGCATTCGGCAATGTAGATTAGTTTTGCACATCTCCTTTTCAAACTGGCTTTACTGCGAACAATGATGATGTGATTATTCTGTTGTGTTATTGTGACTCTCTTCACCCGTTACCGTTTTTCAAAGTATTGACTTACAGTGTGTACGCGTACAAGCTCAGTGCGGCTTCTTATCTTTTCACCTTTTTTTTTCTTCGACGTTGCTGCCTTTTTGCAATTATTCACCTAACGAGATGTATTAGTAGTGATGTGCGTGTTTTCTTTTTTTTCCCTTTTCGAGTAATACGGTAACGCGGGGTGCGTAATGAGCGCAGTTCACCTCTTGCTATTTTCTCCCTTTTTACCTCATTTTTGTTTTTCTGTATTGATTGTTCCGCGCACTTATTGTTATTATTAGTATTATCTAATTTGAATACTTATTTATATCTGCCTATGTGTTTTTTGTGCTCGTTATGCATAACAACTGTTTGTGAACTTCTTCTCTTTTTTATTATTATAAGATAACCGTCGAATATATATATTTTTTAAATTTCCGTAGAGGATGAAAGGACACCCCTGTTTGTGATCCTCGCGATGTTCGGTGCACGAACTCCGTTCGACTTGATCGGTGTGCTCTACTGCTCTTTGTTGTCTCGCCTTCCTCCGCGCACTGCTCTGCAGCAAGGTCTTTCTTCGCCTTAGTTTTATGCTCTACATCTCTTTTTTTTTCTTGCTCGCGGACGAACCAGAGTTTCTGTCGCTTCGACGGCTGCGAAGTTCTCCTTCTCGCCACTCCTACTCCTCTTGTTTTATTTGTTTTTCTCTCTCTCTCTTCGGTTGTATTCCTTCGACAGCAGAGTCTTATTCCTCGTAGTTTTCTTCACGCTTACGCTTTACCTTCTCTTCTGTGTTTTCTCCTCTCTTTTTCTTCCGTTTTGTGCTTGCGTGGGAGGGCGCGTTCTCACACGGCTGATATTGTTATTATTGTTTCACTTACCTATCGCTTATTACTCTTTATCGATTCATTTTGTTTTCATTCGGTTTCCCTTTTCGCTCTCAGCGTGTCGCCTTGGGATGCCAGGTGATGAGGCAGTGCCGTGACTGGGCGGCGTCTTCTCATTTTGGTCTTTGCGCTTTGTGTCTCTCCGTCGGTGCCTTTTCCTCTGCCCTCCTTCGTGTCTCTCGTCTGGTGTTTTTGGTGTTGTTGAAAGGCGGCTCCCACCCAACCTTATGTCTGTATGTTACGGTACGTGGATTTCGCTGTACATGCGCCGCGGCTCTTTGTTTTTTCTCTTCCTTGACTCTTTTCTATGTGCACAGTCTTTTCTCTTTTCCTTTTCTTTGTTAAGGACGGTTCTGTCGCTGCGACTCTGCGGTGGGTTCGTTGACGTTGCTAGCGAGAAATGGTAAGCGGGACATGTATGTGCGTTTGGTACTTCGTGTTCGCAGGGTGACCGTGGTGGAATCGGTCGGCGCCTCCCTGTAGCTCAAAGGGGTATGAGGAGTGCGGGGTGTGCACATGCGTGACAAAAGAAAGGAGGCATACGCTCTGATTAGTATTATACCAGAGGGAAACAAAAGGCCCTTCCCCTCCCTTCCCTCCCCTCGGCCGCAGAGAGAGCCGTCATCTCTGTGTGTTCGTAGCGGCCGCCGTGAGCTGGCAAACGAACGCCCAATTTCCTGTTGTGGCAGCGTGTACTGCCCATTACCGCACTCTTCACTTTCTTTTTTTGTTCTTCTTACTCTCCTCCTCCTCCCCTTGTCTACTGCCTCCTTATTCATATTTGTCATAAAAACAAACCAATGGCGAGTACATTGTTGTTCTGCTTTCTTCGTCCAGCCGTGAATTCGTCCGCGGTAACAAAAGGCGACGACAGCAACACGAAAACTTCACACCTAACGTGACACGCGCTCCTCTTCCTTTAACGCTACACCCTGCGGTGGAAGAGGGAACCGCGGCACTTTATTTCTATTCCTGCTCCATTGACGTGACTCTCTTGTTATTCTTTTTGTTCCTGTTATTCTTTGGTTGTTTGTTTTGATCTAACGATTCAGTCCTTGCACGCGTACAAGCACACATGCGTGTGCTGACTACGCACCACAAATAAATCTCAAGTAGACACTCCCCTCACCGTCTGTTTTCCCACTTGCGGTGTGCTTGTCTCTTCGTCATCGGTGCGCCGCAGACTTGCGTTGATCGACACTTCACCGGATGTATAGACGAGGCGGTCCCCGCGATGGTGCTCCTAACACCACCGCCCCATGCCTAAGGCACGACTCGGTTTACGCCGACCGTCTTGCTTCTCGCGGTAGCGGCCGGAGCCGCGCATCTTCGAGCAGCCTTCCGCGGAGTTCTCCGTTGCAACGCCGGCCGTCGGTGCAGGCGCCGCCCCTCTCACCCGCCGTGCCAGACTTCGCCCCGATACCCGCGGGCACCTCTCTACCGGGGATCGTTGTGCCACAACATTTTCCTTCGCCGCTGCTGCAACGACCCGTCGTGCTGAGCCGCAACATTAGTGTTGGCAGCACCGGCTTCGGCAGCATGTACGGCAGCCTGTACGGCAACAGCAGTTTCTCCCAGCAACATTCCTTTTACGGTAACATGGGCAGCTTCTACGCCGGCTTTGGTGATGCGCTGAACGCCCGACCTGGCAACCGGGGCGGTGACTCTCTCACCCCCGCAGCGTCGTCTTCCCTTTCCTCCCCCAGTATTGGATCTTCTTCCTTCATGAACGCCTATCCATACGGCGAAGGGGACGACGACACCGCGACTCGCTCGGCCAACGCGTCCCCCGCTATCGCCTGCGAGGAAGACGACACGCCCCTCAGCCGCCGCGGCACCGCCGCTGCTCGTGCCTTGCGCCGCAAGGTGAGCTTTTCCGGACTACCGCCTCTGACGGAGGAGGAGGAGAGTCCGCAGCGCACCGTCGCGCTTACGCCACGGCGCGTTGGCTCACGCCGCCTGAGTGCTCAACGCGCAAGTCACGACGGGGAGCGAAATGCACCCCCTCCATCGGTACAGCCGCCACCACCGCCGCACCGGCAACCGCAACCGCCATCCCAACAATACGCGCCCATTGTCGTGGGCGGCAACTCCCCTGCTCACCGCGGCTTCGGCTCGATGTACTGCCAACAGCCGGCCTTGAGCGGCTACGGAGCGAACCAGAGCTACGGCCCTTACGCGACGAATGGGCGGAGTTGGAGGCCGTCTTACCCATCCGCACCGCCTACGAGTTCCCCACGAAACTCTGCCCAGCCGCAGTACAACATGTACGGCGGCAGAAGCTCCGCGCCGTTTGGCAATGGTGGTCTTGTGGTGATGCGGCCACGTCTTCTTATGAACGGGTACTATTTCTGAGGTGGTTGCGAGGATTGCTGGGTGGCTGCTGGTACGTGCCACGCATATTCCCACTCCTCCGCTACGCCCTGCCAATGTGTTTTGTTCGAGCGAGCGGGTTTTTTTCTGGGTTATTGGTGTGGTTTTTTCTTTTCTTTCTGGTCACTGGCACGCGCTCCTGTGGGAGTGCGCGCGACACGTTTGCTGACCTCTTTCTCATTCCTTGCTTGCGTGCAGTATTGCTACACCCCATTCCCCGTAGTCATCGTTTTTATTCCTTTGTACTATCCCCGTCTCTTGTCTCCCCTCCTTTCTTCCCGTATGTTCTTGCATAACTTGTGTAATTGTTGTTGTCATTGTACTCCAATTTCAAAAGAAGAAAAACCCACCGCTTTATCCTTGTCTTTTCGATTTCCTGTGTGTCTGTGTGTGCGTGTGTGGGAGACCAGGAGAATCATCATTGCATTAGTTTTTTTTTTTTAACTTCTACGTGAGTGAGAATATATACACGCTCTGACGTTTGAACTTCTTTTTTTTTCTGTTCTGCATCCGTTTCGGGACTCACCCTTTGACCGCGATTCGGTTCCCGAAGACAACAAATAGACTGCCACCTCCGTTACCCCTTTTTTTGGCCACGTTTGCTTCGTTTTATTTTGTTTTTGTTTTTCCTTGGTGATGTTGTTGCTACCTTTTTTTAAATCCCTTTGAACTGCTTTCCTGCTGCATCAAGTCGCACGAGTTTTCTAAGTAGCGTGGATGTTTTGAGTCGCCTTGCCCTTTCTTTGTTTCTATTTCTTCGGCTCTCGCCTTCGTTCTTCAAACGCGAGCTATTGTTTGTTTGGTTGGTTCTGCGTCTGTCTCTGCCTGATAAATAATATATCCACCTATATCTTCTTTCTGGTTCATCTCTTCTCACGAGTTGGACCCCTTAATAAGTGTCCACATTGTTATTGCCGCTCTGTCGCCCATAAGTTCTATTTTTTCCTCTTTTTTTGAATTTCGAATTTCCAAATTTGTTGCTTTCATGTGTCTTTGCGTGTGACGGTGCCTTCTCCTCCTCTCCTCTTCTGTTTTCTTTTTCTTTTGTTTTGTTTTGTTACCCCTAGCCTTCGTTCTCACCGCTGTGTCCCTCTCGCCCGTATGTGTTTTTCTCTTGTACTCTCCTCCATTCTTTGGTGGCTGTTTGTGTTTCCGTTTTTTTCTTCGTTTCTTAAAGACGTTGCACACAGCGCTTTTCAGTCCTTCCGGGGGGCCTCGATCATCGCTGCTGGGCTTCTGTGCTTTTCGTATTGCACAGAGGCAGGCGGTGGGTGCTTGCAGTTGTGATGTGTGCAGCTGCCTGACGGCGACAAGGCAGACGAGGGGAGCAGATCTCTCCCAGAGTAGAGCTGCTTCTGTAGATGCTGCCCACGTGGTCGACAGGAGCTTTTTTTCAACCTGTTGTGTATATATATATGTTTTCTTCCTGCGGATGGTGAGGCGTCGAGCTCTTCATGTGTACAGCGAAGAGAGAAGAGGAGAGAAGAAGCAGCAGGGGCACTTTGCGTGTGTCGTTGCCGTTAGCGCACTTCTTTTCTTCTTCTCGCGATCTCCGTTAGGTCGTTGGGTGTGCGCCGCGATTGAAGCACCATCCGGAGGTGCACAAGGTGTAGCGGAACAACCCGACAACGGAGATGTCGAATCATAGTAATAAAAAGAAAGATAACATGATCCCATGTACTTGGTAAAGTACGCTGCTGGCGCGCGGCTCTTTCCACGTAAGTGAGAAACTGAGCCGAAACATCGACGAGAGGACACAAGGGCACCGCTTCAACTCGATCTGTTTCTCCCTCGACACTCAACAGCGATTTGTCGGCAGCTTACGCCCCCCCCCCCCACGTTGATATCGCTTATGTTCTTTTTTTTGGAAAACGAGTTCAAAACTCGAACGACTTGATCCACGCACACATACACCAATAACATCGTTTCTTCTTCTTTCTTCGTTGCGCGTTCTCTTCCTTTTCGTATCGTACACGTCGTTTTCGCGCGCCCACACACGCGCAAAGGAGATCTACACAGAAAGGGCTTTTTTTGGTTGTTTCCTTCTGACTCCTTTCACTTCTTGTTCTCACATTGACGCTGTGTTTACCGACTGCGTGTCACGCAACGACAAGCAGGTCTACTTTATAAATATTATTATTATTATAATACTTCCTAGGTCTTTAGGGAGATATTTGGACTTCCACCCGACGCACAGGCGACACAACCGCAGATGGGTCGGCGAAAATCCGCGAAGCCCGAGGGCATGGAGGAGGCGCGAAGGCCACGATGTCAGCACGACCTTAGCCGCAATGCAAGACACTCGGCGCACAGCGCGGACCGCGACCATCGCGGCAGTGATGACAGCGGCGGTCACCACAAACACGAACGCATGCCCCCCGCGCAGAGCACGAAGAATCTCTCCCAAGTCCCTTTCAAGTCGGGCAGCTCCTCCCAGCGCTCCTCGCGACCTCCCGAGAGCCCGCAGGGCGGGTACAAAGGATTTCACTTCCCTAGCGGGGATCAACATCCGCTAGGGCCGCTGCCTCAGCGAGGCGGGATGCCGCCGCCCAACAACAACTACCCGTTGAACAGTAGCATTAGTTTGTCCTCTCCCACCAATGGGTACGTGCCGAATGGATATGGCGGTGGCGCGAACGGCTACAATCCCACGACGATGAACGGCAGCTTGGAGAGCTCGCCGATGCACAACGCGAATGCTGGCAGGGCGGTGGGAGCGAATGCCTTCTCTCCCTCCCACGTACCGCCACCGCCGCCGCAGCCAAATGCGTATTGCGCGATGCCAGGGGGCAGTCCGAACAACATGAACGCCTCGTGGCCTCCACGGCAGCCGCCGCCGCAGCGGGGGGTGGACTTTGGGCTGATGATGCAGGCATTTCGAAATCTGCCGCAGCTACCATGCGTCATGACCCCCAACGGACCGCTGTCTCCGCCGCCGTTTCCGTTTCCCTTCCCGGACCTTGTGCAGCTGCAGCAGCTCCAGCAGCAGCAACAGATGATGATGCAGATGCGGATGAGTCCGAATGGCACGCCCGGGAATCCGGCTTCTCCGCTGCCACTGTCGCTCTCGGGCCCTGCGTCGCCCCCACAGCAGCAGCCTCCACCACCACCCGTGGCGGCGCTGGGCCCTTTCTACGGTCCGCCGGGCACTAACGTCCCTGGCATGGCCCCGAACCAGAACATGAGTTACCTTAACGGGGTATGCCCTGTCGCAGCTGGAGCGATGCCGCCGTCGGTTCCACCTTTCAACGGCGCTGCCGGTCCTGCGGCCACCCCTGAGCCGCTGCATCGCACGACAAGTATCCTCAACCGCGTCTCTAGCTTCAAGAAAAGCGCTCCAGCCCCCAGCCCCGACAAGGCACACATGCAAACGGCAGTGGCGGCAGTATCCTCAACCGCGCCTCGAGCTTTAAGCGAAACGCGAGGGGCGGCGGACCCTCCTTTGCTTCGAGTCCGTCATCGGCGCCGTCCACCGAGCAGCAGCCCACCGCGCAGGCGTCTCCGACGGCGAAGCCCACCGGCGCCGCCGCCGCCATCCCCCCGGCACACTCTGCCGCGGCAGCCAAGCCGCTGCCCGACTCCGGCAGCACCGGCATTCTGCGCCGCAAGTCGTTCTTCTCCGCAGCGGCGGCGGTGCCGGAGCCGGTGTTGTCGCCGGACGAGCGGGAGGCCGTGCTGCAGATGAAGCTGGTGCAGCGCGAGCATGAGCGGGTGCGGCTCGAAGAGGAGCACCGCGCCCGCGAAGAGGCGATGGATAAAGTGATTGAGAACCGAGGGAAAGAGCTGCGTGAGGAGGGGGCGGCAAGGGATGCGTCTGCTGAGGAGTCGGCGACGCTGCCGACGTGTGTGATGACAAGTGTCGAGGTCAGCCCTCCCTCCAACCTCTTGTCCCCGAAGGCCGATGCGACGCGCGAGGCGGCCGACGCGTCATACGAAAAGATGTCGCGGGCCAGCTCGTACAGCTTCGCCAGCATAGCCACAACACGGAGCGGTGCAGTTGGACCGCAGCCGGCCCTCCCTCATCTTTCAAAGCAGCACCCGCCGGGCACGCACCGGCGCGGTGCCTCCCCTGTGGCGGACGCGGGTGAATTCAGCACTAAGTCCGACGCGCCCGTGGAGTCGATGGCGTCTAATCGTATGGGCGGCGTGAACAGGTCAGCGCCGACGACGACAACCACAGGAGCTACATCTGCTGCTGCTGCCCTCGCTGGGGAATCGCGACCACAGCAGCAGTCGCAAACTGCACCCCCAAGTAGCCAAGTTGTTCCGCCGCCACGGGGAAGCATTATTGCGTCCGCCCCTGCCGTATTAGAACCGAAGCAGCCGTGGCACCGGTGTCCTACGGTGGTAGTCTACGAAATTCCCCTACGTTGTCGTCGCACGACGAACGAGGAGGGCAGGGAGGTGATCGATGACGCCGACTTTCCCGTCCGCATCCACAGTAAGACGCTGCGCGTGACGGACCCGGAGACGAAGCTCGTGTCGGAGTTTCCGCACGACGAGCTCGTTATCCACCGCAAGAACTCGACGAACGTGGCGTCACAGCTGCTAGACAAGGTGCGAGATGTGGTCATCGCTGGCTACACCGCGTCAGTACTCAGCCTCGACTCAAAGGGCCTGGCAAAGCCGACGTCCGCCTTTGACAGCGCTGCGTGGATGGCGAAGCAGCGGCTGGTGCTGAACTTGGTGGCCAGCGTGGAAAAGATGCAAACCATCTACGCCAAGAACGGCGGCCTTAGCAGCAACAACTCCTCCATCGAGGTCTGTGTCTCCATCGCCCTCGTGAAGAAGGTTTCGGCGGAGAAGGCGACGGAGTGGAAGGTGACGGACCCGGCGATGCAGCAGCGGACCTTTGAGGTGATCGACCTGTTGAAGCCGGAGCCAGCCGTCGCGCAACTCCGCATGCGCACGTCGATGCTGTCTGGGAGTCGTCTGGACGGGGTCCAGTACAAACCGGTGGGCAACGAGGCGGAGTTCAATACCCTTCTGACCGGTGCCCAGAGCAGCGCAAACGTAGTGCTGGGCCGCCTCGCAGATGCCGCGGCGGTGGCGCCGGACAACGCGGCGCTCATGGCGGAGAACGACTCCGTGCTGGAGGTGCTGACGTGCATCGTGCGCCACCACAAGGAGGGGGCCGTGGCGCTGGCCGATCAGATCAAGGAAGCCCCACGCGACGTCTTTGCGCGCGGCAACGCGGCGGATGTAATTTCCTCGGACGACGAAGATGATGACGCGCGCGTCCTCGACAGCTTCAACGCCCACAACGGACCGTCGAATTGCAGCGACACGGTGGTGAGCTGTTTGACCTGCATTGGGGCACGACAGAACGCCGACGTGTGGGGCGCCGCCCTCGAGCGCAAGGAGGAGGTGGCCCCGTTGGCCCTCTTCACCACCGCTTTTGGCGGTCCCGCATACACGGTAATTATTGCTAGCGTCGACCCCACCAGCCGGGAAGCAGCGGCGACGTTGTCGATGCAGGTGGGCATGACCATCAAACTACATCGGCGCCCAACCAACGGCTCTGCGCGGCGACTCATTCAGAGCTCCAAGTATCAAGCGGGTGCCGCGCAGAAGGAACTGGACCGACCAGTCCGGCCATCAGGCTCGGAGCAGCGTGAGTTGAAGACGACGATTCGTAAGAGCGCGGCGACTCTTGAGAGCCTTGAGAAAGCGCTCGCGGACGGCGGATAAATATATGTACATATATGAATATTATTAAATGTGAACATCGTTCCCACCACCGCTAATAGACACCGCGCAGGTATTTCTTTTCCTTTTCCCCTCTCTCTTCCTCCATGCGAATGTGCTTTGTTTGTGCATGTACATTTCGGTTTTCTCGTTTTTTTATTGCCTCTCTGTTCACTGGAAACAATCAACGTCGTCTCTATCGACGCACGAGAAAACTGCCGCGGTGTTTGTTTGTTTAGCAACGAAGACAGCAAGTACAACAACAACAAAAAGGAAAACAGAGAGAGAACGAAGGAAACAACTCTCACCTAAAAAAAGAGAAAGAGAAAGATGATGATTACGGTCACGTGCATGGAATGTGGTATACCTGTGCTGCATATTTATTTTTTCTTGTTTACTTCGTTTCTTTGTATTGTTGTTGTTTGCGCGGCAGGCATTTTTTTCTTTCCTTTTTTAACGTTCTTTACGCCTCTAATTCAATGTTCCAGTTGAATCTTCTTTTCCTCCTTTCGTTGCTACTATTACTATTGCTATTATTATTATTATTACTCCTTGCTCGTTTCTGTTTCTCTGGATGCATACGCTTGTGTGTGTGTTTCGTGCCTTTCACTGTAACGTGGAACTTTGAGTCTTCCTCCTCCTCTTTTTTTTGTTTTCCTCCTCCTGTGCTCTCTTTCATATCTGTTTTGGTGTTGCTGCTTTGTGTGCGTTAGTATTCAAAATTCGTTATTTCACGTTCTGCGCATCATCGCACGGGGTGCACAGCTTCGTTAAGCTTCAGTGGCGTTGTTACTGTTCGGTATCGTATCATGTGAAGAGTTCCCTTTATGCTAACGCACACGAACGCGGCGCAGCCCGTGTAAGTGACTGCGGTGATGACGGACTGTCTCTGCAGTTTCGGCGCCCTTCTCTTTTTTTATCCAGCTGATGTACTAAACTATTATTATGTGTCTTCGTGTATTTTGTCCTCTTTTTCTGAGTTGTGTTTTGTTTGTTTGTTTTCCGTCGGCTGTCAAGCTTGCGCCTAAGAACCGTCGTAGCAAACCCCATGAAGAAGATGTTTACGTTTCGTGAAGGGGGATGCGCTTTCGTTTCACGCACGCAGCTCTGGCGTTTGACTTCTGATTTTGGTATTATTTCGGTTCTCACCGTTTTTTCTTTTCTGGTCTCTGTGTGTGTGTGTGTGTATGTAATTAGTGGAACAGTGTCTTTCTTGATTCGCTGTCTGTGCATCGCCGCTTTCGAAGTAGAAGTAAAGCGAGAAAAGAAGAGGAAAAGAGATCATTAACCGCAACAACAAAAGAGAAACTAGGAAAGATCGACGCGCGTTCTCTCTCCCTCTCTCGGCTTCACTGCACAATGAAGTAGCGAACAGCTGCGGAGCGCGCATTGCCGCCTTTTGTACGGCTCTTCCACGCAGCTTCCCCTCAGGAGACTGCACATCTCACTCCTCGCGTTTTCTACACCAGAAGAAGGAGGCAGGTACCGGCCGTTTTTCTACGTCGCGGTTTCGCCCCTTCACCGCGTGCTCAGAAAACGCAGCACGACAATGAAGGAAAAGTATTACTGTGTCCTTCCTGTGCATCATCGTAAGCACTCGACCCCACTATCCTGCCCCTCCTCCGCAATGTTGCTTTCGTTGGTGGTGGTGTTCTTCCTCTATTCGTTCTGTGACAATCACCAACGCTTCGACTTAGCAGAAAAGTTGTGCGTCCGGCGACGGTGTTTCTTGCTTCTCACGCGGTCAGACACACACCACGAGGACTTCAACTGCGTGCATCAACATCGTTTGTCTATGTATTGCCTTTGCGTTGTCCCTGCCTCTCTCTCTTCGTGTCTTTTATTTCCGCTCTCGCTTCTGCGCCCTTGTTTTGTCATCACTCCGAAGCCCGTCAAGAAAGCAGAGGATACTCTTTAGTACTTTACCTGGATGCGAGACACGCTCCCATCGTTCACTCCTTGTACCTCTCTGGCATTCAATTATTATTATTTTTTCTTCTTCCGTCCTGTGATTCCCTTCATTCGCTCATTTCTTCAACGTGTCCATACGTTACGCAGAGTGCAGCGAAATAAGGTCTCCATTGAAGCCTGGCGTTCGCTCACGGAGACACGCGCACCCAAGCCGCCGCAGTGAGCCACGCAAGGAAACAACGCAGCTCAACGTTCCGTTCATAGTTCTCTCTCTTCCTTCTTCAGTATTGTTTTGTCGCACGATTTGCATTATATATATATATATATATATATATTTATTTATTCGTGTTTATTTTTTCTCTACCTTCATAAAGGCTGTGTCGTATTTCCGGCGTTATTTCCATCCTCTTTAGACGCTCTTCTCGCGCGCCATCTCTCGGTGTAGTCAGACACTGGCGTGACGCAGGTCTCACGCAAAGCAGGAACGCACGTCAACCGAGTCGTTGCTGCTGCTTTTGCCCACCATGTACCAACCAAGCAACCCGTACAGCAACGACGGCGCCACCAAAATTAGCCCGGGTGCAGGGGCGAAGAACACCGGCTCAAACAGGAATGGCGGAGGTTATGGCAACGGAGCCGCCTACGGCAGCGGCTACGGCGCGGGTGGCTTTGGCGCTGGCGGCTACGGCGGGGCGGCTGGGTATGGCGACGGCAGCATGTACGGCGGTGCCGGCCCAGGCCAGGAAGGCGCCCAGAACGGCAGCATGTACGGTGGTGGCAGCGTCTACGGCGGCGGCGGTGGCGCTGCGTCGATGATGGGTGACATGAACGAGAACATCGTCGTCACGAAGCTCTTCTCCAGCCGTCGCGACCTCGACCGCGTCGCCTCGGCCGTGGACTTCTCGCGCCGCTTCGACTCCAACTGGGGCAGCTACCGCTCCGCCGGGGCGGACGGCTACGGCGGCTCGATCTACCGCAACAACACAGGTGCCGGGGAGGGCTCGCTCATGAACCTCGGCGGCAGCCGCGGTGTCGTCTCTCTCACGGACCGCGGGGTCGGCCGCGCCGGCGAGGGACCAGACGGCGGTGCCCCGGCGGCGGCCGCCGCGGCGGAGAGCAGGGAGGCTCGCCCCCCACCCAAGACGGCCGTCGAGCAGGCACCCCGCGAGCCGAGCACGAAGAAGCTCGCGGCGGGGGAGGAGGCTGGTGCGCGGCAGCCGGTGAAGCCGAAGCCAGCCTCACCGAAGAAACCGGTGGAGGTGAAGCCCGCTGCGCAGGCCGTCCCGCCAAAGCCGGCAGACGCGGCTTCCCAAAACACGTCGCGAGCCCTGCCGATGCAGGAGTCGCCGCGCAATCGGCAAGCGGAGCAGAAGCAGACCCCAAAGACGCAGCCGCCCGCCAAGACGATGACGTCACGCGAGGTGGTACCGAGCGGTGCGAAGCCGGTCGAGGTGCCGCCGCTGGATGACATTCCGCTGCTGGCGGACGACGTGCTGCCCAAGAAGAAGGCCCCCACGCCGGCCGAGGTGAAGCAAATGCCGACGCCGCGCGAGCTGCCCCCGCCGCAGAGGGAGGTGGCGAGGGAGACGGAGGAGCCGGCGAAGGGGCCAAATCGGCCGATGCGGCCCCGCAGCCGTCCGCACAGTCGCCCGCAGAGCCGCATGACGTCGATGAGCGTCGTGGAGTTCCCGCAGGCCGACGAGGTGAAGGATGAGATGGTGGCGGACGGGTTGAAGGCCCCGGAGAGGGACGCGGCGCTGGCGGCCGCGCGCGAGGAGCAGAAGCGGCAGCGCGAGGAGGCGTCCCGCCATGCCCGACTGGAGCGCGCGAAGCAGCGGCAGCAGCAGGAGGACCAGCAGAAGCAGCGCGAGGAGGAGACCCGTCGCGCACGTGAGGCGAAAGCAGAGGAGGAGCGGCTGAAGAAGGAGCGCATCGCCAAGATGGACGAGGAGACGCGACAGCAGCGGGCGGCGGCCCTCGCGGCGCGGGAGCGCCAGCGGGAGGAGGAGAAGCGCCGCTTCGAGGAGGCGAAGAAGGCGGAGGAGGAGAAAGAGGCCGCCCGAGCCGCCGCCGCCATCGCGGAGCGTCAGCGTCTGTTGGAGGAGAAGGAGGCGTCGGAGGAGAAGGCGCCGCGACCGACGTCACGCCCGCGCAGCCGGCGGCCGGTGAGCCGGCCCAACTCGAACCTGCGTGGCCCGATCCCGGAGCAGCCGCCGGACCTCGTGGCGGGGCAAATCAAGGACCCACTCGCGGAGGACAAATTGAGTAAGCCGACAAATACCGTGACCCGCACCACGCCGGCGAGTGGTACCGCCGATGCGGTGTCCAGCAACACGTCCCAGCGCGCAGCGGACCACCCACAGAAGCGAGAGCCACAGCAGGTGGTACACAGACGCGAGGTGGAGGTGTCGCGGCAGCACACGAGCCACGAGTCTACGCCAGCGTCACAGCAGGCGCACGCGACGAAGCCTGCGCAGTCGTCGGTGAGGACGGATGAGGGCAGCACGCAGCAGCAGCAGCCGACACCGGCAACTCAGCGGGAGCGCAATATGGTGAAAACCTTCGTGCTGATGGAGGCGGTTCGTGACAGCAATCACGCCGTGCAGAGCACGCCCGATTCGATCACCTACCGAGATCAGACGATCAACGTGACAGAGCTGAAGGTGCGTGAGGAGGACAACTTCAACTACAACTCCACGGTGGTGCACGACGTGCGGGAGGCGGCGTGCCACGGGTACAACTCTGCGGTGCTTTCCATGGAGACGGCTAACACTGTCAGCCGTTTTGAATCACCTGTTTGGTCCATCTTGAACCGCATCGTCCGCACGCTGCTGAAGGAGAACTCGAGCGACGCCGGCGAGCTGCAGGATAACTTTGAGTTGACCTGCGCGATAGGCTACCTGTACCGCGACAAGGTGAAGGACCTGCTCGAGCGCGACGGTGACGCACCCTTTACGAAGGTGGCGGTGAATCCTTCGCCCATCTACGGCCCCCGCCTGACGAACTTAAGGTACGACGCGGTCACCGACCCGGCTCAGTTTGAGGAGATGCTCTCCGGCACGCTCTCGCGCAGCACGCATGACACGACCGTGGCGGGATTGACGGAGGGCGTGGTGGCCGCCTTTGTGCTGGTGAAGCAGTGCCGTGAGACGGAGGGGAAGCAGGACATCTACCTCTCTTCGCTCATCGTTGCGTCCTGTGGCGAGGATCCGCTGCCGTACCAATCGGCCATCTCGCACACCCGCAACGAGTACGCAACGGTGTTCCACCTTGTCCTGGGTGGCCCGAGCTGTACCTGCTTCATGCTGAACGTCGCGGACGATGACGCGGTACGCAAATCGGGTGACGCAAACCAGCAGTCGGTGCCAGACGGCATCGAGACGGCTTTGGCGCTGCTGGCGCAGATGGCGGCACTGCAGAACTACGATCTTCGCAGCGGATCGGTGAGGCGCTTTATCAAGTACTTGGAGCGCTCGCATGCGAACGCGAGGCAGCGCTTGGCGAAGGAGTCGGACGAAGCACAGCGCCGCAAGGTGGAGCGTTACGTGAAGGAGCAGGAGCGGTTGCTAGAGGACGCCTACGGTTTGCTGCGAGACGCGAACATTCAGGTCGAGCGGGAACTTTAGTCCGCGGATTCTCTAATTTGCTGAGTTGGCTCGTTCTCTTATTTCACGTAGGTTTTTGGTTTCGTGTTCGTTCTGGCTCGATGTGGACTCGGATGTAGATAGGTGCGCTTACCTGAATAGAAAGACGACCGTTCATCGAAGGCAGTAGATTCTTACTGTGGTGGTTGCATTTCCATGTGCTGTTCTTGTTCTTTGCATGCGCCGCTTTCCGTGGCTGCAACGCCCGTCTGCTGCTGGACGATGAAGAGGGTGGGAGGGGAGCGGCGTTCACCACCTCGAAGATGAGAAGTGCGAAAGAACGCACTCGGCTTGACAGTTTTTCTTCGTTTAACAACATCGTTTTTTTTTGTGTTTGTTTGATTTCTTTTTCTTCCCTGTTTCATCGTTCATCTTTGCTTGTTGCTTTCAACCGTAGTTGTTGTTGACTGTGATCAGATTATTTTCTTTTGCGTCTAATCCGATATCTGTCTTCTTCACACCTTTCTAACACTGCCTTTGCAAAGTGCTTACCTTCACGAAGGGAAATAGCAGGAAATGGCGAGAACTCACGAAGAAGGGCTGATGACAACGTGTCGTCGTTGATTCCTGCTGATTGCACAAGGGAAACGGTGGGTCCAAGCTAGAGCACATCTGGACGACAGACTCAGCGTGCGAAAAAGAAGAAAAAAAGAGAAGAAAGTAACGAGAAGAACACACTTTGTTCATATATATATATATATATATATATGTCTTCTCGCTTTCTTTCATTCCTTTCCTCTTTTGCACTGCTGTTCGTCTTTGAGTGTGTGTGTGTGTGTACGTGTCGACGGAGTCATCTTGTGGATCATTTTTGCGTTGCTTTTGTTTTTTTTTCTTCTTCATCTGATCTCCCCGTTTTCTCGTCACGTTCCTCAAAAACAGCCAAAAAGAATTATTGGTCTTCGTATTTTTTGGGAGGGGGGCTTTATTATTTCGCTTTCCTTTAGAAGCTGAACGTTAGTAGTATTAGTGCTGTGTTTTCATTATTTATGTATACCATTGTTCTCTTGAGAGATGGAAGTGCAGCGAGGGTGCGTCTGCGCCATCTCAGACTCCTCCTTTCCCCCTCGTCGCCCTCTTTTTGTGTTCACAGGTTGTACTCTATTCATGTCGATCTTTCTGTTCGGTTTGTTTTTCCCTTTTCATTTCGTTCGATTGCCGTTTGCAAGCCGTCCATTATCATTATGTGTTCAGATAGTCTCTTAACTTAATTTTTTTTTCGTGATTTCTGTGGAAGCGCTTACGATGTCTTTTGTTTAGTTGGTTTGGCTTGCGCAGTAACCACACCCCACTTCTTCTTGTTTTTGCTTATTACCTCTTTTTCACAATGTGTTTCTGCATAAAAGTGTCCCCCTCCGAAGACTTCTTTCTTGTGCTTTATTCTTCTCCTTCCTCCATGTGCTTTAGAGTTGGCTGCCGTTGGTGTTGCGTTTAGCTCTTCTGTGATCTTCATTCCCCATCCGTGACGTAGACAAGAAATATGAAAGACAACCAATGAGAAGAGACGTCGAGGTCACGACAAAGCTGCTGCCGCCAGATTACACGCGACCGACGATTCTACGCTGGCGCACTTGTGCGTTGCTGGGAGAATCGTGGATGGTGTGACGCACCTTACACCGTTCTTTCTTTTCCTTTCCCCTGCTGCTCCATGGTTTGCGCAATGGCTGTGGAGAGCTTTTATGCGCTGTACTGGGTGCGTAAACGAAGGAGTAAGGGTAAGCAGTCGAGGAAGGTGCCTCGCACTGCTAAAGCTCCTCGTTCCTCCTCCCCCTCCCCCTCGCCTCTTCAAGCGATAGCAACGGAGGAATGCACATTTTGTTTGCGTTTGCGTAGCTGCCGGTGCCATGTTGATCCGCATCAATCTCTCTCTTCGTTATTCTCCTCTTCCTTCATTTTATTGTCGCGGGTGCAGTTATAACTTCTGGGTGTTTGTGGGTCCATTGCAGCATCACCAACTTGTCGACGCGGACCTGCCTTGAAAGAACAACAAAAAGAACTAACATTTTTTTAAATACCGCGTCGCGGCTCTTCCGCCCTTCGTGATTCCCTGACTGTTCAGTAGAAGAAAAAGAGGGAGAGCAATAGCAAGGAGGAGGGAGGTGTGTGGGCAAAGAGAAGCCAAAACAGAAAGTCGATCACACACGCTTCGCTCCCCCCCCCCTCCGTCTTCAGCGCGGTACCCACGCTCAAGCTTTTCGACACACACACACTCGACAAAGAAGAGGAAGGCCGGGGTTTTTTCTTTTGATGCGCGTGCAGAACGTATCCGCGTTGCCTTTCCATCCTATTCTTTTTTTCTCTGTATTTAACGCCGTGAGTCTTCTTTGTTCACTGCCGGGCTTTTGCTGTTAAGGTGAAGACGCTTCGGAGGCCAGGCGTGCAGTAGACAGTTCGTTTGTTGCGACGACTGCCCCCGCTGGTGTTCGTGTGAGACGTGGAAAGAGCAAAGCGAAAGCGAAAATGCCGACCTCACTGTACAACGAAGGTGCGACGCGCAATTCCTTCGTCGTCGACCTCGCCCATGAGGTGGCAGAGTACTACCCCGACGTCCGTCGCACCTCCTTCCCCGGCTTGAGTGCCGGCAGCATCCCAAGTAACCTTAGCTACGCACCGGGAACCTCCGTGCTGCACGGCAACCTGCACAGCGAGACGCCCGTGCGAGGAACAACCCCCTTCGAAAGCACGCCAGAGAGTGCGAGTTGTAGCAAACTGAGTGGTCCTTCTGCATTCCAGCCAGTGCAGGTGGCTGCGACGCGCCGATGGTCGTACGCCTCGGATGAGGCGGACACGGCGAAGGTGCAGCCGATGCACTCGACGGAGTTCTCTAGTGGAGAGGAGCACGTTGAGGACAGCGCAGAGGACGACGAGGAAACCGCGGAGAGCGACTGCAGCTCCGACAGCCTGGATGAGGAGAGCATAGACGATGAGGGAGAAGGCGCAGGGGAAAAGCACAGAATCGACCGAAAGAAACACAGAAACGTCGACGAAGAGTCAGTCAGCGGCGACAGCGATGACAGTAGCGTTAGCGCGGAGGGAGACGGCGAGAGGAGTGTACAGTCAGGCACCAAAACGGCCCCCTGGACTCGTCTCCAATCGAACCTCGCCGGCGTTGAAGGCGTCGGCGTCTACGGCGTCGACGACTTCCCACCTACTCCGTCTGCGACTCCATCAAGCGGGGGTAGCTCTTCCAACACGGAACCGAGCAGCAGCAGCGGCGGCACCGCCTCCACCACGGACACGGACATTGACACGGACACCACTGCCGCTACCACCACTACTGCGACCACGACCGCTGCGACGACCTCAGAGACGAACTCCGTTAGCGCTTTTTCATCCGCCGTTTTTTATCCCACGGACTCCTCCACACGGCTGTCGTCCACAGGGAAGAGACGAAACGGGAGTCTGCAGGCTCCTTCCCAAGAAAGGAAATCACCGCAGCCGCCACAACAGCAGCGACAGCAGCAGGCGGAGGCCACGCACAACGACATGAGTATGCCGTTTGTCTTCACCCCCGACGGCAGCTTTGGGGCTTTTCCCTCCCCACCGGATGAAGAGGCTTTAGCGATGGAGGTGGCAGCAGCAGCAGCAGCAGCAGCAGCAGCAGCAGCCGAAGAAGGCGACGCCCTGCAGCAGTCGATCGTGCTATCTGAGATGGGGTTTTCCTACGGCGGCCCCGGCGTCTCCATCAGTGTCGCACCGCTGGCCTACGCTGGCAACGCGCAGCCGCCGAGCCGACGCCGCTCCCTCACGCGATCCTGCCTGTCGCACATGACGATGTCCGCCCTGCCGCGGCAGTCGTCGGCCATCGTGTCGATGCTCTACTCGGCGATTGAAGGCGGCGCAGGTGCGCAGCAGGGCGGGAAGTCCGCGATGGAGGGCACATTCCCATCCACCATGATGGACCTCTACGCCCGCACGCCGAGTCAGCTCAACCCACACGGCGCCGGCGCCACAGCACTAGCGCCGGCGGGGGCGCGCAGACGGCGCACCGGTAGTGATGACAGCACAGAGTCGGGCAGCAGCGGCGTCACCTCCAGCTTCCCCAGCGACAGCGACGACGGCGGGGAGGAGCAATCGTCCTTCTTCACGCCGGCGCATGGTGCTAAGCGGAAGAAGCGCGGCGGGAAGCGGGTGGATGGCAACGGTGACGAAGAGAGGAGCACACCGCACTGCCCTCTCTACGCCGCGGGCAGCGGCTTCTCCCCTCGGCAAAACGTGCGAGTTCTGCGCGGTGACTTCAAAGCCGACGACGCGAGTCTGGACAGCCGCGAGTTGGCGAAGGCAACGCAGAAGTCGGCGGCGACGGACAACGCGGGTACCGCCGCCTCTCCGGCACCACCGTCGCTCGCTGCGAAGACGCCCTCCGCTTCTCCGATGGGCACCACGCCCGAGCCGAGTGGCCGCAACGCTAGCAGCAATGCCACCAGTGGTGGTGCTAGTCCTGGACCGGCTGCCGCTACTGATGCGGTGCGTCGATGCTCCTCCGGCAACGCCTTCATGAGCTTCCTTCGCGGCAACGCAGCCCTCCTCGGGAAGAGCACGGCGTCCACGACACTCAGCTCCGCCTGGGGCACCACGCAGGCGCCAAGCGCGTCACAGCAGACAGTGCTGGGCGGGTGGAAGCTGCTCAGCTTCCGCGAGACGGACGACGCGCCTTTGACGAACACGGAGAGCGTGCCGCACGACAAGGCGAAGCGAAAGAAGAACAAAAAGGCAAAGAAGGGGAAGAAGAGCAACGGCAGGCGGCACAAGAAGCCACCGGCGACGGCGGCAGAAGGGGAGAGGGGCGACGCGGCGGAAGTGGGGGATGCGCGGCGGCAGGAGGAGCCGGAGAGCCACGATGGCATCGGCCGCAATACCGCGGATGCGGGACAGCCTATCACTCCATCGCCTCCGCAGCCGGTGCTGCAGCAGCGAGCTCAAGCGCAGAGCCCCACCACGCACGGAGGTGGTGGAGGCGAACGGGGTGACGGGACGAAGCTCGACAACGGTGAGGCAGGTGCTGGGGCCTACGGTGGCCATGCACAGGCACAGCGGGTAGGCAGCGCACCGGGCAACACCCACACGAAAGCTACGAGCAGCACAGACGCCGTCACACCCGGCGAAACGGTAGGCCGCGGCTCCCCTGGCAAGGACGGCTCGCCAACCTCGCCGGAGGGGCAGCAGCAGGCATGGCCGGCATCACCGTCGGCCCTCCCACCCCTCACAACCAGCGCCGCTCACAGCAAGCTGCGTGTGGTCCGGCTGCCGCTGCGGCAGGCCGCGTCAACCTCGCCCGCAACGGCGTCGCGCACGACCTCACCGGCCCGCCCGTCTTCCTCGGACGCCACGGAGGCTAAAAATGGAAACAACACGGACGGCAGCAACGCAAACGGCGAAACCGGTCAGCCAATCCGGCGGCCGACGTCAGGGCCGTCCACCGCAACGGCGGCATCAACCACCACCACCACCACCACCTCAGGGGCTAAAACGACGACCACGACTAATAGCAACAACGCTGTCCTCAAGAAAACGGCGGAGCGTTTTGACAAGTTCAAGGAGGCGCCGATGACGAGTCCGTCTGCCACGCTACGGCGCACCACCGTCCGCGCCGCTGGCAAGCAGAAGGTGGTGATGAACCCGTCGCGTCGGGTGAACCTCGGCACCGTCGAGACGACCACACTGGGGGTGCGCCGCTTTCGGCCGAATGCGGACACGCGGCTAAGAGGGGTGATGCCGCCGTCCTCGTCGAAGCCGCGCGCTGGATCGGGCTTGCATAGTGGCACCGCCGCGACGAAGCCATCCCCGCCGCCGGAGCGCCTGCCTCCTCTGTAGCACGTCGCCTTGCGTAGCGGTGTAGGCGAAACCGGTCCAGGTGCATTTTGCTATCGAGCTGCTTTCCCCCTCTCTCCCTCCCTCTGTGATGGAGGTGTTGTGGCACGGCATGCATTCACTGTTGTTGCTGCTGCCGTCCTCACATCAGCGAGCTCTTCCCCTCTTTCCGTTTTTTTTTTGGTCCATCTTTTTGTTTGTTTGTTTTCCTCGCTAAAAGATGCATCATGACCGTGCGTGAAGGTACGTAAAAGGCCGGATGGTGATCTGCTGCTGTTTACTGCGCTGTTGCGTTGAAGCGACGTCTGCCAACATACATGTTTGCAGGCTTCTCGATACGGCTTAACGGCGTGATTACGCTGGTGTTTTTAGTATTTCTATTAGCACTTTTTTGCTTTTGTTTCATCTAGACTCCGCCATTGTTTCGCGTCTAATGTCAAGATCTTGTCTCTGCGTGGTGGCTTTCTTTCTTTCTTCTCTCTCTCTCACTGCTGTGAACTCGCCCAAGGAGAGAAACGTTCTTTCCCTCTTCTGTGTTTGTGTCGTCGCCCTTTTTTTTTCTTCTACTTCCCCTCCTTTGCCTTTCGTTGTTCATTCTGTACTTGAACTTGTGGGATTTTGCGTGTACATAACATGCTCGTTTTCGTTTTCTTTTCACATGGTGGTGACTTGCAGAATTAGGAAGCCCGTTTGTTTTTTCCCCGCTGCTTCCTTTCCCAAAAAATATATAATAATCTTGTATGCAGTGCACGCGTGAGTGTTGCGTGGATACATCGCTGTAGGCTACTCCCTTTGTTCGTGATACCATTGTTTTTTAAGTACTTTAATTTCCCTTTTGTTTGCCTACGTGGCCGCGTCCTGCTACTCCTCCCGTTTTGCCTGAATTGTTATCATCTCCGTTGCGTTTTCCCACAGTATCTTTTAGTGTTCTCGTCATCACTTCACTCATGCGTGTCGGGTGGTCTTCTCGCCACGCCTCCCGCTCACCCCCTCTCGTACGCGCTGCTATGATCGTCGCGAAGGACTACACCTTTTTTCCCTTTCTGTGTGTGTGTTTCTTTGTTTTCTCTCGTTTGTGCAGACGCACATCATTCTGCGCTTCTTTGTCTGCGCAACCGTTTGAAGAAAAAAAGAACGCTTCGTTAGGTTTGGAATGGAAGCAAGCACGCACACAGCAAACAGAGAGAGGGTAACGAGTACGGTGAGATTGGGGGAAGAGCAGGTGTGGTGAGATTTCCGCTGCTGCCACGACGTTCCCTGCGATGCATCCATGCGTCGGGGTTCTGTGGTGAGTGCACCATCGACTGGTCGACAACGTCTTGTTTGTGCCGTCTGAAGAGGGTCCTCTTTCTCTTTTTCTTTATTTGTGTAGAAATGTCTTATTCGTTTCTTATCTTTTCTTCTTGCGTTTCTCTCCTCTTTCTTTTTTTTTATTCTCCGATCTCCTTTGACGCTCCGCCTAATAGATGTTAAATGCCGCAAGGTGGAACAGCCGTGCGCACCGCAGTTCAGCTGCGAAACGAGTTTTAGCGCGGAAAAAAAAATTTGTATGTGTAAGCGAATTGAAGTTTCCAGAACAACATTGTGTGAAGTATCCGGGTATCTGAAAACACTGTGATGTGCTTTAGAATTTTTTTGGTTTTGTTTTTTTATATGAAAACGTTTTGAATCGTGCTTACCCTTTTTTGTTTTGAATGATAAAACTCATTTTCATTTGCTGCCTTTAGTGTCGTCCGTTTCTTCCAGTGCGTTCTTCTCCCCTTCTTTTTCTTGTCCGTGTTGATTCACACGCATTGTGTTGTTCATATTGTTGGTTTGTTTTCTCTTTCGTTTCTGACGCTCATTGTCTTCTTCCTTTTTTTTTTTGAGATGGCTTCTCTGCGATACTTGTGTGTCGCACACTTCCGCCGCAATTGATTTCTTATTGTGCCGTTTAATGGGGAGCATCAACAGCATCGACAACAGCAAATAAAAAAGAAAAGCGCAGAAGACGGGGTCGGTAGCAATTATGAGCACCTTGAGCAATCTTCACGTTCAGTCGCCTTCTCCTTTCCATTTTCTCACACTTCTTTTTCCCACCTCGTCTTTTTTTTTTGAAAAATTATTTTTTTCTTCGTATCGCCGTCGTTTAGGTGGATGCTCTCTCTCTCTCTCTTGGTCTTCTTCCATCTCCCAACGTGCAGCGGCGTTCCGTGGCTTTAAATAGTATTGAAAAGAAATGTACTGTGACATGTGCGCGTACATGATGCCCCACCATCGTTGTCCGATATTCCACCCAGCTGAAAGGCCTCTTTTATTTGCTTTGAGTGTTTCCCTCCTCGTGCCTTTGGAAAACTAGAGTGTGACGTAATACAGCAGAATAATAATAATAATACCAAACGTAAATCATGTGTGATACGGCGTCGTACATCTTGTCCTCTGCGTGGGCCCTGAGCGTACAGCATCTCTCCGCTTTTTCCTTTCTCCTTCTTCTTCTCTCTTTTTCCACGGCTGTTCTGCGTACGACACTCGTGTTAAGTTTTTTTTTTCTCCTTCAACGAGCACGGATGTTCTTGCTGTTCCCTCCGTTGATGGTAATGCTGTTTGCTGGTTTGTTCTGACAGTTTATGAAGCGTCGAAGTTGCTTCACTATTTTTTCTCTCTTTTTCGTATTCTACGACTTTTCTCTCCTCTGTTTATTACGGACTTTGTCCCGTTACTACTGCTCCTCTTTATTATTAATATTGTTGTTGATGTTTTCAAAGCACCGCTTTCTTTCCCTGGTGAACGAATGTATTTCCTCCCCATTTTTCCCCGTCGTTTGTGGTCTTTTCGGTTCGCGTCTGTTCGTTTACGTGTTCCTGCAAAGTGTGCTTGTCCGCCTCTGGTGAAGAGGTCGCCCGGCGAATGAAAAGAAGAGGCCGACGTCGCGTTCTACCGCCCCCTCATTTTTATTATTATTTCTGCGCTTCTCTCTCTCTTTTCTTTTTTGCTGTTTGAGCGTTTGCTGCGCGTTGATGAGGTGATTCAATTAAATAGCGTATTTCACTTCTTTGCTTTGCTTCATATACTTCTTTATATAGAGCTTGCTCTGCCTCTCGCTGCGTGTAGCTCTACATCAAACGAAACGAACGAACATATATATAAAGTGTGCTGATGGGAAGTGGTAGTCGTGAAGGATGCGTTCGAGAGATGCTCTCGGAGGCGCACAAGCACTGAGACGTCTTTGAAAGATACTGCTCCGTGACGCCCATTTTCGCGGAGATACGGTTTCTCCTTTGCTTTTCTTTTTGTCCTTCGAAGAAGTCAGAGAAAGCACAATAACAACAAAAAAGGGACGGTAAAACAGATTGTTGTACACAAGTAATGCGTTCACCCGTCAACATTGGCGGAGGTCCGCGTTTTTACTTGACCTCTTCTTTCACGGCAAACTCCACGTGCGAGAAAGGAAAGAAAAAGAAGTCAAAACCACTGTCGTTAATGTCCGAGTGCGTTCCGCTTCGAATCGTCTCGTTCTGCCATTTTTGGCCCCCATGTGTTCCCTCTTTTCTCGTCCAGCATTCGCCTCTTCTTCTTCTCCAAACGCCTTCTCTTTCTCCTTCTCGTTTTTTTTATGGCGATGGCTTTTTCTTCTTCGCCCTGTTCTTTTAAACCCCCTTCTTTTTCTTCTCACTGGACTCATTTTATCCGCGTGCATATGAATAACACTTCAACATATGACTGCGCCATGCCCCTGTTCACTAGTAAATTGTGCGTATTCGAACTGTTTGATGAGCGGTGACCCAGACCGCTACCCGCCCCCGTAGTCGTAAACCGTTGCTGTGGACTGGCATTATCGCACATAACGGTGCGGAAAGATAGTAAAGGAGTACATAAAAAGAAAAGACCTTTCAAACACCAACGCAATAAACTCCGTAGATTCTCCTAACACCATCTTTTTTTTTCTTCTTCTAGCACCTGATTCATTCTGCCTGCTGCTATGCGACTGTTTCTTCTGTAAAAAAAAATTCCCCGTTCTCCTCCTTTCCAAACAAGTGCAGCGTGCGAGCTTACTGCTTGTTAACTTTCGCCTTTTATAGTTTTTTTTCCCCTTCTTTCCTTCATGCTGTCCTTGACTTCATTATTAAACTTAACACAAAAATCGCTTTTCTGTGACAGGCGCGCAAAGATTTCGCTTTCCTAACCTGTTTTTGAACTACTCTTCAACGTCTAATTTGTTTTGTTCGTGTTTGTCTGCCTCTCTTTTTTTCTTTTATCTTCATCTTTTCCTGTTGTTGTTTTTGCGGAAGACGTGCGCAGAGCACACGGCACTGGCGCCTCTTTCCTCCTCTTCCACATCTTTCTGTTTTTTACAGAATTTTCTACGCCACAAGTGCTGTGGTGAGGTGGTTTCGTGTGTGCGCGTGTGAGAGCAAAGGTGCAGAAGGAAAGCGTTGATATATATATATATCTCCTGCCCACCTCTCTTTTTCTATCTCTCTGTAGCAGTTTGTCAACTCTGTACATATCGGTTCCTTTATTTATTTATTTTCGAGAGGATTTCTTTCTTCTTTCTCTTGTCTCTCTTCACTCTCAATCATTTTTTTGTGTGCGTTTTTACATCTTCGTCTTCTTTCCTCGTCGTACCCACAACCGACTGCGGTTTATATTGACCTCTTTTTTAAGTTCTCGTGAGCACTTGGTGTGTGAATCTCACAGCGTTGCTTCTTATTTTCCCTCTCCCGCTCCATTAAAAGAAAAATAAGAATCACTCGTGAGGTGCGCGTTTCTCCTCATTCGTGGTAAAGTTCTTCGTATATCATTCGTGTAGTTCTTTTTTGAATTCTACCCTCCTTCTCTCTAAGTATATGTATTTATACTTTCCAAAAAATATATATATTTACAAAGTCTATGTATTATTTTTCCTTGTTTTATATTCCTGAAAAGACTGTTTTTTATTTTTTCTCTCTCTCCGTTTGCGTCTAATTGCTTTCTTCTAGCTCATTGACGGCGTCCCTTCTCCGTCTATTGTTTCGCTGTGTGTGTTCTTCCCTGTTAGCCACCGCACCCTTCACTCAATCGTGTAAGGAATAGGTGGCCCTGCGTTGAGCACATCGAGAACGTGACTCTTTTTTCGCTCTTCTTACGTTTGCTTTTTATTGGAAAGCAGCAAATTGTTTTTCTTTCAGCGTCTTTTCTTTTAGTGACGAGCAGGACCAAATCGGTGTGAAAGAAAAAATATTCTTCTCTCTTTGTTTTTATTAGTATTAACTTGTGTATGTGTGTGTGCCGCTGCTGTGCAACGTGGTTTGAGTGATTATTATTATTAGTGTTGTTTTTCAATTTACTCTTGTCGTTTCGCGTCTAATACATTACGCCGAAGTTGTCTTTCTATAGAGTGTCTTTTTTTCCCTTTTCCTTCTCTTTCCTTCGTTATTTACTGCATTTTACGCGTGGCGGACTCGTCTTCTTCTTCCCCTTTTGCCTGTGTACGTTGACCTTCCGACCACTGTTTTCTGTTGTGTGTATACTTATAAAAATATATACACATATATATATATATACATCTGTCTTTGTCACCACGCCCATTTCTATTTCTCTCTCTCTATATAGATATACTTTTTTGGCGACTTCTCTCTCCTTCTTTTATTTGTGCTTCTTTGGGCGCTGCCGACGCCTTGTCATATGCCTGCTCCATTCGCGGAGGTGAAACCGCGTTCCACCACGGCATTGGCTCCTGTGTCGCCGGTTGTGCAACGCGTCAAGAGCGGCGAAGATCGCATTGCTTCGTACCCCAGCGCTGTGGAAAGCCAGCTCCGCGACACCGCGCCCGCCGGTGCACCTCACCTGACGCCTCGCCTAGCGATAACCGTCGCTGCGGTCACCTCGAAGGAGAACACGCCGCGCTGCACCTACGACGTCACGTGCTACCCGCCGAAAGTTCCTGCCGCCACTACCACTGCCACCACCACCACCATAAACGCGATGGCGGTGCAGTTGCTGTCTAAGCCACGGCGAAGTTCGCCGTACTTACCGCAGCTCAGCCTTGCTGAGGGCCACCGTACGTCGCCCTTGTCGGCGAACCCGGAGGAGCGCGCGGGGGAGTTTAATGAAGCCTCTCTGTGCGTGCCGTTGTCGGCGGGATGGGTGACCGGCACCCCTACCCCGCATCTGAGCGCGCGACGGCTCTCGCCTCTCTCGCTACTGGCCGTTCCTCCTTCCTCCACGTCACCCGCTGTGACGTCCACCAACGCTGCCACGAGGTCGCCAGCGACGTGTGCGACGGTGGAGGAGACGCCGCCGGCTGCGTCGGCGAAGATGGTGGCATTCGAGCAGCGTCGCATTCCACTCCCGCCGCCTGCGGTGGTGGCGAATTCGGTGGACGATGACGAGAGTGGCAATGCCAGCAGCAGCAACACCGATGCTGGATCTGCCGCCGCCACCGCCGCTGTCATCTCGCAGCCACGCAAGACTGCGGACACAAAACAAACGAAATTCGAAGCTCAACGGTGTCTTTGCACGCCACGCACGCAGCAGCAGCAGCGGCAGTCGCATTTGGCACCTTATCCCCCGCCCACTGGCTGTCCTGCATCATGTAGCACCTCTTCAGGGCCGCAAGACTTCGACAACGACGGCGATGTGCGAGGCTCGGTGCTGCCATCCTGCTCGATGGACTCCACCATCCTGCCACAGAAAAGCGCCCCCACATGCTCCACCAGTCTCTTTACGTCTGTCTGCTTCGACGTCGCCGCGGAGGACGCACCGCGGGGATGCGCACCCACGTCGCCCCGCGATCTCGGGACGGCAACGTGCCGACTGCCGCCGATGCCGCCGTGCTTTTCGCCATCCCCGCCGTCCTCCGCCATCGACGCGACGGAAGCGGCAAAGGCGGGCGCGGCTGATCGCGAGCAGGCGCTGGTGGCTCGGGACTTGCAGCAGTGGCGGCGCTGCAGCCGACACCGCCAGCTCCTCATGCGAGCCTGCAACGTGGCTGATGCGCGCTACGACGCGCAGCCCGTCACGGTGCACCCGTCACGCCCCTCCCTCGTGCTGGGCAGCGACTGCAACGACGCGAGCGACGAGCATGCGAACAACGCGAGCGCGGCGCTGGCGGGGCTGCCCGGTATGACACACGACGGAGAAGTTCCAGAGAACACCGTCGGGACACCCCACAGTGCGGTGCCGTACGCGTTGTCGGAGGCGGCGCTGCGACGTGCGGAAGACGCAGCGCGGCAGCAGGAGTCAGTGCGCCACGCCTCCGCGCGTTCACGGACGTCCATTATTTCCCGCTGCTCCACGCCGGACTGGGCGGGAGTTGAAGGCGGAGTGCTTTTCCGTAAGAACGAGGCTTCGCCGAGACGCGGAGGCGGTAGCGGCGCGTCGGGGCGGAGTCCCTCGTTGGACCGCCTCTTTGTCCGGCCCTCCTCCACGTCTGTCATGATGGACTCCCTGCGTGACGGCAGCGGGTGGAGCCGCAGTGAGGTGGGGCTGTGGGCTGGCAGCAGTCGGCAGTTGAACCTGTCCATACTCACCTTCACAGGGGCGCCCGCCTTGAATTCCTTCTCGCCGAACTCCGACAGCAGCCTCATCCCGTAAAGAAAGGCGCCAGATTTCTGCATTAGACCGGTTGCGCGTACCCGTGCCGTAGGCAATCATTATGGTAAACAAAAAAAGAAAAGAAAAGCGCGATCGTTGTCGCCAGGACGTATACGTGTTTTTCCTGTATATATTTCGAGAACTGCGCCGTGTTTCGTGTCTCTGTTTGTGTTTGCGTTGGTCGTTGAGTCTCGCCTTTTTATTTTCCTTTTTCTTTCACTCCCTTCTTTTCAATGGTACAAATTGTGTACGCGTATGCATGTACGCGTGGCTTCGTTTGATGTTCGTCTTGTCGGCTCTTTTCTTTATAAAACCCCCCCTTTTTTTTCGTGATCCCTGTCTTGGGTGCTTTGTGCTTTTCCCTCCCCTCTTTTGCAGCATTTCCTTGTTACGTTTCTAATCTATTATATATACATATATATACATATATCTTCACGCTCCCGTGACACGCCTACTCGTGCCGTAATTCTTTTTTTTGTGTGTGTGTGCACGATGCCAACAAAGCGTGTGCGAAAAGGGAAGCACAGATCTCTTCTTTTCTTTTTTTTACTCTTTCTACTCTTTCTTGTCTTTTACATCTGCACGAGTGAGATTACTGAAGGAGCATTCGTCTATACAAGAGTTGCCTTCTCTATTATTATTATTGTATTCTCATGCGACGCCATTTCCTTTTCTTGTCGACGTGATGAACGGTGTGACGCGCCGTTGAGAGGGATGTCATCGCCATCTACATCATTGAGGCTTACCTTTCCTTTCTCTGTGTATGTGTGTGAAGGATTGTACTCCTTGCCTGGTAAGGCTGGACGCAGAGCCACGCCAGACAACGGATTTTATACTTCTCGGATCTTTGTCACGCGGGAGTTTGAGGGCGAGCGGTGAACGTGCGTGCGTGCATGCGTGTGCGTGCGCGCGTGTTCGCGGTCTTCTTTGCTTCCTGCTGGATAAAGGAGTGAAAAGAAAAACCTGCGCGTATATTCATTTTTGCATGCCGGTGTATGCGAAGTGTCCATCAATGAAAAGCAGCACAGCACTCCTCTTTGATTCTTCTTCTGCGTTGGCTCGAAGTACTTGTAAAAGAAAAATCGCACTTCATTAGTGGGGCTCAACTGCAGAAAATAGTTTTTTGTTTTTCGAATTTCTTTCCTACGCTGCTATTTTCGTTGTTGCATCTCGCGTCCGCGAATTCAACGACCGCTCTTTTTGTGTGTGAATGACTGCTCTCTTACGGCTGTGGTTTCTTTTTTCCTGCTGTCCGCTGCTTCCACGATGTCGTCATCCTTCTTCCCTGGATGAGCCGCAGCGGTTACGTTTTGAACGCAAGAGAGGCAACAGTAACACCTTCTCCCTTTTCTCCCGTCTTGGCACCGTCGTGTTTAACCTCGCCAATTCGATCTTTTATTGTTTTCTTCGTCAGTGTTGATTTCCAAAACTACTAATCGTTTTTCTTGAATTCCTCTTTTTCCCGCTCGCGCAGCGATGTGGTGTGGTGTAATGTGCTCCGCCCACGGTTGCGGTGGATGATGTTGTGATGGACGTTTTTGCTTGTCCATTTTCGCTTAGTTCGTCACGTTCTCAACGTCTCTTTTTCTCTGTGTGTGTGTGTGTGTGGCTTTCTGCTTCTTTTTGATTCGTCACAATTTTTTTTTCTAAATTGCCTTTTTTTTTGCGTTATCGTCTCTCAAATCGGAGGAGCAAAGTGGGAACGCACGGCGTTTCTGTGACAGGGCTTTTCTTTAACTGCGTCACAACTTCATTAATATTCACTCACGTAGTCGAGAACGAGGCTGTGCATGATTTAAAAAGATAAAAGAAACATCGGTAAAGATGTCCGGCTCTACGCAACTGCGTGCTGAAAGAACGTTGTCTCTCTTCTCTTTGATAGGGCTCTTTGAGATGCGCTGATGTATTTTCTCGTCTTTCTCCTCCTGTTATTTACCTTTTATTTTTTTAAGGTTTTTCTCTTTTTTTTTTCTTTTAAAATTACTATTATTTTGCTCAGCTTGTAGAGCACAGTTATTCGGTACAAGCGTTCGTCGCCGCGGCAACAACAAAAAAGAAAAGGACGATTATGTACGCGGTAGCGATGATATGTCGAGCCAATCAAAAGCGGACGTCACGCTGATTGGAAGCGAAAACCGTCTCTAATGTGGTGAAGCTGCTTGTCAGTGTATTTCCAACTGGGGCGATCGCGCCGTGCGAGGCTTGAAAGAAAGGAAGGAATGCGAAAGGTGACTTAGAGAGTTATGTGTGCTGCACATTTCTATCGAAGGCCGTTCCACCTTCACTCACTGATAAAGCGCGCCGTCACTGAAGCCACTTTTCACGACAAACCGAGAGCAAAGAACAATTTTTTTCTTTAGTATTATTATGATTAAGACACTGCTGCAGAATTGTTCGCTTCAACCACGCCTTTTTTGTTTGTTTTCGCTTCTCTCTTATCGTGCTGTGCATGCTTGCCGGCGCTTCTCCGCGAAGCAGGCCAAAACACTCACTACGGGCTTGACCGTTTCCTTTTTCGATAAACTTTTTTTTTCGATTCTCCTGCGAAACATGCACCTCACAGGTGGAGGAAAAAGGGAAAAATAAAAAGCAGTAAAAGGAATAGAAAAGCCCACAAGTCTTCATATCGGCGACGCTGCACGGCAGTGGTGGTGCAATTCTTCGAGGAGAAACACCGCCATGCGCGTGAAGGAGCACCGCTGCGTTTCTTGCGGCACGAAATCAAAGGACCCTTCCCATGCCCTTTCTTTCATAATTCCTATTTCTGTTTTTGTCTTTCATCAACATTTCCTTCTTTCTCTCCCTCGCATCTCAACTCTCTTCTTTTCTTCTTCTCGTTCACGGTGATTCGAAACCCGAAACAATGTTATATATCCTTTGTAGTAGAAGTGTTTTCTTTTGTTTTCTTCTAGCGACTTCGCTGTGTTTCTCGTTCCCATATAAACGAGTTCGTTCACGTACTTATACAGCAGCAACGGGGAGAGAGCTGGTTGTTATTAAAGAGAGAGAGAGAAAAAATATATATATATGCGCCTTTCGCTCCTGTCTTCGTAGCAGAGTAATTCAACGTACTAGCTTTTTCTTTTTAAGCATTTGAGAGTCACTGTTGAGGGTACTCTTTTTTTTCGCGGTGCCTTCTTTTTCATTTTATGCATTCGTAGAGCTCCTCGTCTCTTCGTCTCTCTCTCTCTTTCCGCGTGTCGCCCGCGGTGCCGCAACAGCAGAGCCGCTCGCATTAATTCTATCTTCATCGTCAGTGTTACACAGTTTTCAGCTCGTGTGGTGATTCTTTTTTTTCTTCTTTTTCTCTTTGGTTCTTCTTCCCTCTCCTTCTCGTTTCGTCTTCGTTGTTTCGTTGTGTACGTGGAGTGGCATCAAGCTCCACATTTCCACCCTTTTCGCGGCCGACTACTCTGCTTCTTTTCGTCTGCCAGGGAAACTCCTTTTTTTTGGTTGTTGTTTTAAACCGACCTTCTCCTTTTTTTGCTTTTAAAATTCGTCTCTTCCCTTTTCTTTTCCTTTCAAGCGCTTCTCTTGGTTGCATCCTTGCTGTTACCTGAGTCCGCTAACACATTCATTCTGCTTTTTGCTGTTGTTACTTCTTTATCTTCTGCCTTGGCTCGTTTTATTGTTTGCTTATTTGCCTCCGTACTGCTACACCTCCGTTCATCTCTGTATTGAGGGGAAAAAAAATCTACTACCTAATACCAACGGAGGGGCACGCAATCGGTCATCGTCAGCTACGGTAAGCCGTTCTTCTCGTTTCGTTTCTTTTTTTGTTTTATTGTTTTCATCATTGTTACTTCTTCGGTGGCATTTTTCCCTCTTCTTTGGAATCCACCACTTTCTTTCTTTCTTTACTTCTTCTCCAAACACCAAATATCTTCTAAACCTCTCGTTATCTTATTGCTGTTATTACTGCTTTTGTTTTGTGGTTGTTGTTTGTCGTGTTGCAGCCGTCGGGAGCCTCATAGGTGGACCTTCGTTTTTTCCCCTTGCTCTTTGTCGCCTTCCCTTTTGTGTATTGTACGTTGTTGGGTGACGGACGCACGCCCACCAGCAAATCACACTATACAGAATTACAACGGAAAAGGTGTAAAGCGGCGCTACATTTCTTTTTGTACTACTCCGTTTTGTTTTCTCTCTCTCGCCTACCGGACTCCCCGCTGTTTTTCCAACGGTCTTTGTTGTCGTGGCTTCCTCCCGTTGTCGTACACATCCGCTTTGCGCCACTCTTTCTGCCGTGTCTAGCGCCGCGTTCTTTTCGTTGTCTTGTTTATTAGTATTATTATTTCTATTGGCTTCCCCCCCCCCCTCCCCCTCTTCTTTTTTGTAGCTTTTGTTTTGCTTCTCCTTTTTGATCATGTCGACATCGGAGCCGGCCCAACGGCGGCATGTGCGGCGTCCCACACAGAAGCCCAGCGAGGACGTGCGCGCGCCACACAATCCGCCGGACAGTATCACCGACGGCGACCTCCCTGCGCACTCCCCCCTCCCCCTCCCCGACGCAGACGAACGCTACGACAGCGTGCTGTTATCCTCCCGCAGCACGACGACATCCCTGTCGCGGCAGCAGACGCTATCGCACACGGCGAGGACTTGCGCCTTTACCGAGTCGCCCTTCCTTTACTCGCCTACTCTTGCGGCTGCACGTTACAGCAACACGCCAACCGTGACATTGAAGTCGACAGCCAACAGCACCCCCACCTCGGCAAAGGTCTCACCTACCACTGCTACCGCCACCTGTGAAGGGGAGAACGTGGAGAGCAACGAGGGTGTTGTGGCCAACAAAAAACCTGACGGTCCTTTCGTGGCCGGCGCCACGCCGGAGAAGAGCAGCGCGAAACGTGGGTTACAGGGCAGCCCGTCGCCGCAGACACACATCGGCGGAGACGTCAGAAACGATGGAAGCGAGCTGCATCCTGTCGAGGAGAGTCTTTCGTTTGAGATCTACAACTGTCACCCGTACAACATCAGTCAGGGTCGTAACCCATTTATACCGAATGAGATGCGCTTTCCACGCAGCTACACTGGCAGCGCATACCGGGAGTCCCCCGTGGCACCAAACGTGCTGCCGATGGTCTCGCTCCCCGACGACGTCAATCAGCGCTACCTCGCGTCGGCGAGTTCGCGTGAGCAGCCGCCGGGTGGGCGCTACGCGGCCATGTCTCAAAGCTCACGCTCCGAGGAAGCCCACCAGCTCACTCCGCGACCCACGGATGGCGAGAGTTTTTTTGTTGAGGGCTCCTCTCATCCTAATGGTCGCGGCACGCTTCTCGATGACAACGTACGGCACAGCGCCACCGAGAGCTTCTTGGCCGACGACGGGGGCAGCAGCAGCGCACAGCCTCTACGGGTGGATGCGTCGATGAGCTCGCAGAGTTTTATGCGGAACTTCAAGCGCCGGCACACCGCGAAAGCCGCCAGCGGACGCGGTGGGAATGCTGGGAATGGCCGTTACGCTTCGGCAAGCTCGAGCGGCTCCCATCGGATCTCCGCGGACGTGGCCGCGACAAGCGGTAGCAGTGGCGCCGGTCCTGGCCCGGAGGTGTTCTCCTCCGACCAGCTCACGCAACTGCGCCCCGCCCACAGCAAGCGGCGAGGTGGAAATGCCGCCGCAACGGCCGCTGCAGCGGCGGCGCCCGACGACGGCGGTGACACACCGCACGGTCGACAAGACGTGAATGTGCTGGGCATCAACTCCAGCGATATGTTCACGCGCGCCACGACGGCCCCTGCCGAGGATGGCGTCGCGTCCCCCTCCACGGCCGACTTCTCCATGGTGCGTGCCCCTGTGACGGGTCTGCATGCCAAAGTCCTGGGCAACACCGCCGTGGACGAGAACGAGGCCGCCGAAGACCCCGAAGAACGCGAGTTGCTCACGCAGCAGATTCACAACTTCGTCTCGAAGATTGTGCGAAAGCACCGCGAGGAGTCGACCGGCTCTCCGCAGGCGCAGCCGCCGTCGTCGCCCTCCGGTTTGCCTGCTCTCGACGTGGAGCACGAGAGGAAAGCCGAGATTCTTCGACGTGCAAATGCCGAAGCTGCCGCCGAGGAGGCAGAGCTACAGAAGAAGGAACGACGTCCAGGTGTCAACGCCAATGCGGCGGCGCCGCATTCCCTTTCCCGCCCCTTGGACGCCTCACCGACTACACCACCGGGAGACACCACGGCCGCGAACAGCAACAGCAATGAACCGACGGCGGCGGAGGGAGGGCGTCCGGGGAGGGGTGAGAAGGCCCACAAGCGTGTTCGTTTTAACCTGGAAGGATTGCCTCCCCGGGACGAAGAGGGACCCAACGCACTGCAGATGCCGCGACACAGCATGGGGCGGACCGACGGCGCGCCGGTAAAGCGTCCGCTCTCGCCGCCCGTTTTGCTCCCCACTCCTGACACCCCTACCACCGCCAGCAGCGCAACACCGGCGGGTGAGACAAAACACACGTCCACCAGACGGCACAGCTCCCCCCAGACGGTGGACGTCCGCTCCCTTTTATGCGCTGGCGTGACGGAGCGAAACCTGCAGCTGCCCTCCAGTCCCACGGCGGAGGGGACGGCGACGACGACAACAGATGCGGCAGAAGCGGAGGAGACGACGTCGCCACTGCCGCTGCGATACCCCGTCAGCGTCGCGGACTCCTTCATGAGCAGCCAACCGTGCACGCGGAAGGCTTCACGTGATGACAACGACGAGCAGCAGCCGCAGCGCACCACCGTGACGTCGGATGTATCTTTTACCCCGACGAGTGCGCTGCCTTCCTCCTCGTCCGCCGTCAACACCGTCGGAGGTGCAGCGGCGGCGACAACAAAGTGCCTCCCGGTGCCGCCTGCGCCGGCGGCGGCCATGCAGTTCACCTCCCCCACGCAGGAACCGCAGAGGCGGCACAAGTCGGCGGCGAAGGTGCGGAAGGCGTCGAAGATGCACCGCAAGGCTGTCGTGGCGCTGGTCGTGGGGGCGAGTGAGTCGGTCACGGCGTTGCAGTCGAGGGACTCGTCCTCCACCCAGCATTCCCAACTCGGACCGCTCACCCAACCATCGCTCAGCCTGCTCAGCTCGATGGAGGTGTGCATGCCGGCGAGCGCGCGCAACGTAGTATGTGTGAACCTCAGCAAGCCCAACATCCACGCGCCACCCCCCATAAACACCAGCGTGAACAGCACGTCCACCAGTCCCATGGCGACGAGTACGGGTCCGCCGCATGGCGTCGCGCCCGACATCGACGCCGCCACACCAAGCAAACGGGCCCACCGAAGCGAATGGGGACCACAAAACCGCAACACCAACCTCGCCGCAGCAGCGCCATCAACGCTCACCGCCTTCGAGCAACCCCCTCCGTTACGCTCCATGCAACTCACTTCACCTCAACAGACCTCCGCCGTCCTCGTCAGCGCAGCCACCGCCGCCACCACCACATCCTCGTTGTGCTCGAAAGACGGTGAGGCGAAGAGGCCGCGCGAACCGGCTCGGCGGAGGTCGGCCGCCGCCCGCACCGCACCCACCGACGACGCGGGAAGCTCCACCGCCCCTTCGTCGCGTCGCAGCAGCCTTGCCGTCAACGGCCCCACTGCACCGAAGCCGGGCGCCTTTGCGGAGCTGCCCCCGCTTTCTGCCTCGTTGCACAGCCGGACGTCGACGCCAGACGTCGCGGGGAGCCCTACCACGGCAACGGCGACCAACATCGCAACCACCACGGGTGGGGAGGCGCAAGGAGTGCTGCTGCCCGCTGCACTAAACCGTCGCCCCTCCGCTTTGCACGACGCCGCCGGCTTGGTCTCTTGGGGGCGGCAGGAGCACTCCTGCAGCACGGCAGAGTTCAAGGACGATCGTGAAATGTCGCCCCGGTCGGCCAACGGCAGCGAGAGGTCCGCCACGCGAGAGTCGTCGGTGGCTGGGAGTGCGAGCGAAAAGGCTCTGGCGATGCAGCAGCTCCCGCACGTGCTCCCGCGACTGTCAGGCTCATCGCTGAAGCCGCGCTCTGCGTCGCAGACGATAACGCCGCCGTTTTTATAGTTCACTGTGGAACTGAAGTGCAAAGAAGGGCCACACATACCTCCCTTTTTTTCTTCCTTCTTTCCCCCGGTCGCTTCTTTCATCAGCGCGTTATTCTTATTTTGCATTATTGGTTCTTATTACCTCAGCCCACTTCCATTGCGGGTAGAACGAAGAAGGAATGGTTGGTGCAGTGCAGAACGTTGCTCGTCCATTGACGCTGGTAAAACGAAAAACAAGTGTGTATTGCCATTTTTTCTCTCTTTAATTATTATTATGGTTTCCACGTTGTCCGAGCAGCGCTGCTGATTTCCTTTCTCCTTCTTTTTTTTTCCCTTTTTTAAAGCTTCTCCAACTCTCTCTCCGTCATCCCACTTTCTTTCCTTCTTGTTTTTTGGATCTGCGTGTGTACTGGTGTTATCTTATCCTGCCTCCTCACGTTCTTTCTTTTTTTTTCCTTGCAGCTCTGTCGCTCTGCCGCCTCAGCGACGTACACTCACCTGCGGCGTGTTCGGTAACGGTGGAGGACATCCGAACACGTGAGATGTGTTTTTCCTTCTTCTTTTTTGTATTTTTCTTTTCCCCTGTTGCCATGTTCGGCAAACTGAACAGCCACAAACAGCACAGAACGAAAAACGGACGCCGCTCTCTGTCACTCACTCGTACGTTAGAGTTAGCCTTTTTTTCTTCTTCTTCTTCTTGAGCGGCAACGCAGGTTTTGCGTACCGCAGATGCATCATCCCTCCTTCTTCATGGCGTTGGATGACGCGGAGCCTCGCTTAAAAAACAAAAAGAGGTTTATATCGGAAGACGCGACAAGATGACTTCGCGGATGTGTTTTCTTTTGCCCAGATTGACTGCACCTCTGCTTCTACCCAAGTATTCTTGAGCCTTGGCAACCACTCGCTGACTCTTTGCGACTTCAAAACCCTCCGTATTTCTTCTTCAATTTCTTTCTCCCTCCGTCTCTCTCGCTGCTGCTCGGCAGTCTGTTTTCAAAGCCTAGAGTGGCAACTGTTTATTCTCCTTTCGCCGCTGCGTTCACCACGCCCTCTCGTCCTCCTCGTGCGCTGCGTCGGCCTTCCATACTGAGAAGGGTTGGTGTGGAATACAGAGGAAGAGATGAAGTGGCTCGTTTTTTTTCTTCTGCGCGTTGCCATCAGCGTTTGTTCATTAAGACCGGTTGCTGATAGTTTTTTTCTTTAATTTGTTAATCGAAAAGGGTTATTTAGTTGCTGCGAAGCAACAACTCTGCCGCGCACCTCTTCCTTTTTTCCCCTCTAAGTCCGAAGCCGTGGTGGTTGAGTTGGCGTTCTCTGCCCCTCGCGCACTCCACTGCTCCCGATGGAAGCGCGTTTCAACGACGCCATCCACAGCCATTCCTCTCACCACCTCAGCCATCTCGCCACGGTGCTTAATAGCGCGATTCGAGTCACCTTTTCGGTGACATCTCGTCTTGCTGCGTGGACGCGATGGACTTCTGCGCCGGTCTCGCAGGAGAGCTGGACGTTGTACCGCGGCACGGCGGTCTTCATCGTCGTCATCACGGCGCTGCGTGTCAGCAAAGGTTGGTGCTTTGGCAACGGTGTCTACCTGCGTCGGCGCGTGCTTCTCCTCGCTCATATACGAACGTGGGTGTTGGAGTGGGAGGCCCGCTGCTTGGACGAGGTGGAGGCGTGTTGCGCAGACGTGGATGGAGAGGCGACGTCTGTGCTGACAGCGTTGCTCGGTGCCGACGGCGCCGCAACGATGGTGGAAAGTTGGAAAGGACCATCCTCGCCCTCGTGCGCTCGCACTCGCACCTCCTTCTACGGCATTACGTGTTCCATGGCGTTTTCGCCTGACTTGCCGCTTGAGGAGATGCTGGAGCTGGCCTACGTGGCGCCGTACGTGTTGCACCTCCACGACGACCGGGCGTGGCTGGAGCGGTTCATACGGCTCCTGCAGTATATCCTGCTGCGGCGTGTGTCGTTGATGGAGGAGGCACGGCTGTACGCCCAGCTCTATCGCCGCATGTTGTTTCCCGTAACGAAGCAAGCCGATGGGTGCCAGAGACGGCAGGGGCGAGGCAGCAATGGCGGCATCGGCGGACGAGGGAAAACCTCCTTCCTCTTTTCTGCGAGCAAAAGCCGCGTGTCTGCGTGGCGGCTGCACCGACGTCCCACCTGGTTGGTGCCGCTTGCTGCCGCAGCCTCCGCCGCGCCATCTTCCTCTCCCATCAGCTTCCCTTATCTGTGTCTTCCGCTCAGCTACTTTCCTGTCGAGTCCGTGCTGCCGTACACCGCGGCGGAGTCGTGGCTGAGTGAGCGACTGCTCAAACCGCTGCTGCCAAAGTGGAGGAGGGGTTGTACGCGTACGCTGCGCGACTGGTCTGCGTTGAACTGTACCTCCACCACAGGTGTGAAGAAGGAAGTCCATCACGGAATTGCGGCGTGCAAGGTCAGTTACTGGTTTCTGCACTACGCGGCCCCGCTCCTGCGTACGCAGCTGGAGCTGCACCGCGAAGCCGCTCGATGCTTCTACACGAAGAAGTTATACGATTTGGCCTATCCGGACGAGGAAGAGGAAGAGGAGTATTCCACCTCTGAAAAGGCAGGTGCACTTCACCGACGGGTGGGCCGTGGGTCAATGCGGCTTCTCTTTCACAGTGCCGGTAGTTGGTGCTCATGGAGACGGCGAGGCAAGGGAAATGGTGCCGTCGACCCCCCGGCTACTGCCGACACACCCATTATGGCAGGATCAGATGACGTTTCTGCTGCGAGCGTAGACATGGGACAACGCGTACGCCGTGCGCTGCTGCTCCGTGCCTTTTCACAAGGTGTGTCGATCACCCTGCAAGTCTGCTTTCCTCGCTTGTCGCTGCGGCATGTAACCGAAATGGCTGCCACGGGCTACTGCCTGAGCGCCGCCGGTGCCGTATCGTCTCCTGACGCCACGCCATCTGCTTCTACCTCTGCAGATCCCTCCCCACCTTCTTCCACGCCCACCGTTGACGCGTTACTGAACTCCCTCGCCGCACAAATGGCGTGGTCCATCGCCGCCGGTGTTGCTGAGGTTTTCCTGCAGCGTATTATTGGTACGATTGGCGGTCGCCTCTCCGAGAGGATCGCCGCGGACGTCACGACGGCGCTGGAGGAGAACTTGCTACACGTGGACGAGGCATTTTTTCGACGGTGGCTGCGCGGCGCATCGCTCGAGAGCGGTGGGTCGTCTTCGCCGCCGCCGCAAAAACTTCGGTCCGGCTCTGCGGGGTCGTACTTTGTGCGACGCCCACCCTCAGCGGATGACGTGCTCAGCGTGGGCCGTCGCAGCGGAGAGAAGGTGATGGCGGTGCACGACGCCGTGGTGAAGCGGTGGCTGCGCTGCACGGTGCTGGGTTTGCGTGCCGCGGCGACGCGAGAGTGGCGGCCGCTTGTCGGGGCCGTGGCGACGGCCTGGGTGGATGTGCCGAAGCTGACATCTGCCTTTTCGGTCCGCGTTGGCTACTCGCTTCCCCAGGACGTGGCGCGTCTGCTGTCAAGCAAAGAGGGGAGTCTACCCAGCCGCAGTCCAGCAGGGCTGCGACTGCTGATGGAGGTGCTCGTGGAAGAAGCAGAAGCCTTGGAGGAATCGCAAGGTGCGTCACGTAATGCCGCGTCACTGTGGAGGAGAATACGCACGGCAGGCCGTTTTTCGTCATTGTCGCATCCTTTTCTCGCTCTGCTGGTGTGCGCGAGGGTGTGGAGCTTCGACCACATGCTCGGCGAGGCGCAGCAGAGTGCGGCGACGCTCTCGAGACGAGTGCGGGGCGCGCGCCGGTTGCACACCACCGTTGCAACGTTTTCTTTCGCGCACGTCGGAGCCGTCAGGTGTGCAGCGTCATCTTTATCAGCTCCACACGTGCGGAATGCGGTGGCTGCGCTGCAGGACGACGCGCGCTGTATTGCCTACTACAGCCTCTACCATATCGAGCACATATGCCATGCTCGCACCGCTCTATCGACTACCGCTGGTGCCGCCGCGGCGAACACGCTGCATCCCCTGCTCGATGCCGAGGAGACGCAGCTCTTACAGACGCCTAGCGCCCTGGCGTACCTCCCAGAGCACGTCGACTTCCGTGACCTCTTTTCGCTGCCCTACCGCTTCATCCTCCGCCAGCTTGGACTGGAGATGGTATTTGCGTACCGCACCGCGATGGGCATGCAGCAGGAATCGCGGCAGATGACGGAGGAGTGGTGGACGCTGACGCTCTTCAACAGTACCTTCAACCCTCTTACCTCGGCGCTGCAGGAGTGTGTGCAACTCCTCGCCGCCTGCGGCACCGTGGGGCTCCTCTGCACGCGTGTCGACGGCAGAGGCCAGCTCTGTTTTGCCCCAACGACACTCACGAGCGTGTTGCAGTCCTCACATCTCATGCACGTGTATCGAGAGGTGCTGCGCAGCGGGGTAGCACTGCGTCAGTTGGAAGAGAACGTGTGCCCGGTGCAGCAGCTGTGCGAGTGGCTGCCATGCACGATCTGGTCGGAGCGCAGTGCTCTGCAAGCCGCCACAGATTGCCAGGATGGCCCTGCGCACGATGAGGATAGAAATAGTGCCTCCTCGCCCTCGTACATGTATCAGTACAAGCGTTGTGGTCCATCAACACTTCAGCAGCGTCGCCGTCTGTGGCGCCGGCACCTCGCCCGCCACCGGCCGGAGCTACTCTTCGACCACGACGACCGCATCGTCGGTGGACTGCGCCTTCGCCGCGGCGTGAGCTGGCACCACGTCTTCTTCGCCTACCCCCAGCTCTTCGGTGCGGAGCATGAAAACGGGATGTCGGGCGGCGCGCGCGGTGCGGTGCGGCCTACCCTGTCCGACGTGACCTTCACGTGCCCGCCCATCGGCATGACGGCCGTCATTGGTCCCAGCGGCGCCGGCAAGAGCTCGCTGAATCTGCTGTTGCGGCGTCTGTACGATCCAGTGCCGGTGATCCAACAAGACCAGCCTGACGCTGGAGGTGGGAAAGCATCTCTGGACGAGGTGGGGCTGCAGTTGGAGGCGGAGGACATGCTGCTGGAAGCGCTCCGACTCGCGCACGTTGCGAACGTGTTGCCCCTTCCTTCTCTTCTACTGAGGTCGTCTCCTCTGCCTCGCACGATGCGCACAGCCGTGAATGCAGCATCCCCAAACACACAATCGAACAGCTACGGCATATGGATTCGCCCCGGCTACCTCGCGCTGGACGAGATCCCGCTGTCGCTCTTCGCCGCCACTTACATCCGTCAGTGGTTCGCGTGGCTGCCGCAGACCCCCACGATTCTCCCACAGTGCAGCTTCCTGCAGAATGTCCGTGTAACGTCGCCCTTCGTGACGGACGGCGACGCCGAGAGCGCGCTGCAGCTGTGCGGCTGTCGCGACTTTATCGAAGACCGTCACCGCACGATGCACGACCTCGTGGGCCCGCTCAGTGGGGGCGAGGGGCAGCGACTGGCGCTGGCGCGCGTGTTGGCGAGCGTGTACGCGCGGCGTCGCGTCGAGGTTATTCAAAGCTGCTGTTACAACGGTGAAGAGGAGGACGACGGTGTTGAAGACGGCTGCGGTGCTGTGGGTGGCGTGGCGTTGGATGAACCGACCAGTCGCCTGGACGCGATCAATGAGCTTCGTCTTCTCGCGTCGTTGACCGCACTGCGAGAGAGCCGAACCACCGGATTGGAAGCCGACACTTCCCCCATCAGCAGCGTGTCAACCCCGCTGCTTCCGCTGTTTGTGTGGATGATCTCGCACCGCATGTCATCGCTGCGCTCTGCCATCTTCATGGTGGTGGTCGAGGACGGCGCGGTCACCGCGACGGGGTCCCCGCGCGATGTGCTGCAGCGCAACATCTTTGCCCGGAAACAGTGGCAGTATCAACACCTGCGGCGTGCCGCGGAAGGTCTGGAAATCGACGTGGCCGGCGATGACGAGGTCGGCGTTGGGTTGTGAAGGATGTAGGCGCATCCGTTTTGTAGGATCGGGTAGTTGTGTTGTACCACCGCTCCACTCTCCACAGAAGGTATCTTTTTTTATTAATTTGAAAATCTGCTTTCAATCGAACGCGAAATCTAAAATATGTGAAACCTCTACTTTTGCTGGTTTTGATTCTGCAGGTGCTTCTTTGAAGCGAGCGTTACGCGGACGCCACCAGGTGGTGAACGCAGAGGTTGATGCAGCATGAATTGTGCGTCTGTAATGCTCGACGTCTTTTCGCTCACTGTACTTGTATGTGCTGATCTTGTTCCTCCGCTGCTCTCTCGCCATCTCATGCATCGTAGCACGAGCTGGAAATGTACTGTGCGTCGGCACGCCCTCACCTTCACCGGAGCACGCACGCAAACGTACATCACTTCATTTGGCCTTTTGTGCACTACCGTTTGGAGTAACTTCATCAACACTCGTTTCCTTCGCTTCGTATATATTTATATGGGTGAAGCACGCATGAGGACGAGACTCTCTTCGCTTCGACAAAGAATCATAGAAAGCAGCAATGACCACAACCACCGCCGCGTTTCCTTTATGGATCAACGACGTCGCAGCCATCACCGAGCTGCAGATGTCGCAACACTCTTCGGACGAACACGTGCCGCGTGCTTCGGCGCCGTCGTCTGCCACCTCCCTGTTGACCATACGCGACCTGTTTCGCTGCAACACGCACGACCCGCAGGAGTGTTGGCGCTACACCCTGCTTTCGAGCTACGTGACCGACCTGGAGTGGCTGCTGACATCGGTGCCGGAACTGTCGGCAGTGACCCAGAAAGTCCTTGTCTTGAGCGGGGACAAGGGAACGGCGACGCTGCGCAGGAACGAGCACGGGCACTACCTGCCCACCTCCTCCGCGCTGGACCGCGTGAATCCTTTTCTGGCTGCTCTGCAGACAGTAGCCCAGAGCCGACGGCAACACACAGGCGGTGGCGCCTCTTCTTCGTCCGCCTCTTCTCTTTCTGCAGTTCGTCTTACGCGTGACCGCTTTGCTGCGCTTGAACCGCCGCTGCCGATCGCCTTCGGCACCTACCACACAAAGATGGCCGTGTGCGTGAACGCGCGAGGCGTGCGTGTGTGCATCTTCACCGCCAATTTGGTGGAGCAGGACTGGCGGTGGAAGACGCAGGGCATCTACATGCAGGACTTTCCTTGGGAAGGCGCGGCGTCTGACTCGCCTGCGACGGTGCCGCTGCCCAAGAGGAGCGCCAAAGCGAGCGACTTTGCACGTCAGCTGCGGCGCTACTGGGCGTGCTGTGGGCTTGACATGTCCACACCCTTTTCCTGGGAGACCGCCGAAAAAACCCCGCTCGGCATCTTTAACACGGATTTTCTTGCTCACGTGAACTTTGCAGAGGCGAAGGTGTGGCTAGTGTCGTCGGTGCCCGGCACGCATGTCGGGGGCGAGGCGAGCGCGGGGTACCGCGTAGGTTTGTGTCGCCTGGCCGAGGCGTTACAGAGCTCTGCCGTTGCTGTAGCCAACAAGGACGCTCCTTTGGTTTTGACGTGGCAGTACAGCTCGCAGGGTTCGGTGAATCCAAAGTTCTTGAACGCTCTTCAAGCGGCCATGTGCGGCTCGCCAGAACTCGTCGATTTAGCTGCCGCACACAAAGATTTCCCTCCCTCTTGTTCCCCTCCTGCAAACGTGCAAGACGTGCAGATCATCTATCCCACAGAGGCGGAGGTGCGGAACAGCTTCGAGGGTTGGCGAGGCGGCGGCTCGCTGCCACTGCGGCTGCAGTGCTGCCACGAGTTTGTGAACGAGCGGCTGCACCGCTGGGGGTGCCAACGTCGCCTCAGCACATCCTCCTCTTCCACCCCTTCCGCCGCAGCTGCTGGCGTTGCTGCCCACTACTCGCGTGCGTCTGCGGTGGACGTGGATGCGTTGGATGATGATGAAGAGGGAGAGCGAGAGGGAGCCGTTCTGCAAAGCCCATCGTCTTCTGCTTTCGCGTATCGCCAGTACGCGCTGCCGCACATCAAATCGTACGCGGCCGTGCACGCCGACCGCACCCACCTGCACTGGTACCTCTTGACCAGCGCGAACCTATCCCAGGCGGCGTGGGGCAGCATCGGTGCCAAGGCCACCAACAAAACACCCCGGCGGCTGCTCGTGCGCTCCTACGAACTCGGTGTGCTGTACGACCGCACATCCGCGGTTTCCCCATCTGCCACTCCGTGCTTCAGCGTGGTCGCTTCGCCGTGCATTCGCTTCCCGACCTTCGCGAACTCGGCAGACGCGCTCTTTTCCACTCCACTGAGCGACAGCAGCCGGAGCCGTGCAAACGTCGGCACTGAGAACTTCGCCGAGCCTTCCCTGTTTCTCCCGTGTAACATGCTGCGACCCGAACCGTACGCGAGCTCCGCTACCTTGCGCGCCGACCGCCGCTCGAATCCCGAAGGCGTCGCCCTGCCGCTTAGCTGCCGTGACGTGCCATGGGTGATCGAGATTCCCCACCGCGGCCCCGACGCATACGGGCGGGACGTGGAGGAGGCGTTTGCAGCGGACACCCTCCCCCCGCTCTCCCGGTGGCGACCCTGTGTCGAGGAAGGCGAGGCGGAGAAGCCGCGAGTTACTGCGCGCAAACGTGCACGTGACTAAGGAAACGCGTGCATTGAAAAAGGGGGGAGGGGGCAAACCTGGAACGCATTGTTTGTGGATGGCTTTTTTTTCTTTCTTGTTTTTCCCGGGTTGTTTGTGGAGGCGCAGCCGGGCAAGCCTCTGCACTCCGTCTTGTAAGGTCGTCTTACCGAGACGTACGTTCCACCGCATCATCCGCTGTAAGGAAGAGGAGAGAAGAGAACCCGTCCAAAAAAAGTGGCAATCTTTTTCGCAGACCAACGAGAGCGCAAGAGAAAAGAGAAGAAAAACACTAAGCTAACTCTCCGCTGTCAATCACGTATGCCTGAGCTTGTTGTTGCCTTTCAAGCAGATTAGTTTTCAGAAAGAAAAATGATAATAATACCAGTAGGTTCTTTCTTCATCTTTCCCCCACTCTTCACCTCTGTTTCTTATGTCTGTCGAACAACGCTCTTTAAATTCACCGTGCATAATCAACGTTATTTAGCTTCTTCTTCCACGTCACCAAGGTGGAAACAAGCATCCTCACCGTTTTGTGTTTGGTAGAAGGGTTGGGACTATTTTCGAAGTTCATTTGTCCGTGTCATTGCTGTACTGTAGTGACTGCGACGCGTGCAATCTCTGACAGGCCTTCTTGGAAAAAAGAAAAACATTTCAAGACCAGGTGCCCAACACTTGTGGTACACTGTGTCTTGAGCACATAATAGTTTCAAAGCGAAAGTGGAGCAGGAAGATACCGTTCGTGAGACTCTGGGATTCTACTTTGTGGTTCATTTCGGTGTTCATATAAGTGTAAAGTATAGCATTGAAATCCAAAGACCTCTTTAGTGTGCTTCAGAGCGTTCATTTTTTTTTCTCTGTCGTTGCTGTTGAGTCGACACAAGAGTGACAAGTTGGGTAGTTTTTCATTACTTGCGTGAGTGAGTGCGTGAGTGAAATTACACAATACCGATACAAAGAGAGAAAGGGAAAACGCTGGTGCGTTGCACGCCTTCACTCTCTCTCTCGCCGTTCTATTCTCGTGGTAGTGGTTTTCTTCCGTTTTTTTCTGGTTTTCCTCACCTGTTGTTCTCTATTTCTACAGGGTATTGGCGAGAAAGTTTTTTTTTCAAGATAACTTGCTGAATCGACGACGACGGCGACGTGTAACATATACACTAATTTCTATATATATACATAACATCAGAACAAATCTATTCTCTATTTTTTTTTCTCCTTGTTCTTCCTTGTCTTCTCGTAGGTTTATCAAAAAAAAACAAGTACTTCTATTCTGATTTGTGGTGCTTCACGTCATTGTGATTCTCTCTCCCTCTCCCTCTGTTACATTTTTCACACCTGCACATAGAACGCGTTCACTTTCTTTTCTTCTTCTTTTCCAGCATTTGTATCAGCGGCTGTGATTTGGTGCTCTTTCTCCATACTCATCGTTTTTTTCTTTCTTCTAATTTTGTGGACTCGTCTCTGTGTGGCGACATATTTTCCTTTAGCCCTTGACAGAAACTACGATTCTTCTCCTCCGTGTAGATTGAGTAGAGCACTAACTCACTCTTACGCACAAGTACTTGCTGCGACTGGAGCGCAGCATTTGCGTGCTTTTTTTTTTCTTCTTCTTTTTACTTTCGCTTTCGAGCTTTTCGTTTTTCGCACGCTCCCTCTCTCTCTCTCTCGCTCTCTTTGTGTGTGTGCGCACCGTTCCACCATCTCGTCACGCGCATCTTGACGATTTCTTTTCTTTCCTGAACGGTTCATTTTTGCTCCTTTACGTTGTTGTGTCCGTGTTGCTTGATGTCTGTTTTGCGTCTCTTTCGTGCTCCTCTTTGAAAAAGAAACAAAGGCGCTTTCGTTGTTTTTTTCCTTCTTTCTTCTCTGTATATATACTGGCGACAAGTGTACTGTTTTTGCGTGCTTTCAAACCTTTTGGTTTTCCCCCTTTTTTCCCTTCGAAGAGTAGATCGAGCGCAATTGCACAGCCGCGTGCATCGGTGCGTTATTTTGCGGCTCCCGCTCACTAGCTCCCTCGTGGACGACTGAGTTCCAATTTAGACCGCCATCGTCATGGCGTCCCCCGCTAGTACAGACACCGTGGTGACGCGGCAGAAGATTGGCTTTAAAGGCGAGGAATGGGAGGAAATCCTCACAACGCAGCGCGACGCCGTCGTTGAGGCGTTCCGTCGCGACACCGCCGGTGCCCTCGGCATCGCCGTCGACGGCGTATTTGACGTCCAAGTCCGTGAGAAGAACTTCACGATGCACTGCTCTATCCGCCACAGCGCCACCCTGTCGAAGGCGGATGTGAAGAGGGTGCTGACCACAAGTCCGTACACGGAGGTGTGGAAGTTCTACTTCGCCAAGCGGCGGGAGAGGGAGGCGACGGGGACGGCGGCAACGAATGGGCGGACGGGGACAAACGGCCATTCTGCGACGCCGACTGCTGAGCACCGCTACACCATGTACCTGCGTGGTGAGTACTGGGACTCATCGCGCCCGCATTTTGATAAGACGGTCCTGCGGGCGGTGCAGCTCGACATAAAGCAGGCGCTGCTGAAACGCAGAACGAGCAGTGAAGTATCCGAGGCGGTGGTTGGCGAAACACCCGATGTGGCGGTCACACCCACCAAGGACGGAATTACCGTCACGTACATCATTCCTGATCTCTGCTCCGAGGCAGAGTGCCAGGAGCGGAGGGCGGTTCTCGGGCGCTACAGCTACCCCAACGCGTGGGGGGAGTACTATACCGTGTGCAACAGCCGCGAGCGCGTTGTCACGCGCCATCGCGTGTTTTTGAATGCACCGGAGTGGAACCGTGTGCTGTCGAGGGCGAGGGATGAGGTGTGCGAATCATTCAAGGGGGACGTGGCCTCCATCCTAGACGAGAGCGACGTCTCGCATCTCACCTTCAGTGGGTCCCTCGAGATCACCTTCAGCGTTGCGCACGCGGTCCAGCGCAAAGTGCGTGAGTTGAATCAGCTGTTACGCGACGGTGATTACTGGCGAACATGGAATTCCTACAAGCGTGTCACCGGCGTGGCCCACTCCGGCGCGTCCCCGCTGCCGCCCCCGAAAAACAGCGTGGCAGCTCCCACCGACCTCAACGACATCAACAGCGACAACGAAGAGTTAGTCGTCTCGCGACACCGCCTCCGCTTCCCCGGTGACGCCTGGACTGCTGCGGTCGCGCAACTCGGCAGTCGCAAGGTCAGCGACGCGATCACGACGGATGTGTGCAAGGCCTTGAAAGCGCGAAGGCGCGACGTGTACGTGACGACACTCAAGGAAGGCAGCTTGGTGGCCGACTTGCAGCTGACTCATCTGTCCACGCAGACCAAGGCGTCAATCGACGCCGTCTTTGCGGTCTACGCATTTCCCGCAACGTGGCGGCTTTTACCCGGGCAGCGCGACACCATGGGAACGCCGCCCATTCCGCTGGACGTCGCCCACACCTCTGCCGAGTACAAGCTCACGACCCTGCGCGTGCGACTCGACGGTGCGGATTGGGCGACGGTCACCGCCACTGACGAAGACAAGCTGCGCAACGTCTTCTGCGCCGATGTCACGACGTGTTTCGCGGGGCTGCAACACGTTATTCGCGACGTGAAGTTCTCGGTCGGCAGCTTACGTGCCGTGCTCCGTGTCGAGCACGACTTCGCGGTCACCAGAGACCAGCTGGAGGGTCTGCTGATGAAGTGCGACTTTCACAACACGTGGTCGTATTACGAAGGCTGTGTGGCGCGGAAGCTCACGCTGATGAAGGACAACAGCCGACATCAAATCGTATTCGCTGGCGACAGATGGGTACGCGCCATCCAGGAGCAGCGGGAGCCGATGCGCAAGGCACTCATCCACGACGTTGCCGAGCAGCTCCTCATTCCAACTTCCAACATCACCGACATTCACTTCGAATCGGGCCCCAGGGTTTTCTTCCTCGTTAAGCAGCTTCCAGGCCTCACGCGACGCACCATTGATGAGCGGCTGGAGAAGGGCACATTTCCGCGAATGAACGCGCTGTGCGAGAAGGTCGCCGCGCCTGCCGGTCCCGCGACCCCCGACTCGATGCAGGTGGAGAGCTTGGCCGAGGCCGACGTAGACGCGGTGGCCAATGCACCGAGTTCGCGCGGGACGGCTTCCATTGTCGAGTCCCCCATCTCCGAGGACACAGTGGTGAGCCGCCACCGCGTCCGCTTTGAGGGGCCGGACTGGAAGAAGGTACTGGACACGCACGAGGCGGAGGTGCGCAGTGCCTTTGTTGCCGACATTGAAGGGGCGATCGGCGTGCCAGAAGAAACGGTTCAGATCGTGTCCTTCGAGCTAGGGAGTCTCGTCATCATCTGTGAAATCGCCCACTCGCCTGCGTTAGACCGCAGAGACATCGACCAAAAGCTCAGCATGTACGAGTATCCCAACACATGGACCGTGTATGTGGACGCGGCGCCAAAATCAGCCGATGAGCACGACCTCTACACCACAACTCACCACCGCGTGCAGCTCGACGGTCCCCTCTGGGACGTCGTTGCGGAGAAGAATTCGGACGTGCTGAGGAAAGCATTCTGCAACGACGTCGCAGGCACGCTGTCCCTGTCCCCCGACGACCTCATCAACGTCAGCTTTTCTCACGGCAGCCTGTTGGTGGACTTCGATATTGAACACCCATGCGACTTGACACCTGCAAAGATAGACGAGGGTCTGGCCACGTGCCCATACAAGAAGACGTGGGAGATTTACGGAGCGCACTACAACAGCCTCTACACGCAAGAGACACGACACCGCGTTCGCCTCGAAGGCAACCACTGGGAGACAGTGATGAACCGCCAAGAGACCGAACTCATTTCTGCCTTCAGAGAAGATGTATCCAAGGCAACCGAGCTACCCATCTTTGCCGTATCCGAGTTGGAGCTTAAGTTAGGAAGCCTCATCATCGACTTCACCCTGCGTCACGGCGAGCAAACGCGCCAGTTCTACGATGACAAACTTGCCCAGTGGTCCTTCCCACAGACCTGGTCGCTGTACAAGTCGCCGGCAGAGCCGCAGTCCATCGCGCCGCTGCCCACCGTCACCACCTCACACCGTGTTCGCCTTGAAGGCGATCTTTGGTCGTCGGTTATCCGCTACCAGCTCACCGCCCTCATTGAAGCCTTTCAATCCGATATTAGCCTTGCCTGCGACCTGCCCAAGGAAAACTTCGGCGATTTCGTCTTCAACGAGGATGTGTTTCGCGTGCAGTTTACCTGTGACCATTCCCCGGACCTCACCGCGAAGGACATTAATAAGGCACTGGGCAAGTCAGCGTTCTTGAACAGCTTCGCGCTATACCCCGCCTTTGCCACGAGCAACTCCCAGTCGTTCACTCGTATACGCCACAACTCTGAACAGCAAGATGAAATCGTAGCAACGCGCCAGCTGCTTTCCGAGACGGCTACACCGCTGCGCGCACACGCCGAGCAACTACCTGTTTTGAAGACCAGCGAGGAGACACACGCAGAGGACGACCTCGTTGGGCTGCGGTTCCGGTCCGAAAGCGACAACGCCGAACACATGACGCCGCTCCGCCGTGAGAAGTTGCAACTCCAAGCCAAGGAAAGCTACATGTCCCTCGACGGACTAACAAACTCTGATTCCCTTAAAGTAGCGACCACAAATATTGCCGGTTCGACACCCACCCCGGAACGCACGACACACCTTGTACAGCTTGAGGGCAACGACTGGGGCTGGGTGCTGGAGAATTACAGCGAGCTGCTGCACAACGAGTTCACGAAGGACGTGTCCAACGCGACGTCGCTGCCGCAGAGCGCCGTGCAGCACCTGGTGTTTGCGCTTGGTAGCCTGTTAGCAGACTTTAGACTGGAGCATAACGGGCTGCCACAGGACCAACTCGACAAGCAGCTGAGTCGCTACCATTTTCCGCTAACCATGGCGCTGCACAATCACCTACCGGACCATTTGACGCCGTTAGCACCTGCGGAAAAGGTTCCAGCGCTGCAGCGCGTCGGCACGCCGGAGGAGGCCTACCTCGCCGCACAACACGAGGCTGCGCCGGTTGCCGCGCGCTCCGTCGAGGGACAGCCGCTGCGGGACAACGAGAGCTTCATGTCGCTGGACCCGCTGGACGAGCCGCAACGCGCCGCCGCCGAGGAGGCACCCGCACTGCGCCGCGTCGGCACACCCGTGCAGGCCAAACGAACGCGCACGACACACCTTGTACAGCTTGAGGGCAACGACTGGGGCTGGGTGCTGGAGAATTACAGCGAGCTGCTGCACAACGAGTTCACGAAGGACGTGTCCAACGCGACGTCGCTGCCGCAGAGCGCCGTGCAGCACCTGGTGTTTGCGCTTGGTAGCCTGTTAGCAGACTTTAGACTGGAGCATAACGGGCTGCCACAGGACCAACTCGACAAGCAGCTGAGTCGCTACCATTTTCCGCTAACCATGGCGCTGCACAATCACCTACCGGACCATTTGATGCCGTTAGCACCTGCGGAAAAGGTTCCAGCGCTGCAGCGTGTCAGCACGCCGGAGGAGGCTCGCCAAGTGCCTTCAATCAGCGGGGCACCGCCGCGCTTCATGTCCGTTGCGGAGCCGTACGACGAGGGCTTCGTCCGCCGCGACATGCACGAGGACGAGCAGCCGGAGCCTGTGGTTGCCACTGAGGGCGAAGCGCCACAGCTGCGCCGCACCGGCACGCTACAGGAGCCTTACGAAGTGCCTTCAAGCAGCGGGGCACCGCCGCGCTTCATGTCCGTTGCGGAGCCGTACGACGAGGGCTTCGTCCGCCGCGACATGCACGAGGACGAGCAGCCGGAGCCTGTGGTTGCCACTGAGGGCGAAGCGCCACAGCTGCGCCGCACCGGCACGCTACAGGAGGCTCGCCAAGTGCCTTCAATCAGCGGGGCACCGCCGCGCTTCATGTCCGTTGCGGAGCCGTACGACGAGGGCTTCGTCCGCCGCGACATGCACGAGGACGAGCAGCCGGAGCCTGTGGTTGCCACTGAGGGCGAAGCGCCACAGCTGCGCCGCACCGGCACGCTGCAGGAGGCTCAACCCTCCGATCGCGGCGGCGAGGCGGCTGCTGGTGCACTTTTAGTGTCGCGCTCGTCTGTGGAAAGCAGATTAACCCCGCGTGTCACCTATCACGAAATTGTCCTGCCAGGTCACGAGTGGTACAAGGTTATTAACTTGCCGGAGCTGGCGGGTGCTTTCCGGGTAGACTGCGCGATGGCGCTTGACATCCCACCAAAGTACATCCGCGATATCGCCCTCGCTGCAGGGAGTCTGATGGGCTCCGTTCACGTTGTCCACTCAGCGGATGAGTGGAGCGCGGACGAGACGGATGTAAAACTGTGCAACTACCACTTCCCCGAAACGTGGAAGCTGTACCCCAGCTTCCCAGACCCCAAAATGGTCCACTTCTTTGACGGAGGGACTGCCTCGGCAGCCCTGCGCAATGACGACTCGCAGGTGTGCTCCGCGCAGCGCGAACTGCCGGAAGACGACCGCGACCTCTCCACGTCCGCCTCGACCCATAAACTGCCGTGTCGGCCGAATTCCGCGGTGGAGCGAAGTGATAGGAACGAGCTTCCAATCCGCAATCGTCGGCACTCCGCACCGATAGACGCGCCGCAGGTGCCGGAGAGCCTGCCGGTGAGGGATGAACCGGTGGAAGCGCGTGAGAAGACGCCGACTGACGTTGCGGCTTCGGCGGCGTCTACGGCCGCGTTGACGCCTCCGGAGTTCGAACCCCTCGATAACGTCTCTACTGTCCCTTCGGTGGATGTCTCTGCTGTGCAGTCGAAGGTGCGGTACACCGTGGAAGATCCGTCGCTGTTGCCCGACCCCGCCGCGATGGTGAACACGCGCCACCGCGTTGGCTTCGTCGGTGAGCGTTGGCCGATCATCCTGAAGGATGAACGGGATGCCTTCACAGCAGCCTTTATCAAAGGCACAGCCGCCAAGTTGGGCTTTGCACCGGAGACGGTGGACAAGGTGCAGAGCAGCAGTGAAACCGGCGACACGATCGTGACATTTCACATCAAGCACCCCAGCTCGATGCCGAGTAAGAACATCGACGTGATGTTGCGCACGGCGCCGTACGAGGATGTGTGGAAGCTGTACTACGGTAGCGTGAACGGCGGTGAAGAGCTCCACGCCGGCGAGACGACTTCGGTCCACCGCGTCGGCTTTGTGGGCAACAAGTGGAGAGAGGTGATTGACTGCGACAACGAACGCTTCCGCAACGCTTTTGCGGTGGACACGGCGGCGGCGCTGAACCTTTCGCCGCAGGCGGTGAAGATTGCGGACTACGCCGTGGCGGAGGACATTGTGGTGGACTTCTACGTCACTCACCGCGACACGGAGTCGGACGCGGCTATTGATGATCGGTTGGAACTCTACGACTACCGCCGCGTGTGGGAACTCTACGGCATCCCCAACGAGGCGGATGAGCGCTCGCGTGATGTGCCACTCGTCATGAAACGCAGCCCGGCGTCACGGCACCTGCGCTCGCACGAATCGAGCACCGTCTTGGACCTCGCCGAAACGTGTCCGACGTGCCGGCGCCGGTGGTCGCCGGGGCACGTCCCTCTCGTGTCCCACTCGAGCCATTTGCAAGTGCGCTTCACACCCAGCTACACCAGCTCCAACGGTGACGCCGTCCAGGACTCACTCCGAGAAGGCAGCACCCCGCTGGCCCGTCATACGACGCCACCGCGCTACAAACGACGCCTGCGTAACGGCAGTCCGGCGACAGGCGCGGAGGGGCGCACACCGCACCTGCGCAGCGGCGAGGCCGAGGGCGGAAGTCGGCAGTGGGGAGCCCAGACATCGCCGCGTGTGCCGCGGTACGCCGATGGTGGCCATCACAACAGCACGAACACGAGCCTCGTGCCACACCCGCCGCGGCAGCGACGTCTGAGCAGTGCCACGCGCCACCGTCAGCGCCGTGTCAACCTGCGGGAGTTGGAAGGGGAGTTGTCCCGGAAAGAGCGGGAGCGTACCTACCATGAACGTCAGGATCAGTTGGACCGCGAGATGCGCCGCTCGATGACGCTCAGTCGCACGTCGCTCAGCACCACCTCACCCAACACCTCCGTCTCGCGCAGCTTCCTGCCATCCATCCCCGCACGCTACACAAAGATGCGCCCTAACAAGAACGGCTTCATGAACGGTGTGAGCAAGACTGCCGATCAGTAACACACACACACACAAAGGAAAATAGCTACTTGCTATTAGCTGTTATTGTTTGTGATGTTGACTGTTGTCACTCCTTTACTCTTGTGTTCTCGTTTTAGCTGTGGGTCCATAGTTTTTCCTTTCTTTCTTTCTGTGGGTGTTGGGGCACTTATGATCTTCCTTTTTGTGTTTTGTAGTTGTTCACCGCGTTAATCGTGTCGAAAGCTGTGTTTGCGTGTCTGTCCCCCTCTCTCCGTATATATCTATAGGAGCCCTTTTTGTTTAAAGCGTTTTTTCTCTTTTACATTCACCTTTTTCCCCCTTGTTCATTTATTATTATTATTACTATTACTATTTAGTATTCGAGATATTCCCTCCGCGCCCCTCCCTCCTCTCCCGGATGTGGTGATGTAATTGTGGGGCTTGTGGTACAGTGTGTGCAGTCGAGTCTCCGTGCGTCGTGACAGTGTGATTTTTGTGTTTTCCTTTTTTGTTTTCCAATCTCAGCACGACGTACACCGCTAATGCGGCGTTTTGTAATGATTGTTGTTTGTCTCCCCATCTTTTCTGCGGACCCGTTGACGCCCCCCCCCCCCCTCCTCCTTCCTCACCCCACGCCACCATTTCCAGACACATACACACACACACGCGCAAAAAAACGGAGCATGCCCGTATCATTTCTGTAGAGGTTCTCCCGTCTCTTGTATTCAATTATTTTCTTTGTTAGAAGTCTGGTACTTTTCTTTTCTGCATCTTCAACTCTTCTCACTTGCTTTGTAACGCACGTTTGTGAAAAGCGGGTGGTGTAAACGTTTGGGCAGAAGCGGCTGTGTACTTCTGTCCATTTCATCCGCAACTCTCTGTCCTGGTCCGCGCTGCTGGCCTCTCCAACAGTTGTGTTCGCTTCAGTCAAGCGTGCGTGCTCCTACAAGCCAGCACGCGCACACACACAAGCGCAAGCGCATAGCAAGGAGCTTCCGACGCGTTTCTTGAAGTGAATGCCACTTTAACTTCTTCCTCTTTTTCTTCTTCCAAACTGTATCTCTTGATTACTCCACATAAAAACAAACAAACATATTATACGCACATATAAATGCATGGGCTTCATCTGCAATAGTTGACGTGTTTCGAAAGCACGACAGCTGGCTAGAGCGCTGTGTCGTTTAGAAGGCCTTAATATATAACAAAAGCACCTGTGATCTATGGCGCACATCTACTTGTGCAAGCCGCAGTCACTGGTGCGCCCGCTGTCTCCGTCGCGGTCCAACACCTACTTAGACGATATTCTGCACCAAACACGTATCTGTGGCGTCTTTCCGTCGTACACCGCGCTGATTGCGGCGGCGGGCAACGACATCGCGTCACGCCCCGGTGCTGTGCGCCAGCCACCTCCGCTGCCGCAGCCCCTCACGGAGCAGCATGAGCACACGGGTGACTATGCCCAGGCTCCCAACGCGATCTGCGTTGCGGCCCATCGGAGTCCTTCCGCACCTTTAGTAGTAGAAGATGGAGTGATGCTGCAACCGCCACCGCCCTACGCCGAGGTGCAGGCATCGCCGCACCGTGAAAGTTGCGATGTCCCGCAACCAATGCGAGAAGAGGCGTCAGCGTCGCGTGATCGCACCGTGGAATATGTAAATGAGTTTCTTCACGTGCACACGCATCCTCTCGCACCACAACCACCACCACCATCATTACCATCACCAGCACCGCCGCCACAGCCACCGGTAGTAGTAGAAGCTGCAGCGAACGCCGGGGGAGAATCGCCTTCTTACGGTGCCGCTATGTCCCCGAAGCCCCCGGTCGTTCTACAAGCAAATAATAAGAAAGGCAGGCGTAGTCGCCAGACAACTTCACAGCAAAGAGACGCGCCAAGTCGCCCATTGGCCACTTCCGCCGTGTGTGAGAGTAACGCCCATGGCGAGGTTCCGTCGTCTCTAGCTTATGCGCAGCGCTTTTTGGTAGAGTACGAAGCCCTGTCCAGGCGCGACATCATCATTGACTACTACGCCGCCTTCCCACCGCCGCCGGCCCCAGCCTCCGGCGTCGGCGGAGAGGTGCCGTCGGCGACCACTTCTCGTTCGCCTCTTCGCAACCGGCAGCCGCCAGCCCCCTCGGTGACCGCACCGTTCGCAAAAAAACGAGGGAAGCGACCGAAGCCGACAAGGGACGGCTTTGTTTCCGCAAGCCGGCACAGTTGTCGTCTGGTGTTCCCCGGTTCTCTCTGGGACGCCGTGCTCCGACATCATCGGAAGTTTCTGCAGCACGCTCTGATCCACGACGTAGAGGCAGCGCTGCCGGCCACGTCTGTCGATGTCATCAGCCTTCACACCTCTGCGACGGAGCTGGAGGCGATCCTGTCCGTGAAGGAAATCAACCCGCGTCGTCGCGTCAACGCCGATGCGGTGCTGCAGGAGTGCGGCTTCGACGGAGTGTGGGAGACATACAACTTTGTTTCCTCCGTACTAATAGGTAACGGCAACTCCCAGCATCCGCTGCCCTCTCTCGCCACACCTCCCGCACCGCCACTTCCACGTCCCCTTCCACCAGCCCAGTTCCGCACACGCGCAAACGAAGAAGAACAAGAAAAAGGTGTCGAAGAGGGCGGGGTTGCGCAGAATCAGGCTTCTCCCTCACCTCGCACTGCCTCGCGCGTGGGGGGTGCCCCGTGGCGACAGACACGCCAGCAAGCGAACCGACGTGGTGAGGCTCCCAGCACGCAGTCAGAGCTGGTCGTGCCAATCGTCTTTGCGACCAGCGTCACGAACAAACTGCGTCGTGCAGCCCGCAGCGGCACAAGCGGCGACTTGCACGTTGCGCTACGTCGCGATGGCCTCTATGCGGTGCCGTCTGCGAAAGAAGTGCGAGTGCGCGCTACTCGTGTAAACGCCGACGGCCTCTACGTCGAGCTGGTGTTTCGCTGGCAAGAGGGGGACGAGGTGGAAGAAAACGCGGAGGAGGCCATGGCGGATGCACCCTTCACCGATACGTGGAAGTACCTGGAAGAGTGTCAGCCACCCACAACGACAAGTGTGCTGTCAACCGTCGTGAAGCGGGAAGCGAGCACTGTGAGGCAGACAGCAGCGGCAACACCGCGGCAGCAGGAGCAACGATATCAACAGCAGCCACAGCAACGTTCTCCTCCGTCGCAACCAGTTCGTCGTGTGGGCGCCGGCACGGCGACGCGCACAGAGACGTCGCCATCGTCCTCATCGACCCGCTACTCGGTCAAGATGTTCAATATGATGTGCGAGGTGCCGCTGCCGACTCCATTAATGGCTGCAAATGAACCCAACGTGTCGCGTGGCGCATTGCGGGCAGACATCGCTCGGCTCCCCATGGAGGCAGTCAGTGAAGCGCAGATCAGCATTGGCTCCCCGCAGACATCGACGGACGGCAACTCCTCCGTCGGTTTTGAGGTGGACGCGGTGCCGAAAAGGGTAGCGCGCAGCGTGCGGGCAGCGTCGTTTCCGCAGAGCTTTCCCCACCTCGCTCGTCTATCCCCTACGGTGCCCAGAGCAGCAGCGATGGGTGTCGCAGCGAGAACTCCTGTACCGCATCGTGCGACAGTAGGCACAAGCATGACTTCTCTGACAAGGTCAGCAAGCCAAGTCAGTGAGCGGAGCAGTGAAACAGACAACGTTGCAGCAGCAGAACAGGAAATGCCACAGGTCCCCCCAGCGGCACTGCTGAGCCCTTTGGACGGCGGTGACAACACGGTAAGTGAGGTCTTTTCGGTGTCCGACGACGCACGACCGGCTTCACTGATTTGCGCCGCCACGCAGACCTCCTTCACCGTCTCTTCCTCTTCCACGCTGGTTGTGTCAGCACGCGTCAGAACACCAAGCAGAGTTACTTCCTCTGTTTTTTCGGATTCCTCTTCCGGAGTGATCTCGCCGGAGCAGCAGCAGCAGCAGCGGGAGTCTCGCTGTTCACATGTGACAAGCGAGTCGAGTGGTGCCACCTCTCAGGTCGCACCGCTACCGGTACTCTTTGCTGTTGAGGCGGTGAGCCCACAGGCGTTGGTCGCTGCAGTCGCACTTCATGCGAGCGAAAGCGAACCGTCCGTGGCAGATGAAGAAGTCGATGGGAATGGGCACGTGGCGGAGGCGGGCGGCAGCGCGGAGTCTGCGGAGTCACCGCATAGCACGGCGTCCAGTGCGTCGTCGGAGGACGGCAACGAAGAAAGCGAAGATGAAGGGAGCGTGCAACCGGTGGCTGTGGCGCGGGGCAGAGTGCGCTCGTACGTGCAAATCGAGGACGGCCGAGGCACTTCGTTGCCTTCACTTGAGGTGACAGAGGCGGTTCCTGGCGTCCCGGTGGCGGCGCCGACGGAGCTGAAATACTCGGTGCAAAGCCCACGGCTGACCTTTTCTATTTTGGGCGAGAAGTGGGCCGCGCTGCTGGAGGAGTATCCCGTGCTACTGAAACGCGCCTTGCAGGCCGACGTGCAGGACCTCTGCAGTGTTCCACTGAGCGCGTTAGGAAACGTGGACATCACCTACGACGATCGGTTACGGGTGGTGGTGGTGGTGGACCCAGACGTGACGCTGAAGCCGATGGCCGCTGCGTCAGCTGCAATGTTGTCCATCGGAGACGGCTCGGACACCACCCTGCCGGTTGAGCGCCTGCCGCACGCGTGGAGTCTCTACAACCGGCAAGCGCAGCAGCACTTTTTACCAGCCGCGGAGTCCTCCAAGCCGCCGTTCGCCTTCTCCTTCACCCGTCGCCCGAAGGAGTCGCCGATTCTCTGTCGTCAACCCACGGACAGCCGTGCCGTCTTAAACGGTTCCATTCGTACGGTGAAGCTGAACCCGGTGGAGTCGCTGCTATCTCCCGTTTCTGCTGTGGGCGACTCCCGCAGCATCAGCCGTAGCAGCGTCGTTTCTGTCTATCAAATTGAACTGCCCGGCACCCTGTGGAACACGCTCCTCGCCCACCGCCGCGACGAGGTGACGGCAGCGGTGATGGCGGATGTAGAGGAGCTCCTCGCTGACCAGCTCGCCCAACTCACCTTAGAAGACATAACCGTGCAGGAGGACGGACGGCTGCGGGTGGACTTTGGTGTCCCGCTGGTCGCGCTGCCGTGTGGGCTGAACCCGCCGCAGTTCCGGTGGGCGCTCGAGCGACTGCCGCTGACCCACCTTCGTGAGCTGCAGAGCACCGCCGCGTCCCACGTGCCCACCACCGCGCAGATCAGCCGCGTCTTCGACGTGCCGGCGCTCCGCGAGGATGTCATACAGCAAGAGGAGGCGACGATTCGCACCTTGTTTGTGTCGGAGACGTGCGCGCTGGTCGACACCACGGACGACAACGTGCTGCGGCTGACGGTATCGGGCAATCTCACCATCGGCGTGGTGATGCGGGTGCCGATGCAATCGGTGGCGAAGGCCTGGCAGAAGGCGTTGATGGAGTACCGCTACCCGGCGCTGATCGACTTCCTGAGGGAGGTGGCCACACGCGAAACGCTGCCTAATCCGCTGTCCGCGGATGCGATGCGCAGGGCGACGCTTTTGTCGAGCTCCTCACTCATGGTGACCTCGCCTGCAAAGGAAAGCACACAGGCGAATGTGACGACGTCTCCTGCGACTGTCGACAGCAGCAGCAGCAGCAGCAGCACCTGCACGAATGCGAAGGAAGATAGCAGCAGCGCACACGCCGTGTATCTTGAGGGGCTACTGTGTCCAAGGTTGCTGGAGGAGCACGCGGTGGAGCTGCACGAGGCGGTCTTGTCCGACGCAGCGTTGACGCTGTCGCCGCTATCTGTTTCCGTTGAGCAGTTGGTGCCGACCGTTCAGAGTCACGGTGTCCTCTTCACTTTTCTCTTACGCGGCCTCAGCTCTCCGACTAACTTGCAGGACGTGGAAAACGCGCTGCAAAGCTGTGCCTTCACCAAAGCGAGAGCGCTGTATACACGTCTGCAGACGGAGCTTGACGAGGAGGTCAAGATGGAGGCACGGCGTGCAGCCGAATACGCTATGCAGCTGGACGGTGAGGCGTGGCTGGAGGTGCTGGAGAAGCACAAGCAAAGGCTCCGTGACACGTTTGCGCTGGAGGCACTGACCTGCCTGCGCGGCAGCGACGCTATCAAAGTCCCTGTAGGGGTGGCCGTAAAGACGGTGGTACCGAAAGGCACCGGCGTCGCTATTAGCTACGACGTGGTGAGCAGCAGCGCTGCTGCAGACGCCGCGGACCGTGTTCACGTCGCGGAGGTGCTGGGGCAGTATCCCTTTCCTCTGCTTTGGGGGCTGTACGACGAGGTGATGCTGTCTCGCGAGCCCTTAAAGCACACCATCAACCGGAACTGGATCACGGCGCGCCGCCAGCGTCTTCTCAACACGGCCTACACCGCTGCGGGAGAGCCGCCTGACTCGCGGTCGTACTCCATCATTGGATACACGGATGAGATGGACTTGGAGGAATACCTGCTGCACTACTCCCCAAATGCGCCGGCAGGTGACCCGGGATGTGCTGCTACGGCTGCCGCCACATCCTCTGGGTCAGCATCCCCATTATCCATAACTGCGGAGAGCCCAGCTGGACATGAGGAATACGATTTCAGGTACCTTCCGGCACCTTCGTCCCAGTCATCGTCAACAACGACGCACACCACTCCACAGCTACCGCGGCTCGTGGCACTCGAGGTATCGCCTCCGCCGCCCCAACCACGTGTGCTCGTCGCACCGCAGTTGGGTGCAAACGTGGCTGCCGCGACGTCGACGCAGCCGTCCACCGTGTCTCTCCCACCACCGCCCCCACTGCCACCCCAAGAGACGGACAAAGCGCCGGTGCAACAGCAGCTGCAAGTGACGCGGCCCCACACCCCCACCCCCTCCCCTAAGCCCCAGCCCGCGGCACAGCAGCCGGAGCAGCAGCAGCCACAGCAGCAGCAAAGCGAGCACGATACCCCCAACCCATGCACGCCACTGGCAGCATCTCAGGTCGACGAAAAGAGCACACTGCGAGAGCTTGTGAGAAGAATATCAGAGCAGTGTAGGGTGAATAAGGACGCTCTCAGAGCACGAACGGCAACTGCATCGTACAGTTCGAGCGATGAGGAGGAAACAGACGAGACAGAGGAAGAGGTAGTGGCGGAGAATGAAGTCGACGACTCGTCGTCCATCACTGAAGACGACGAAGAGAGCGCGCACGTGTCTCCGCTGCGTCCGTCTCCACCCCCAAACAACGGCGGTGGCGCCGTCGACCATACTCTTTTAGTTCCACAGACGACCCCCGTGATGCCGCGCCGACCACTGGACATCAAACCCGTCCCGGCACCCTCCCATGCCAAGGCAGTTATCCACATTCTCACTTCGGAGCCCGCGGTGTTTTCTCGCCCCACCCCCGCGCCTCCCTCGCGTGCAAAAGTGGATGTACCAGAGCTGACCTCCGCGAAGCAGATCGAAGCTCCTGTCCGACTGCGATCACGTCACCCGTCAAATGCCGGTGAGGACCGGCAGCTGAAGAACGCTCCTCCGGTTCCCGATGTGGCACGGCAATCGCACCCAACAAAGGTGGCGTCGTCGCTCCGGCCGAGCGCAGCACAGAAGGAACCGCTGTTACCTCGCATGGGCGGCAGCACCATCACGAGCCACCATGAGGAGCACAGAGATGAAAAAGCATCTTCGTCATCGAACGAGGCCAAACTCGCCGTGCAGCGATCTCCGGCGTCGCCATACACACCTCGAGGTGATGTGGCGGCCCCGGTCCCAGTGCTTCACCTTCCTCCGATGGGTCAGCACTCCGCAGCGCCCATCACCGTGGTGGACGTGCGCATGACACACCCGCCTCTTGCGGTGCCTCTGGTAGTAAGTCCGCATGCGGGTGTCGTCGGCACCCGAACCGAACCGGTGCTTTCAGCGGGCGTCTCGCTGGCGAGTTCATCGCAGCTGTCCTCGCGCAGCCGCAACGCCACCCCGCGTGCGCACAGGCCGTCAAAGGTGGCCGAGTCGACCCCACCGGCGCTCCCCGTCTTGTACGCGTCCGTCACCTCGCCTCCGTGTTCGACGCTCACACTGCCACCCACGAATCTCCCGCAGTCGTCGACGGCGCCGGTGGGAGAGACGTCGTGCTCTGCTACCCCTGCCACGCAGAGCAGCGGCGCCACCAGTCCGGCGACCGAACCTCCCGTGCGGGTGGTTAAGCACTCGATGCTTGCACGACCTGGACCGGCAGCTCCACCACTGCAACGGCAGCTACAGCTGCATTCCCCGCTGCCGGGCCCGCGGGCTGCTGGAGAGGTGCAGATGAAGTCGGTGAAGATGATCCACGATACTGACTCTCCAGCCCCACCTCGGCAGACTCCGTCGTCGTCGTCGTCTTCGCCTCCACCACCGCAACTGCCCCGCTTGCACCCGAGCGTGAAGCACACAGATGCGACGCAGGCAGCGGTGGTGAAGCGAGCGCCTTCTACCTCCCCTCCAGACGTGCTATCGGACGGCCCGACCGGCTCTCACCACAGCCGCGTTTCACCTTCGACCTCGCAGGCGTCGGCGTCGCGAAACAGCATGTCATCCCGGCCGAGAAGCGTCAGCGGCGGTGACACGCCGAAGTTGAAGTTGCCCGAGGTGCGCACGGACCAGTCGGCCGCGGTGGCGGTAGTGACGCAGCCGAATGACCGCTTCGGCGCCCTTTGGCAGAACCTCTCCGCGGTTGAGCACGCTGTGGGTGCCCGTTACGCCCGCGTGGAACGAGAGCTGATGGTGGCGGCTGATGGATCGGCGTCAGTAACGGGTGCGGCGAGCGGAAAAGAAGGCCACCGTGGAAGGTAGTTTATCTTCTTAGTGACGTAGAGATTTGATTTGGTCTTCGTTTTCGGGGATCATTTTTCCGCCCTCTTTTTTTTTGTTTTCGTCAACGTGGGTTTCTGCGAACCCTGTGCGCGCGTGTGAGTGTGAGTGTGTGTGCACATACTGTTTTTCTTTTTGCATTGCAATTGTTAGTTAGACTTCCTGATTACATTTTCACGGTTCTTCTCTGTGCTCTCTTCTTCTTCTTCTTTTTTTTTCTCAGAGGTGTGGGAAGGACGTTGCACTACACCCTCTGCGAACGGCGTTGACTACCTGGGCCGCCCTATCTCAGTTTGAGTTACCCGCTTCTTTTCTTTCGTCGTTTTCTTTTCGCACTCCTTTCTCTGTGAAGGTGTTCTACTTCGATGTACAGAACTCTTTGTCGTGTTGTTGTTGCTCCGCTTTCTTCTTGCGTTACAGATGTGCATTTCCTTTTTCACTATTCTGAGTTTACGTTTCACGAGAGTAGACTTTCTCACCCTCTCATCCACTCAATAACCTCGACGAGATCATAATCTGCTTTCTCCTAATCTGTTTTAGAATTCACTCTTCTTCTTTTTTTTTTAGTCCTTGTGAGTCTGTTCTCAAACACTTCTGTTTTATTAGAATTTGCAATCCGTGGACACTTGCTAAAAGGGTACACAGAGGAGGAAACAGAACACCCATGCCATCGGTTTGCAGACGCACGCCCGTTTCTCTGTGAGGGGCGGACGCGCACCGCACGACGCGCTTCGACCAACTGACGGCGCCGAATAACTCGGGAAGGTTTCTGTCTCCAACAGCGCTGCACCGCGACGGCGACCAGTGTATTTCACTCTTTCTCAGAGAACTACACCACTTCCTTTTCGTTTGGGGGGGGGGGAGCATCGATGATGTTCAAAAGCCTCTCTATCTACCGAGAAGATAGAAGGTGGGGGGGGGGGGGTTACACCGCACCTTGCTATTTGTTTTCTTCTCAGCCATTTCTTCTCTCTGCCCTCCCCTCTCTTTTTCTTGAATTCACCGCGCTCATAAGCCTGTTGTTCTTTGTGGGTGTCCCCTTTGTACTTGACGGGCCTGAGCCGCTTTTAGGAAAGGAAGACTGCTCTTCTCTTTTTGTTCTTATCATTGTAGTGCAACGAAGGAAAACAAACAGCGCAGAGGAGTGGCGGTGTATAAGACTGGCGCAGTGGAGGATCTTCCGTGGACGGTGAAAGGTGCCGAATAGAAAGCTGTGTCAAGTAACCCTACTCGTAGCAGAAAACCGATAAGACTGTGGTGGCCGAAGGAGGGTGTTATTGCTCCGTGCTTTCCCTTTGATTCGTGTTGGACGTGGTGTGTCGTTGTCGGAGGCGCTGCACCGCAGCTTTAGTGGCGCGTCATCTTGATTCACTCGGCATCTCACGGATTTGGATTTGCCAACTGTCGTTTCATACTCCTTTTTCTTCCGTTACGAAAGGAGCGCGAGCGATTGACGTGTCATTCGGTATCTATCGACGTTCAAAGCGGCACAAAAAGGAGAGAGAATATCTCCTCTGTTTTGTCTCGGAGGAAAAGTTGGTGTAAGAATTACTTCCCTTTGAGCTCTTGAACGCTGCGCTAGTCAAATTGGGCAAGTGTCTCTTCTTTTATCATTTCTTTTCTTTTTTCCGGTGAATCATGGAGTCGTCCGCCCCAGCAACGTCGTCGGCAGCATCCGGCCCGTCCTCGATAGAGGAGGTGCTGGCCGGGCTGACGTGGGCGCGCGGCCTCACCGACGCTGCCCTCGCTGCCGACCGCGTGCACGGCGCTTTTGTGTCGTTAATCTTCAGCTTCCCGCAGGACGACGCCTCCGATGCCGAGGGCAACGGTGCCCGTCGCCTGAAGACGGCCGCGGAGCGGCAGAAGGAGGCGGAGCGCGATCGCCGCCTGCGTGAGGAGGCGCGACGGGAGCTGGAGGATCTGCGCAACGATCGTCTCAGTGATCACGACGGCGATGCTCACACCGACGAGGAGGAAGAAGAGGACGTAGACGAGGAAGAAGAAGCAGATAACATGGGTGAGTTTGAGACGAACGAGTTCATGCGCTGGATTGAGGCAGGAGCGGCGGACAGCATCGTACCGCCGCATCAGCGACTCGGTTCGAAGTTGCGTGAGGATGTGGAGTACAAGCTGGAGAAGACCGGATTGGGCCATACGACGGAGTCGGCGCTGCGGGAGACGTGCCCAGAGCGGCTGAAGGAAGCCATCTTCGAGCCGAAGCCGCTCCCTGGTGGTGGTATGTGCGATTTCTCGTTGAATCGTGAGGTGTACTGGGTGCTGCGGCAGCTGCGCAACGCCGGCCAGCCGCTGGCGCACAACACCCGCATCTGTGCCTTGGCGAGCCGTCCGCTGTTGGAGATCGCCGACGAACCCGTCGTCGTGGCTCTCGGCTACGCCTTGCAGAAGATGACGGTGGAACAGGTGGAGCCCGGGCACCTCATGATGTATCACCAAACCCCATTGCACCCCCTCCTCTCCGCGCTGCTCGAGGGCTCTGTGCTGGCCGAAGACGCCAAGCACACAGTGTCCGTGGCCTCGTACGCGTTCAACGCCGTTACCGGGCAACGGCTGGAGCCGGTGGTGGGCGAGACGTATGTCGGCTTCGACGCTGCTGCACGGAACGTCATCGGCGAGGGCGACCCGCTCTGGCGCAGCGACCGCCATCAGCGGCAGTACGCGCAGCGCAAGCCGTGCTTTCTCGAGCTGGGCCGTCTTCTCGTGCGTCTCGTGGAACTCGATCGCCTCTTTCGCGGACTGGAGTACCGTCGGCAGCGCATGGTGGCCGCGCTCAAGGACCACCCCGACGCCCGCGTGCAGGACCAGCGCGTGGTCCTGAGCTCCATCGTCTTTGAGAGCGCCGTGGAGGCGGACATTTGGCTCACCTTTGTCGAAAACCTGCAAGGCTTTCACGGGGCGGACCCGTACCTGCGTGTGCGGGAGCTGGGCCTGGAGGACGCCTTCGAGGAGTTCAGCATCACCGGTCTGCAGTACCAGGAGAATCTGCGCACCAACACGGCGGTGACGCTGTGCCCCAGCAACACGCACGTCCGCCTGCAGGACTGGGCCACAAGTGTGGGCCGCACGTTGTTGAAGGCGATGGACGGCGAGCAGGTGCTCTCGCTCTTTACCAAAGCTCTCGTCTCGCAGTTCTCGAAGACGCCGATATTGGCCAGCAAGGTGGTCGACGTGTTCTGCGCCGAGGGCGACCTCATCGTGAGCTATAAGCGGTCCGATCGGCCGGACCAGATCTTCTCACTCGCCAGCGTCTTCACGGAGCACTCGCAGTACTTCTTGGAGCTGCTCGAGATGGAGCGCAACGACCTCGTGAAGCTGTACTTCGTACTGGACCAGAAACTGGTGTACGACATTCTGAACCTCGATGGCCTCTACCAGCGTCGCGAGGACACGGACTGGTGGCGCGCCCGCGACGAGGCGATGAACTTCGTGGTGATTCGCCTGCTGGAGTTGCTGCCGACGCAGGTGCGGGCGCAGCTCACGGCACATGCCGAGTACGCCGTCAACGTCGCCTCTGCCCTGCGCCTCAGCACCTTCTGCGCGCTCAGCCCCTACGCGCCGACGCGTCTCTGCCTCAGCGACTTCGACGGGGCGGCGCGGCTGTGGGACCCGCAGTGGAACGTTGTCGAGGCGCTGCTCACCGCGCCGGCTGCACTGAAGGAGGTACGCGACACGAGTCGGGTGTGCGCTGTCTACCGGGGCAACAGCGGGGTCACTGCCTTCACTTTCATTGACGAGCACGGCAACGTCGTCGGCGGCACCCGCTGGGTGGACTGCGCGCTGACCACTGTTAGTGGGCGGGAGCGGGCGGTGCTGCAGGCCGCCCAGCTGCGCAAGCTGTTTGCCCAGTGCCGCCCCTCTGTCGTGGCCATAGCCGCCTCCTCCACGGCGTGTCTGCCGCTGCTGCGCACCCTCGAGGACTTCGTGCGCGAGCAGGTGCAGCAGAGCACCTTCGTCGACGTCCCGGTTGTGTGGACGAGTGCGGAGGTGGCGCGCTTCTACAGCGCCACGACCTACGCACGCCTGGAGCTGCCGCACGCAGAGAGCATCCAGGTCACCTGCGTGGCCCTGGCGCGCTACGTGCAGGACCCGATGCAGGTGCTGTGCTCTCTCTTTGACGGGGAGCAGACGGCACTGCAGCTGTGCCGCACCGCCCGCGTCTCCGGCACGCACGACCGCCAACTCTACCGCCGGCTGGGGTGGGAAATGAGTCTGTGGGTTGCAGGCATCGGCTGCTGGCTCGACGACGTCGTCTTCCGCCCCAACGCAGCGGCCATTCTGCAGTTTGTGCCGGGATTTGGCCCGATGAAAGCGCGCGCCGTCGCCGCCGCCGTGTCGCAGTCCGACGTGCCGCAGAGCCGGCTGCAACTGGCGCCGCTGCTGCGGTCCTACGGTGCCGCGATTGAGCGCAACGCCGTGGCTTCTATCCGCGTCCGCTCGCCCAAGCAGTGGGAAGCCGGGCTGCCGTGGCACCCGCTCGATCAGACGCTCATCCCGCCGCAGTGGTACGAGATCGCCGACACCGTCGTTGCGTCCACCGCGGCTCCCCTTCCTTCTTCCGCTGATGTTACTGCTGCTGCTCCGCCTCCGACACCCCCGCAGGAAGTCGCGCTGATCCGTTTGCTCATGATGGGGATGGAGGAGCGCCGCGCCGCGTTGTACCGCGTTGACGTGCACGCGGTGGTGGGGAAGGTCAGGGCGATGGAGGGCTGCGCCGAGGTCGGTCGGCGGGAGGTGGAGCTGGTGATTGACGAACTCGTCGCCAACGGCCGCTCCTTCGCACGCCGCCCGTACCGCCGCCTCACCACCGTCGAGTTCATGAGCGCCATCACCGGCATCACGTACCTTTCCGCCGGGGATGTGGCGGCTTTATCGAGGGGTGCGGGTGCGTGGGGCAGTGGCAGTGGCAGCAGCAGCAGCGGCGGCGGCGGCGGCGGCGGCGCTCGCCGCGGCACTTTCGTGGTGCGCGAGGGCGACTACGTCACCGGTACCGTCACCAGCGTGCGTGGGCGGACGGCGCCGGGCGTGCGGTTGACCACCTCGCGCGGCGTCAACGCGTTCATCTCCGCGGTGGACATCCCCGACGAGGCCTTGCGCGTCGAGCTGCTGACGTACATTCGTGCATTGGAGCAGCGCCGGGATTGGCTGCAGAGGGACGACGAACAGGGGGCGCCGCCGCCGCTGGTGGAGGTGCCGGCGTGGCTGCAGCGCGGTGCGCTCCTGCAGGGCACCGTTCGGCGCTGCAACTGGGCGCGGTGTGAGCTGCAGCTGCAGTGGTGCCGCCCGCGTGACGAGCTGACCCTCGCCGACACCGATGGCGAGGACGGCTCGAATATGCCTTCCTACGGCGCGGCGGAACGCGGTGGGGCCACCAGCAGCGTGAACTCTCTCAACACGGCACAGGTGGAGCAGCAGGTGCGGCTCTTTGCCACGAAGATGTCGCGTCACCCACTCTTTCGTGATGTGTCGAAGAACGTGTCGGCCGAGATGCTGCGGGATAAGGAAATCGGCGAGGCCTTGCTGCGACCACGCTCGCACAGCTTGCACCGGGTGGTGTGCGAGGTGAAGGTCGGCACCACCGCGACGAACCACTGGGTTATTTCCGAAGAGCGGCGCGACAACGGACAGTTCTACTACAGGGTGGAGGACCGTGTGGTGGACCGGCAGTGGGAGTTCACCGACGTGGACGATTTCCTCTATAGCTTTGTGAGCCCCATGGTGAAGCACATCCAGTCTGTCCGCTCGCACCGCCGCTTCGAAGACAGCACCGAGTACGTGCAGGCCGCGCTTGACGCGCAGAAGGAGGTGAGTGGCGGCTTCGCCTACGCCTTTGTGGAGACGGAGAGCAAGCGCAACCTGTACCAGGTGTACTCTAGCGGTCGCAACGAGACTTACCACTTCCCGCTGCACATCACCAGCGAGTACATCTACGTTCGCCTGCCCCTCTTCTCAGACGGGAAGGCGGTGTACAAGTGGGTGCCGTGCCCAAGCGCAGAGCGGGTGAGTGAGGCGATTAAGAACTACGCGCGCACGATGAGCAGGCGCACCGCGGAGGAGGCAGGAACGGCAGCATATTAGCCTTCTCTCGTCCGTGTTGTTGGAAGGCTCGTCTCTTCACAGTTGCCGAGAAGGTTCAGCGTCACACGGAGCCTTGAAGAGGTATATACCGTATGAGGTCTGGGATAGAAGAGCAAACAGCGAAGTGGTTCTTTCAGTGCTCTTTTTTTTGTTTTTACACGGTGTAGGGGCGTGTGTGTTTGTGTGGGAATCTCCGTTTTTTTGTGTGGAAGTTAATAAGTGTGATAAGGGCGAAACAATTTGATTAAACGCGTACAATAAATGACGGTGTGATGCAGCACGTGGAACTGGCTCTGTTTGCGGTTTCTTTTCGGCGGAATGGCCTCGCGTGTGGTCCACGCGCTCTCCTTTCGCTTCCCGCGTTGTTTGTAGCGTGGTGACTGCGCTCCGATGCCCACGCCTGTGACAGCAGCCGTTGGCATTGCTGCTGTTTTCTGTGCGAATACGATTGAAGCACGTGGCTGTTTTTGACTGTTTGGGGAAGAGGCGTGGGCGGGGCGGGGGGACGTGATCTGCGATTCTCTCTCTTCTTCTTTTTTGTATCACTTTTAACTTGCGTTTAACGCACTTCTCTCCGCTGTACGCACCAGAGAATCTGACACTTCTACTACAAAAACTGTTTGGTGCGTTGTTGATGTTGATTTTTTATTTACTGCGCTTTTGCACGCGTTAATCCCGGCAAGCGTGGACGGCATAAGAGGTGACACTTGTCGGACAGCTGTCTGATGGTGTCACGAAGTGACGCCAGTGCAGCCTCTGTTTTACGCGGTCCTGGCCTTTTCTCTTCTAAGGGCAAAAGTTTTTTCCTTAGAGCTGAAGCTGTGTCCGTCAGCGTTCTCGTGCGCCGCGTGCTTCACGCCTGCCTTCCATCACATGCGCCTGGGGGCGTCGTTTGGTCTTCATGCTTTGTTTTCCTTTTCTCTTGTTCTTTCTATTTCGTCTTTCGCTCTTCTGCGGCCGCCACAGCCGCCGCTTCATGAAGTCAACGTTACCTCACGTCACCGTGTAGCGGTCAAACCTGTTCTCTCGGTGACGCTGCTGTTATTCGACACACACACACACACACACACACACACATTCTTCTTTCTTTTTTTGTCATCGCTTCACTCGAATTTGATTCCCGTTATTGGCAGGCGGAGCAAAGCGCTCATTTCAATGCTGCGTCGTGGCTGGCGCCTTCTCGCGCGCACGTTGGTGGCAGATGCGTCACTGGTCGCGCTGCCGCCGACGGTGCGGCGCTGCGACGTGTTCCGTAGCGTGGTGTCGCTGGAGGAGGAGGAGCAGATCTACGCCGAGCTCGGCCGCGTCCTGCAGCGCGAGGGGCAGACGGTGGTGTGGGAAGGCTCGACACCGCAGGACAAGGTTATCAAGCACATCTACCTCGAAATGTTCGGCACGGAGAAGGAGTTCACCGAGGTGAAGAATTGGCAGAAGAAGGAAGTCCGACGCCTGCCGGGGCTGCTGTGGTCACCGACGCTCCTGCGTGTGCTGGGCGAGGTGGCGCCGCCGTTGCTGGGTACAATGCCAGACACGGCGCGCGTTGTTGAGCACGAAATACCCGGCTATGAAATGCACGTAGAGCACCCCACAGTGGGCACCGCCTTCCTCTATCTAAATTTGCTGTGTGACACCGTGATGGACTTCGACGATGAAAGCACCGGGCGGTACGGGCAGGCCTTCTTACCGTCTCGCTCGCTCATGTGTGTCTCTGGCGAGGCCCGGTGGGGCTTCCGCTTCGGCGAGCGTACGGAGGAGCTGCACACCTTCACCTCCCGCAGCGGCGCACGTCGTCGCGTCGAGACCGATCTGCGGTTGAGCGTGCAGATGTGGAAGCTGAGCCCAAATCTGCTGGACTGCCGAGTGTTGCAGGAGCGACTGGAGGAGAGCATCGCGATGGCGGGACAGCGCCTCGCAGAGGAGACGGCAGAGCGTCGCGCAGCGGAGAAGGACCGCGCAGAAGCCATTGAGGCCCTCACACCGCCCAACGTGCAAACGCCAACCCTCACCACCGGCAGCGCCGTTCAGCGTCCTGCGGATTCGTTCCTCGCCGCGGCGCTGGCGAGCGCGTCGGGCACAGGGCTGCTCGGCGGCGACCTTGCTCACGCGCAAGGCAGTGGTGGTAGCACCGCTCTGGGGGACAGGAAGACGGGCAAGAAATCGATGAGCGACATCCGTCAAGACTACGGACAATACAAGCAGCAGTTCGCCAACGTGTACGGCATTCTGCAGGACATGAAGGTTATGCAGGACTCTGGCCAGCCCATCAACGACATGTGGCTGAAGAAGAAAATGACGGAGTCATCACAGATTGACCCCGAGAAGGACCGCGAGGACGGCTTCGACCCCGAGAACATCGAAGGCACGTGGGACACCGTGGACGCTAAGGCTCGCTTCTACAAGGCGAAGCTGAAGACGATGGACTACGACGGCACCGCCTTTTTAAACTCACGGATGCCGGACATCTCGAAAGACGCACCGCTGGACATGCGTGCAACCATTAGCAAGATGGCTCCTCATGTCAAGGACGGCGAAAAGATCTTAGCCAGTCTGCCGAACACGAAGTAGCGTTCACACAGAAAAGGCATCAACAAAGCGCCTTCCAACGACGAACGTGTATCGGCGTTGCTACTATGTTTCTGCGTTTGCCGACCGCAAATTGTCCCCGCTGCACTGCTTTCTGCGCCTGCCGTTCGCTTGTTTTACTGGCTTGTTTTCCCCTCCTTCGTGATGATCGTTCACACACACTTCTGTGATTGTAGAGCTGTACGCAGCAGGTGCGGCTCGCTTCACCCGGACATGATCAACAGAGAAGGAAGGGACTCCCGAGGTCTCCTGAACAACGTCGTGCTTTGTCCATGAAAACATCACGTTTGTTTACAATCCTTTGCAGAATCTTCTTCATCGTTGTTCATTCTATTTCTTTTTGGTGTACAAACCCAGCAGCGCAGCGAACCAATGATTATACGGTGCTGACGCGCGAGAACCTTCTTTGGTGCACGGCGTTGGTGAAAGTGTTTCGTTACCTGCTTCTCCTTTTCCTCCTTTTCCTCTCTCTCTCTCTCCTTGCTTCGACGTGGGTGGATCACACTACGCTGCTTCATGCAAACGTCACCGCCACTCCGACGGTCATTCGTGCGCGCCGCTCAGCAGCCACAGCAACTCAGTGAAGCTCACGCCAACGTCAGGACAGGACAGTCGCTCACCACGAACCAAAAAGAAGAAGAAGGTATTTTCTTTTTTCAGCCGTCGTGCATCAAAAAAACTAAATAAATTAAAAAGCCACACGCGCTTCCTAAGTTGAAGTCACGGTGAAGCCGCAACGCATTTGCACCGGAGACGTTACGGCCCACCCACACGGCACAAGTTGAAGAATGAGCGCAGAGGTGGAATGCCCGACAGCCGCCGCGGGGGGAGGGGCTCTCTCCGTTTTCGGCAAAGTCGACTGCGCGCCTTTTGTGTTTGCCACCGACGACGACGCGGCCGTCTACGCAGCCATTGAGGAGGTTTTTAGCGAATTCCAGTCGACGCCGTCCGTCGAGGCCTTCGTCGTGATCCAGAACAAACTAGTGGAGCTCGCCGGCTATCCGCTCGTCACGGCGGTGCTGTCCGGTCGGTATCCGTGTCTCTTCTCGTCTCTCGAGAGACAGGGGGAGGCGATGGGAGCGGGCGCGGCGGTGCCGGCGAACGTGGCGGGGGTGAACTGGGACTTGTGGTGCCGCAACACGTGGTTGACAAACTCCTGCGCCGTCGATGATCTCGGTGTGGTGGCCACGTCGACGCTGCCCTCCCTCGATGCTCTCCTTCGGCAGGTGGAGCGGGACAACGACAATCATGTGAATGAGGTGTGGTCGGTGCTGCACATCCTTGCCTGGGCGCTACGCAGCTCCGCTGTGGCGCCGACACTTGTGGACCCACTGACGCAATGCGCGGCGCTGTGGGAGCTAATTGAGACCGAGCTGGTGAAGGGCGGCCGACACACAAGTCTGCAGCTGGTGCTGCTGGACCTGCTCGCTGCTCTGGCGCTGCACGCCTCGGCCTCGACGGAGCTTTTCGCGCGCCTCTGCACCGTGGCCGGCTCCCGTGCGCAGTTCCCGCATCCCGTGCACTACCACAACGCGATGCGATTGTGTTACGCGTGCGTGATATGCGATGACGACGCCCACACAAAGACGCAGAGCGCCGTGCAGCACCTGCGGCGGGCGTGGACAACGATGAAGGCGCAGACGAGCGGCTTCCCGGCCTCGCTGCGGGCGACGGAGTGGGTGGTGGGCGACGAGGCGAAGGCGCATCTCGCCATTGCGGTGCAGCTGCATCGGCAACTGACGGCAAAGGCGGTGGAAGTGTTCGACCTGGCGACCGTGAAGGAGTTCCATGCGACGGCGTTGCAACTGCCAGTGGAGGCGCGCGCCTTCTGCCTCTTCGCTCTCCCCGGCAACGCCCTGCTGCGTCTGCATGCGACGTTGCAGGATGAAGCCGAAGCCGACCTCGTGACAGAGGTGGTGGCCACGCTGGTCGACGTCGTTTTGGGCCAAAAACCCACCAAAATAGCCGACAATGCCTGCGACGACGACCACGACGACGTTGACCCGAGCAAGACGGACGGTTATGTTCAGTACTGCATCCAGCAGATGTGGATGAACGGCTTGAGTGCCACCTTGTACTCCCTGTTGCAGCGCCGCGACCCCGCCATTACCGCAGCGGTGGTCTGCCTGCTGCACCACCTCGCTGCACGCAGCTTACACGGCAGTGCCGCCCGCCGCGTCCTGCTCGGCTCGCCGTCTCTGTCGTTGGTGAGCAATGTGCTGACCGGCGTCGCAGAGGCGGCGGACGTGAAGGAGGAATTGAAGAAGGCGGACGTGGACGATGTGGTGGAGGGTGCGCTGTGCCTCATTTGCGCACTGGAGAACGCCGAACTGACGAGTGTCTTCACCGACTCTCTCGTCTTCACCGTTGGCACGCTCATCTCGGAGGGCAAAGAGAGTACGTTGCTGCTGCGCCGCGGCCTGCGAGCACTGGCCCGCCTCGCGTCCGCCTTCCCCATGGCCGGCTCGCTGGTGCTGGACTTTGAGTTTCTCACGGAGCAGTGCGCGCTGCCCGAGCCCCCGGCAGAGGCCAGTGCCGCGATGGTCGTGGGTTCGCTGGATGTGATGAGCGCCATCGTCGTGCAGCAGCCCGCCGCCGTCACCTTCGAGTGGATTGAGATGCTCCTCAACATTATGCAGCGTCTCGATGGCTGGCGGAACGGCGTGGCAGGGCTGGACACGGTTCTGTGGCGCTGCGTGCGCTACACCGTCGAGACCTCCGAGGACAGCAGTGAGTACCTCTTCGGCGAGGAGGCGCGGGAGGTGTTGCGCAACGAACTCGAGCGCGTGAAGTACGGCGACGCGCATCTCCGTCAGCTTCTCCCGTCGCTTCTCGGAATTGCGGTCTGCATGCAGCCCTTCGAACACGCCGAGGTGAACGCGGCGATGACAGCGGTGCTGCGAGAGGTGCCGAATACGTCGTGGACGGCGGAGATGAGCGAGGGGACGCTGCGCTTTATCGTTGCCGCCGCGTGCAGCAGCAGCAGCGACGCAGACGGCGCAGAGTCCAACGCATCGCCAACGTCGGACGGGGAGCCGCTGAAGGGTGGGGGGATGACAGCGCAGACCATCGCAACACTCGCCGAGCGTGTCATGTACGGCGCACATCAGTCCGGCGTCACGGTCCCAACCACGGCGCTAGAAGAGTTTGCACATGGCCTCGAGGAGAAGGGTCTCGCCATGGATGTGACGATGGCGTTGTTCGACTTGGTGGACCGCGTCCTGAAGCCGAAGGAAGACAAAAAGAAGACCACTGTGGCAAAGAACGACGCGAAGCTCGCGCATGCGCTTCTCCCTCTCTTGCACTACCTTCTCTCCCATTGTCCCTCCGCCCGCACCGAGGCGACAGCCGTCAGCACCGCACACCTGATCAAGTGCACCGCAGCCGAGGGCGACGACAAAGCGGCGAGACTCGGCAGCCCCGACGTGATAGACACGGCGCTGCTGCTTGTGCACGACGCGTGCGCGATGAGCTTTGCGGACGCCGACGGTGAGGCGAAGCGTGCCCGGGTGATGCAGGAACTGTGGCCCAGCCTGGCCTATGTGACCCGCCGTGCAGCCGACGTGCATGCAAGCGCGGGCTGGCAGCGCGTGTTGAGCCATGTCTACGGCGCTGCACACGTGCTGCTCCTCGGCTCCACGACCGTTCCCTTTAGCGCCGGTGGCGACCCGCGGCTCGACTACGTGGGCGTCTGCGGACTACCGCACGTGGCGATCGAGCCGTGCAAAGCGCTGGTGCAGACCGTCCTCAACTTCGATGAAGCGCGGGCTTACCTGAAGAACAAGTACGCCGCGGCTTACCTTTCCTCGTTAGAGTACATGACGGATCCGGCACACAACGTGAGCGGTGTGGTGCCGCTATCCTTGCAACGATACCTGGATGAAGCGAAGCAACTGTAGCTCTTTTTCCTATCTAATAATTTTAACTGTTCTCATGGCACCTTCGCTGAGTGTTTTAGGTTTCTTGTGCGCGTGAGAGATGTGCCACGTGTCCACGGGAGATGACGCATGCTTGTTGGGGCGTGCGTGCGGAGGCCCGCATATCTCAGTATATTTATACTCTATAAAGAATATCGTTGTTTGTGTGTTGCGTGTGCGTATGTGTGTGTGTGTGTGTGTGTTCGTGTACTATTCGAGCTGAAAGTGGGGGGTAACTCTTCCCAGTAAGACCTGCCCCCCCCCCCCTCTAAAAAAAGATAGGTTTCACCTTTTCGTTGGAAACTACTTGATGGTGAGAAGCAGATGGCGGAGAAAAGGAGGGGCAGCGCAACCAAAGGCTATCGGGGCAAGCGAGCAATCATTAATGACGCCGACACACGTTATAACGAGCCGATGCGTAAGGAGGCGAGAAAAACAGAGAATGAAAACAACAAAAGAAGGAAAAGATGTTGCACGACGAGCCGCATGATTACGATCTGCACAATCAAAACAGTAGCGGCGGAAGTAAAGTGAAAAACATGCTATCTATTATTATTAAAGAGTGCTGGTTGTGGCGGTGGCTACGTAGTTCAATGATGCACGAGTTTGCGTTTATATATGTGTTTGTGGGTGTGCGTGTGTGCCGGTGTGTGTGACAGAGTCAATGTATCGCCTCGAAGACTCCATTTTTGGTTTGTTGTCTTTTGTGTTTGTGCAGCATTATTTCGGTCGTATTCTCCCCTTCCCATTGTTTTCCTTTTCCGTTAGAAGAAGAAGGCGGTGGCAACGACCTCCCTCCCTTTTCTTTACATATTTATAGCAAGAGCGAGAAAGAGACACACGTACAACAGAGCGGAGGAGATGGAAAGGGCTGCCGTGTCCGCTGCGGTGCCGTGGAAGGGCCACTGCTTTCCAATCGTGAGCTTCTTGCACGTTCCGGGAAAAATGTCGAAGCCGCTGTGGCTCATGATGGGCACTGCCTTTCCCTTCGAGACGCCATCCAGTGGCTCCTCGTCCCCGCAGCTGCTCCTCACCGCCAAGCACACCTTCGCCCCGTGGGACTACGCCAAGGATGCATCGCAGATGAAAATTCCAGCGGACTACCGCAAACTGCGTTTTGTCGTTGGCTGCATCTATCGGCCCAACGAGGAAGGGCAGTCGGTGGCGTCCGAGAAGGTCGGGCTGCGACTGGTGTCTCAGCATCCACAATTGGACGTGGCCGTAGTTGCGGTAGACGACAAGGGCGACGTCAAAACACCTAGCGTCACCACAGCCGCCACAGCCACGATGGCTTCGTCACCGTCGAGGGCGGTCTTTAGTTCCCCGCTGCCCCTGTGCACGACGCGCTACCCCGCAGCTGCCGACGGTCTCCTTCTGGGCTACCGCGGCATGGAGCGTCTAGGAGAGTTGGACACCTTGGACCCGTCGCTGCTGCAGCGTCTGTCGCCGGGTGAGCGCGACGCGTTGTTGGTAGACTTACAAGACATCGAGGGCAAACAAATCCGCGCAAGCACCACAGTCTCTATTCTAGATGAGAGGGGAATGTGCAAGGGCACCGGTGATCGTGCCACGTGCTTTCACGGCATGTCCGGTGGTCCCCTGCTGACCACCTCCGGCACCTGTGCGGGCGTGCTCTACGGACACCACCCGGACGCCCCCGGCTGTCTTGGCTACACCCCATGTGCCGACTTTGCAGAATGGCTCGCTGGCGTCGTGCAGCGTGTCTCGCAGAGAAATGAGGAGGCTTGACGGAGGTGTGCGCACGGGAAGGGGGAAGGGAGCTGCGTTGCGTTGGAAAGAAAGATGGCGGGTGGGGAGTTTCTTCGCATCGTTACTTACCGCTGAACTCGGTCGCAAGCTGCTTGTGGCTGAAGCGTCACACCACGACGGAGTAAATCGGCGTACAGATAAAGAACCGAGAAGCGTCTTGTTTGTGTGCTACGACGTTCCAGTAAAGAGAGAACGACTTCTTTATGAGCGGCCATGCAAGCCGAAAAGCGCCCCTTCAAGGCACGCGCGACGTGTGGCAGTTTTTCCCCCACTTCTCCGACGTAGCTTCGTTGACAGAAATGCACCCATAAAGTGTTGATGTTTTTTTGTTACCCAAAGACGTCGCGTCCTCCTCTCGTGCGATTCGTTACCTTCTCTCGCTTTTTCTTTTTCTTCGTTCGTACTGCGTGCGCTCCGTTTTCACCACAATACTTCACTTTATCCTTCATATAAAAACGCGTCCGCTACGGTGCTTCTCTGCGCACACACTCGGGGCCACAACTGGTCTACTTCGCTCTTTCTTTCATATTTTTATAACTTATCTTCGAGGCACGAAAGAAACAACGAAGGAGCGGTAAAGGGGAAAGAAGGGAAGATGAGTTGGTGCACCGCGGCTGAGGTGGCGGAGCTGATCTCCGTTGCCCGACTCCGCGGCGACGTCGACGCTGCCACACGCAAGGCAGCCGACCTGCGCTTCATCGACATCTGCACCACTGCCATTAATGCAGGTGACGTTTTGATGCAGATTGCGACGGAGACGACGGCGGCGCCGGGGCTGCGTCTGAATGCCATTTTGGCTGCGCAGCCCCTCATCACGACGGAAGGGTGGAACGAGGGGGGCCGATTCAGCGACCGCGGCGCTGTCACGCGCCTGCTGCTGCGATGGACAGCAGATCCGTCGCTTTGCGGAAACGCGCAGGTGAGTACGGAGCTGCTGCGCAGCCAGGCGCTGATCGCGTCGTTAGAGTTTCCCACTGAGCAGTGGCAGCAATGGATTCAAGAGTGCGCGTACGCGTTGGTCGCCGGCGACCTCGCCAGCGCGGCGAAGCTGCACGCGGTGGTGAACGAGAGCTATCGCAACTACGCCCTTTGGAGCTTTCTCGCAAATGATTTTACAGGCTTCGTAATGCAGGCGCAGTTAACGGCGCTGCCACAGCGCACGATGGTGATGGGCACGTTCCTGGAGCTGATGCGCAAACGACCGCGGCCCTCCGCTGAGCACGAAATTGCATCCACCAGCAACTGTGTCTTGCTCTCTGCCGAGATGCGGCACTTCGTGATGGGGAACCTTCTCGCCTGTGTAGAAGACACCCGTCTCGCCGGTGCTGCGGCAGTCGCAGGTGGATTTGTGGGGTACTGCACCATCGTCTTTGCCGTTGCCTCGCGGCTCGTCGTGGACGTGGAGTCGGCCGTAAACGTCTTTCGTTGCAGCTCCTTCTTTCTGGGTCAGCTGCAGGCCAGTGCCGCACCAGCGGAGAGGAGCGACGGGCGGAACGCATTCACGGAGCAGCTCATGGAGTGCTTGCTGAGCACGCTGCAGTTGTTCCCCGAGGTGGCCAGCAACGACGTGCAGGCAGAGGAGCTTCTCGCGTGTCTTATGCACTTTATGATTCCTGCCGCTGAGGTTGAAGGCGCGGATGCCGCGCAAATCTCGACGGAGCTGTTGGAATTCTTCATGGACGACGAGGCGGTGCCCCTCGGCTGCGGAAGCGGTGATGTAGCCCACCTGGCCGGTGCGGTGTTGGAGCTGTACCTCGAACACAACGTCGATCAGAGGCCCGCCGCTATTGCGACACTCAACGCCATTCTGCGCAGCACCCCCAACATCCATGGCGCTTTGGCCGACGCGGTAGCGCTGGCGCTACGTTCGGTGAGTCGTGTATACGAGGCGGCGGGGGCGGTGGTGGTAGACGCGCTCGACACCCCGACGCAGGCGGAGCTGCTCACGCAGGTTTCACAGCTTCTCCTGCGCGCTGCTGGCCCACACGCGCATGTTATGCTGATGGACGCCTTGACGCACTGCTTTTACGGCTCGCACAATGAAGACCTGTGTTGCCAGCTCGTGCAGCTTCTTCAGCGGCTACACACCGCAGCGACGGCGGCGATGCCATCGGAGGAGTGCGCGGTGTGCGTGCGGTGCACGTGCATCTACGAAGCTGGGCGCCTCGTGGAAGAAGCACGCACACGACCGTGGTGCAAGGCTCTGTTGAGTCCGGCATGGGTACGACTGACGGTGGAGCAACTTGCAGTAGGGGACACCTTCGGTGTCTTCTGTGCCGCGTCGACGCTCTGCACGTTGCTGTACGTCACGCCAGACTGCGCGCTGTACCTGTGCGAGAGCGGCGCCGCGTGGGTGCATGGCCTACGCCAGCTCTGTCGGCACGCCACGCTGCGTGGTGTAGCCGTCTTGATCACCCTCGCGCTGAGGCACATCGCAGGTATTTCGGCGGTTGCCACACCGTCGTCGGCGCACTCATGCCTCTTAGTAGCGACGTCGTGCAGCACTGTAATGGCGTTCTGTCAGCTCCCTTCCCCGTCCCGTCACCTCGTCCTTCGTTCGGTGGTGGACTTCGTCGTTGCGCACATGCGTGTGTACTTGCGCGGAGACGGTTGTGCGAACTGTGCGGAGCACCTTGCTGGTCTCACCGCACCGCTGTTCACGGAGGCGTTCTCGGCTGAGTTGTCGCAGGATGAACCAAGCTGCCGCAGCTTTACCGCCTGCGCTACCCTCCTCTACGTTGCCTTCGGCGCCGTGCAACCTGCAATGGCAACTGCCGCTCCTGCGGCGCTGCTTCGCGTACTGCAACACGCCGTGGCTCAGACGTATGCCTCGCAGACGATCTCCTGCGTATGCGGCCACCTCGCACTTGTGTTGGTTCTGCAGCCAGACCTCGTAGAGGAGGTGGCAGCACACGTCCTGCGCGTCCTCTTCACCTCCAATGTGGACTTGGTGGAGGGGCGTAAGGGAGCGAACTACAGTGGGGCGGCGTTCCTCCTTTCGCTGTTTTTTCTGCGTTGTCCGCAGTGCCTTCTCCACGCGGCCGGTGCTACCCGGCCGGCACCGCCCGATGATTTTCCGTTGGTGGTGCAGCGCGGTTTCGGGTGGTGGCTGAATATGGCGCCTTTCATGGACGTGGTTCAGCTGCCGTACTTTGCCGCCGCGTGCTGCCGCATCGCGAGCGCGGTCGTCGCTGCACCGGTGGGAACGGGCGTTTCCACCGGGCGACTTGCATCGTGTCGCCAATTCATTCTCCCTTCTGTCCACGTGAAGAAGCTGCCGCTGCGGCCCTTCACAAACCTCTCCGTGCTGCAGCATCTGTGCGTGGCGTGGGTGGATCTGGAGCGGCGCTACAGCAGCACCAGCAAGCCACAGCTGCTGGACCAGGGTCTGCAGCCGTACGTCTCAGGAGTCGATCGACACTACACATCTCTTTGCGGTGTCCCGTTCACGGGGAGTGCAGCGGCCGCGGTGCTGAAGACGGCCCCGGCGGAGACGATTGCTGCGTTTGTTGACTACTTGAGTCAGCAGGACGGCGGTGCAGCGATAAACACCGCGCGACGGCTCCTCAGTGAGCTCGTACGATAAAATCAAACTCCGAGATCGAGCGAGCAGCTCTGCACTGTCAGATTGCCGCGTCCCTGTGTGTCGGGAGGTTTAATAGCTTTCACGTCTAAAGTGCACGTGCCGGTGCAACTCTGCTGGTGACCCAGTAAGGAGAGAAAAGCGGGGGCTCAATAATCGTTAATTTCTGTTATCAACGGACTACGTCAAGATACATATACATATCAGTAAGGCTGCAGCTGTACGCTTCTAACGCACTCTTCATTCATTGAACCCGCCGGTCAGCGACAACGGAAAAACGACGCATTCGATGCATGTGTGTGTGTGTGTGTGTGTGTGTGTGTGTAGAAGATGAACTTGTCATGTACTGCGCCAGCAACACAGCTTCAAGAAGTGTGTTCTTCCTACCTACCTTCCTCTGTTCTTCTTGTTGTGCTCTCCGATACCGAACTCATGCACCCTTCTCCACACCGGTGACCTTCTTGCTCCCCTCAAAACAAAAACAAAAATACACTCACACGCCAAGTCCACCATCTGCAAAGGAGATCGAGAAAAATGGTCCGCATGCACGGTAACGGCCGCGGCAAGGCGTCTTCTGCCCTGCCCTTCCGCCGCACTCCGCCGTCGTGGCTCAAGGTTGCGAGCCGCAACGTTGTGAAGATGGTGTGCAAGAGCTCCCGCAAGGGTATGATGCCGAGCCAGATCGGCATGGAGCTTCGTGATTCGATGGGTATTGCCCAGGTGAAGAACGTGACGGGTCGCAAGATCCTGCGCATCCTCAAGCACAACGGCCTCGCCCCGGAGATCCCGGAGGACCTGTACTTCCTGGTCAAGCGCGCCACCGAGATGCGCAAGCACCTGGAGCGCCATACCACCGACCGCGACACCAAGTACCGCCTGATCCTCGTGGAGTCCCGCATCCACCGCCTCGCCCGCTACTACAAGCGCGTCAAGCAGCTGCCCCCCACCTGGAAGTACGAGTCCGGCGCCGCCGCCACCGCGTAAGGCACAAAGGAGTCGATTTCTCTTGTCAGTGTGGCTCACCCACGATGACTTTGTTTTACTCAACTAATTTCTCTTTTTCAAACTTTACTTCTAAAACAGCAACAACAACTGAGAGATGAGGAGCGTTTGCATGGAGGGGGCGTCACCTGCTCAGAGGTGCTAGTCGCGCTTTCCCTCGTTGCCGCCTGTGAAGTTTACCCGTTCATTACAATGCAGCTCGTTTGGACTATGACTGCTGCGATGGCACCTCTCAAACGTCAGTGCAACTTACGTCCTCACACGCACGCGCTGCAGCTCCTGCTCTACGATGTAATTTGCGATGTCCTCGTCTTTTCTTCTCTGTTTCTCTCCCCTTCCATATCCCCCCCCCCCTCGCCTTTCTCTTCTTCTTCTTTGTTTTTTCTTAAAAGGGCGCCTTCTTCGTTGGGGCAACAAATCAAAGGAAAACGGGAAAATGCGACGGACGTTGACGTCGCGTGCGCTGCGGCAGTCGCCGCGACTCGCCGTCTTTCACGTCTCCAAGTCCGTGAAGGAGGAAGAGAAGAAGTGGGAGGAGAAGAAGAAGGAGGCGGCCAGTAAAGGTTTCGGTCGCCGTGACAGCGTAGAGGATAAGGTCCTCATGGGACAGATGTTCGAGGCCCCGGAGAGCATCGGCGGCGGCGTGGTCGTGGCGAACCTGCCTCCGAAGCAGCACGAACCGACGGAGTTCGACGCCTATCAGCTCTCCACGACGGACTTTTCCTCTCTCGTCACACCGCACGGCACGCCTCCGGTGAAGACCGGGCTGGGCGCCGGGTTTGGTGCGCGCGAAGACAAGCGGCTCGGTTTTCTCCGTCCGCGGCAGCCTCTGCAGCCCTACACCGGTTCCACCGCTGTGGTGCCAAAGTTCGACGAAAACGGCCTGCCACTGGAGCAGTCGCTGACGCCGGAGCAGATGATGCGAAAGCGCAAGGAGTACATGAAGACTTTCGAAGGCACCACGATGAGTGCGTCGGAGCACTTCCTGTTGGTCGACCTCGACTTCCAGAAGGACGCGATGCTCTTTGGCACCACCCGCGAGGAGTTCGAGCACAACGTGACCAAGTTGAAGAACGTGATTATCGCGTACAACAAGTGGGAGCGCACAGACAACTTCTACCGATACATGACCGTTTTACTGAAGCTGCTGACGCTGTGGATCCTTATGGAGAGCCTGCAGCAGTTCTACGAGCTGCGTCTCTTTGCCGCCAACTACGACGACTTTGTCGAAGCGATGGAGATGGACATCGCAGCGTTGGTGCACAAAAGGGCTGCCGACTTCGCCGATGCCGCGCGGGAGTTGCAACAACACAAACCAGACTTCGCGCCGGTGCTCGAGGCCATTGCGAAAGAGCGTGACCGCGTGGTGGCCGTGGAGGCGCGTGCGAACAAGCAGATGGCGGAGGCAGACATGGCGAACAGCAGCAGCAGCAGTAGCAGCGGCGGCGGTATCGCCCTTCTCGCATGGGAGGCGCTGGGTGCCAACATCGGCCGCGATGGTACGCATGAGCAGCAACCAGCGTCGACACTGTCTCCGCTAGACGTGAAGGCCGACGGAGCGCCGCACCCGATGGACACCACCAACGTGGAGGAGCACAGGGAACGCCAGCGCAGAGCGGAGGAGGAGCGCGAGATGCGCCGCCTGGCACTGTACAACGATTCGTCTCGGCAAGACGGAGTCTGGTGGCACGTGTGGAAACGAGTGAAGGGCGTCGTTCGCGGTCAAGACCGCCTGCCAGAGGCGGATGTGACGCGTTACTCCTACGCGGCAAGCCCTACCAGCATTACCTCGATGCGTGCGCTGCGTCGCATTCTGCTGCCGCGCTCTGAGGACGTGGTGCAGGTGGTGCGGGAGGAGATGGTCGCCTACAAGGCGCAGAAGGAACAGATGCGGGCACATCCACTTTAAGTAAGTAAATACCTAAGTGTGTTGGAAGGAGACGGGGTTGGCAGTGTACGGCCGCACGGCGCGCCTGTCCGAGGAGCCGTACGAGTGGCGGTTGTGTGTGGCGAAGATGTTTGTCGTTGACGTTTGCTGGTGCATCCCTTTTCACAGAAATCGTATTATATACATATATTTATTACTCTTCTAAAAAAAATTTCCCCTTTATAGTGCTCACTACGGTTGTTCTTCTTGTGTCATTTAAAATACCTCTCTTACTTCTCTTGCTCACGCTTCGGAAGCAGTGAAGGTTCTCGTTGCTTGGCTCGATGAGAGCTCACGGAAGAGGCGAAGGAAGCTGTCTGCCATTCACCTTTGGCACTTCATGAATCGTAGGGCAGCGCGTCCGGCCCAGTAGCGTGACGTCCCTTTTTGTGTACTGCGTAAACGCTTGCGGGCCTTTAGACGTCTAAACCGTTGATTTCTTTGCAAAATGCGATTAATGGTTACCGCTACCTTCCACTGCTGTGATTCATGACGCTCTCGCCTTTACTTACTTTTGTTTTTGCTGCCTACACTTTGTTGTTGTTAATGTGAAACATCAACAACAACAACAAGCCGGAGCTGCTTCTCTCTCTGCAGGCTTCGTCTTTCAATTTACTCTTCTCTCTTTTTTTCTATATCCGTTGAGCAGCCATGTCGAGTGGTCCTGCTGAACTGCTTGTCCGTCTAGATACATCGGCGCTGGAGAGCCGCCTCAACGGCCTCACCGACCAATGGGAGGGTCCGTTGCGGGGAATGCGCACCAAGGTAGACGACTGCAGCGCAGGCGTGCGGGCCGTCTCGGCGGACGTGGCGGCCATCCAACGATTTCTTCTTTCCTACCACAACCGCGAAATGCTCTCCGCGCTCTCCGCAACGGGCAACGACAGCAGCGGGGAGAGGAGTGCGGATGCGCCGGTCGACCCGCTCGAGGAGTGCGCCACTCCCTCTACCGATGCCACCGCGACGGAGAACCTGCTCAAGACGGTGACCATTGCCCGCCGGCTCCTCGCCGACAACGAAGCGCTGCGTACGTCGCTCGACAACGCGACGGCGGCCCTCGTCTCGTTCAACACAACGCAAGAAAGCCTTAAGCAGGAAGTCACGCGTCTGCGAGAGTTGACGACGACACAGTCGGAGCGGCTGCAGAACATGTCGGACTGGCTCGGCATGAGTGGGCTGCCAATGAACATGGGGGCAGCGGACGATAATAAGGCAGGTGAGGCTTCGGGGCAGCCCGGTGGCCCACCCGGAGCGTCTGCCGACGGTCTCTCTAAGTCAACCGAGGCCGTGCTCGCCCGCTCACCGCTGCTTCTGTCCTTCCGACGCTTTCTCCTCCGCGACCTGACGGAGCGACTGGTGTCGGTGGTGGATCAGCAGTCGAAGGACTTCCACGACTCCATCGCCCACCTCGAGGGCAGAATACAATCGGGCCAATGTGTCGTCACGAGCGGCGACCCCCAGCATGGCGGCGATAGCAATGGCAATTTGCTCGAGACGGTGCGGACGCTGTCGAAGCAGGTGAAGGAGCTCGAACAGCAGGGCATAAAGCGCGACGAGTTCACCTCATTGATGCGCTCCAAGGCGGATTCCCTGCTTCTACCCGTCAAGGCGGACAGCGCGGCAGTCAGCGAGATGGAGCGGCGGCTCGCCACACGCTGCGGCGACCTCGAGGAGCGTTGCGCCTACGCGGACTCCGAACGTGCGGAGTTCCGCGCCATCTTGCGCTCCCTCATCGCCGCCCAGACCGCCGCAATCAACGCCTCCGTCTCCTCTGGCCCAACGTCTGCTGACCAGGCGGCGCCTACCGCTGCGGCGGATGGCTCTCCCCAACTGGCCGGGCAGACACCAGCCGCGATTCTGCGCGATCTGCTGCCTGCCCTTACCCGCGGCCCCTCGGCGGCGGTGCTTGGACGACAGAAGTCGCAGTCATTTCACTCGGCGCGCGGGGCACCGCCGTCCTCATCGCTCTCTTCGCCCTCGCTGCCACCGCCGCGGCAGCAGCAGCTGTACCGAGTGGTGGGTGCGTCGCAAGGGCTGGGCGTACAGGGTGTGCCCGTGCCGCTGCCGACCGGCGCCGGGGCCGCACTGTACGAAGCGGCAGCACCCCCCGCCAGCACGTCCGGCACCCGCGTTGACGCCACGCGCTCTCAATCGACGCCGTCAAAGGGGGACGAGGAGGCAGCGGTGGCTATCGGGATGACGGCCTCGCAGGGTGACTACGCTAGCTACGTCTCGCAGCAGCTCAATCGCAAGCTTGTTGCGTCGCTACCTACGCTGCCGTACGAGCGTATGGCCAACTCGCAGTAACTTCGTTGACGTACGTGCATGTGAACAGGTGTATGGCGCAGACGAGGAAAGAAACACGCCTTGTTTTTTCTGGTTTGTTGTCTGTCGTACAGAGTGTGAGCTCGCCACGTTGGCGCACGCGTACATGTTATGTATATGTCAATCCTAATACATTTTTTTTTGGAAATATCAGTCGCGCGGTGCCGATTGAAGCAGGAAATTACTCTCGGTTTTTTTTTTACCGTGGAACTAATCAGCTGTGCATAACACGGTGTTTCCCGCGTTTTCTTTTATAGATGTACGTTAACACAAGGTCGCAGGCAGAAGCCTTTTGCAAACCAAACCAAACGGAAGAATAGATGACGACAAACATGCAGATCGTCCACCCCGTCGTCGGCCTAGAAAGGTGTGTACTTTACCTCCCGCCTCTCCACGTTTCCGACCCCAGCTGTGACAACAACACCGTGAAAATACCCGCGTGTCCCGCAAAAACGACTCCAGATCGAAGCACGTTTCAAACCTACGTGGCAGTTTATGCTTTTAATGCACCTCAAACCTTCTCTTCTCCCGCTGCCTCCTCTCGACGGAGTTGCACTCGGTGTCTTTTTTTTTTGTCTTTCTTCTCCATTTTGATTCACCGTGCAGTTTGCGTGCGATCCTGGATGCCGTCTGCCTGTTGTGCCTAGGTGCTTGCGCACGTGTCGTTTTCCTCCAGCTCATTCCCACGGCCGAAAAAGCATGCGAAACGCGCTTCTGCACACAGGGGTGGCCGCCCTTCTCTCTTTCTTCCTTCTGCTTATCAGCGCCAACACCGGCTCCGCAGCGACAAGCGTGGCAACGCCGCTCTCTACGCATGTGCTGAATATTACGTTGGACGCTGCCGGCTGGCCAACCGACGCGGCAGCACTGGACACTTACGTGGCTGGCCTCGCCTCGCAGGTCAGCACGACTGTCTGCGGGAGTCTGCCCTCTACTGTGAGCAACTGCACCGCCTTCATGATGGCGGTGTCGGCGACGTCGTCACCGGTGAAGGTCGCCGTTCAAGTCAGCGTGCTGACGGCCTCGTACGGCGCCGGTAATGGCACGTACACGCTGCTCTCGCAATGGGCTGCCGGCAAGAACCTGTTCAGCTTGCCTGCCATTTCCGGCACTCTCCCTACACCGTCGTACAGCACCGGCAGCTACACGGTGCCTTGCCGAGGAGCGCAGAGCTACGCCTTTCTGCCAGCCTGTGCCCCTTCCGAGACCCCACACACGATCGTCTACGTGCAGACAACCAGCACCGCCCTGCAGTCGACGTTTCTGTCGTATCTGTGTCCCACCTCCGCGCCCACGCCCTGCGCCGCCAGCGTCACCGTCACGAGCTCCACCGACAGCTATCAAGTTGTCAACATCACCGGCACTTCGAGGGGCTTGGAGGCGGTGCTGGCCTTCGTGGCTGATGCCCGTGCGAGCTACCTCGGCCCCTCCGCCACCACGAACGTCGTTCCCGGTGAGACAACCGGCGACAGCAGCAAACACCTGGGTGTCACGGCCGTGGAGCTGCGCTACCGCGCCGTCCGCGCCACCCTGTTCTCGGCCAACGAAAACCAGCGCACCTACATGACCTCTGCCCACCTGTCACTGCAGTGTGAGTCGAGCTACAACTTGTGGGCCATCGCCTTCGTTGTCATCCCTTTCCTCGCCATCGGGCTCTTTCGCTACATCTGGTACCGCGGACGGCACCGCTCCAAGAAGCACGAGCGGCGCCGCATCGTTGCGGACGAGACGCGGATTATGCAGGGCTACACCAACCCGGCCGACGCCCCGGCCACCGAGGCGGCACCACCGCCCGGCGTGGACACCTCCGCCCTCGCGCCGCAGTGGGCGATGGACGAAAACGGGAATTACTACGACGCCAACGCAGCTGGTGCGGCGAACGGTAACGATGTGCCCCCTGCCACGCGAGGGGTGGACAGCGTAACATATCAAACCTGGGTGGACCCGGAGACAGGGGAGACCTACCAGTACGCCGTGGCCAGCTCCGCTGCAGGGGCGGCAACGGGCGCTGATGCTACGCAGCAGCAGCAGCAACCAGAAGCCGGCGGTGAGGGCGACGTTACGTACCAAACGTATGTGGATCCGGAGACAGGGGAGACCTACCAGTATGCCGTGGACAGCTCTACCGCGGGGGCCGCAGCAGACGAAGCGCAGGATCAGTCGCAGGCAGCCCAGCAGAGTGGAGACGCCGGTGTCACCCACCAAATGTATGTCGATCCCGATACAGGTGAAACCTATCAGTATGCCGTGGACAAGGCAACCGGTGGGGCCAGCGCAGCAAACGCCGGTGCCCAGCAGACGGCAGAGGCAGGTGGCGGCGATGGCAGCGTGAGCTATCAAACCTATGTGGACCCGGAAACTGGCGAGACGTACCAATACGCGGTAGATCCGGCAAATGCCCGTACTCAAGATGAACCCGTGGCGCAGACTGCCGTAGAAGCCGCAACGACGGACGGCTATCAAACCTACGTGGACCCGGAAACTGGCGAAACGCATCAGTACTCCACAGCAGATAACGCAGGAGGGGCCGATGGGGCTGACGGGCAGCAGTACGAGTACGTGGATCCGAACACGGGTGAGACCTACAGGTACGACGCCTCTGCTGTGCAGAATGACGGTGTCGCAGATGCAGCTGCAGCTGGGGACACCGACGCGGCAGGCACCTACCAGTACGTGGATCCTGAGACGGGGGAGACGTATCAGTACCAAGATGCGTATGCAGCACAGTGAGGAAACCGTAGAGGAGTAGAGAGTACGAGTGCTGTTCTGTGTTGGTCTATACACGCGGTGGTCCATAAAGCTGAAAGGGGGAAAAAATGAGTCCGGCGAGGGCCTTCACTCCTTCGCATCTCTCTTTCATTGAATTCTCTCCCCGCTCTACTTCTGCTTACATCGTCTTAGAGGTGTTTTGCGTTGGACAGCGTTGTTTCTGAGTGGTTTCGTTGCATAACGCGCTCATTCAGGTCGTTGTTTTTTTTTTGGTGAAGTAGAAGACGCCATTGGCGTTTGAAAAGGAAAGGAAGAGACACCTTCCCTAGATTGCTGTACTGCGTTCCTACGTTATGTATAACCTCTTTTTTTTGCTGTTCACCTTTGTCGCTTCACTGTGCTGGCAGTCCCCACGAATAGAGTTGCGCTCACTGTTATTTCTGCACTTCTAGAATTCCGCACTCACTGTCACGACTGTCGTTTTCCGCGGCGGGGAGAACACGTTGCGCTTACACAGTACGCGCTCCGCTTCCATTTCCTAACCCCCCCCCCCCCAGCCCCACGCACTCGCTGAGCACGAAAGCGCTAACATGTGTCTGTGTCGTGAAAAAAGGCGGAGCTTTAATTGTCCCTCTCTTCCCTGCAAGCGCCCTGACAGCTCAACAGCCCACAAGGAGATCGGTTCTTGACCAGTCTTTACTGACACGTTCTTTTGTGTACGGCGCTCATCCTCCCGTGTTCCTTTCCATTTTCTCTTCTCTTCCTTACGGCTGCCTCCCTTCCTCCCTCTCTTTCCCCACCGCCTTCGATGGCAATCTGCGTCCCATCGATCTCCACGGCAACGTCAAAAACCTATACAGTTGCTTCTCAACTCTTCAGTTTGCAGTTGACCTCACGTACGCAGTGAGTTATTCCAATGGATACCGAGCAGCCGAAAAAAGTGCCACGCACCGAGACGAAGACGAAGGACCTTCTACGCACCACCGTGTCCGATGGACCCTTCAGCCTCTTAGACACTGCCATGAAGGAGAAGAAGCGCGTGTTCATTCAGTGTCGTAACAGCAAGGCACTCTTGGCGCACGTCATTGCATTTGACAAGCACTTCAACCTTGTGCTGAAGGGCGTTCAGGAGATTACGGAGAGCCAGGGCTCCGAGCAAAAGCAACGCACCATTGAGAACCTCTTTCTCCGCGGCGAGTCCGTCATCTTCATTGTGAAGCTGCCGTAGGCTCACTTCAGCGCAGAAGGCGACGTCCGTTATGCAGTGTGTGTTTCTTTTTCTGAAGGGAAACGTGACCGTCTTTGCCTCCTTCCCGCTCGTTTGCATCTAAAAAAAAGTTGAAGAAGTCCGAGGACGCCCTCCCGACACGGTGCTACGGCTAGCATCTGTTTCCTGCTGACCGAAAGGTTCGGATGTGATACGGAAACAAATGGGAATACGCCTGCTGAGGTGAGTGACGGGGCGGCTTCGGCGGGTCGTGCGCGCGCGCGCTCGTTTGATGATGTTGGAGGAAAAGACTGTTGTGCTTAATTTGATGCGACGTTGTGTGGAGGCGGTGATAAAAATGCGTTTGTTTGTCTCTGTCGTCGATGCGGCGATAGTGTACTGAGCCTGCCTCGAGCATTTATGAAATGCAAAAAAAAGTCGTGGTATTTGCAATAAAGTCTCTCCTTGCTACACAGGTCCGTGTATGTACCTTGGGATGAGCTACCCAGTGAAGGTGAAGGGTAATTTTCACGTTTAGAAATGGAAGCCCGTGATTCTTCGTGTGCGTCGATGCGCTCTATGTGTATTTTTGTTTCCTGCATCTCGTAGAGTCGCATGTCACACACGTGGAGACGGACGGGAGGCGGGGGCCGGTGTGTGTGTGTATGCGTGTGTGTCGTCGCTGTCATACTTGTTGTTCTCATGGAGCTCTCTTCTAATTGTGTTTCTTCTCCCCTCCCGATGGCGTTGTGGCTTACACATATGTGTCTGCATCGTCTTCGTTTCTACTGCTACTCCCAGCATATATATACATTTGGGTTTTGCCGTGTGGGAAGCTAGTGTTTCTCGTCTTCGTCTGTTTTACTGCGCGTGGACCGGGTTCAGCAAGAACAACACGTTCATTGGAAGGTGACAGGAATTCGTTTACGCGGCCCCGATACGTGACGATTGCGTTGGAGACTGTCGGCGAGGAAACCCTCTCGATTTCTCCGTTTTCATGTCAACTTTCATGTCGTACAATGAGCAGGGTGAATCGATGCGCTGCACTGCCCTCCATCATGAAAGCTACAGCGTTGCGCGGCACATTGCGGCCCTCTTTGCCATCCTTGCCGGCTCCTTTTTAGGTACGGTTTTGCCGATCCTCGGCAAGCGCGGGGACCGCTTTCGCGTGCCCGATTATGTCTACGCGGTTGGCAAGTCGATCGCCACCGGGGTGGTGCTGGGCGTGGCGGTTATTCACATGTTAGAGCCGGCAAATGCGTCGCTGACGAGCGAGTGCCTGCCCGACGCGATTCGCAATCTGTCGAACCCGCTCGCGTACATGATTTGCCTCGCCGCGGTCGCCGCCATGCACTCCCTCGAGGCGTGCCTGCGGACCTTTTTTGAGAATCGCACGGCCTCTAACTTTGCCCGCGTTGAGAGTGACGAGAACGAGCACCTGCTGTCGTGCTCCGACATTGGCCATCACCACCACCCTGTTATTTACGTGGACGACCCGGAGACCACCAGTGGCGTAAATTTGCTCTCGGCGGTTTTTCTCGAACTCGGTGTCTCGCTGCATAGTGTCTTTGTCGGTCTCACCGTCGGTGTCTGCGCGGATGCAGAGTTGTACACGTTAGTCTGTGCCCTGTGCTTTCACCAGTTTTTTGAAGGTGTGGCACTCGGTTCACGTCTTGTCGAAGCGTCTCTCACCCCCAAGACGGAGTACGTCTTCTCCGCCGTGTTCGTGCTCTCCGCTCCCTTCGGTGCTGCGATCGGCGTAATGATTGTTTGCGAACAGCTGGTCAACACCAATGGCAGCTCCTATCTCCTCACTCAGGGCCTCTTAGATGCCGTCTGCGCGGGTATTCTCCTCTACCTCGGCTTTCAGCTTTTGGTGAGCGACTTTTACTCCGACCTGCGTGCGCACTCACGTGGCGTACGCTTTCCCCGTTTGTTTCTGACCGCCATGTTGTTGGGACTCTGGAGCGGGCTTGTCATTATGGCTCTCATTGGGCAGTACCTGTGAGGAGGCAAAAGAATGTGTCAAGAGGAGGAGTGTCGCCATTTTGTGCGTGTTTGTTTGTGTTTGTGTTTGTGGTGTGGTGTTGATTCTTTTCGGTGCATTTCCTCGCTTGCACGTGCGCCGTCTTTCTTCTCCTTTTCGCTCGACTACGTAATTCCTAAGAGTTCGTTCTTGGCTTTTTTGTTTTCTTTCTCTGTGTGTGTCTCTGTGTGTGTGTGTGTGTGTGTGTGTCGATGCGTGTAGTTGCTGAACCACACTAATAAGGTCCATAATAGCTGTTATTATTTTCTTTTATTATTATTCTCTCCACTTCTACTACTATATCCATATTGAAGCGTTTCCGTTTACGATTTCTTCTTCCCTAACGGGAATTTTTTTCGTTCGTTCCTTCTCGTTGCCACTAGCCACCGGAGTTTTTTTTTTCAAGCCTGACCGACACCGTTGTCGGCACAGGTCACGTAGCTTTCATGCTGCCCTTCGCATTTACCATCGATTAATTCTGCCTGTTCACACACAAGTGTGTGCGGGTACGAGAAAAAAAGAATGCTTCGCAACGCAAACGAGTTTGGACTGAAACGGCGATGGTAGATGATCAGTGGCCTCGTTCGCGGAAGGCACGAGTGGGAAGCAACTTTTGGAGCTCGCGTCGCCAAAAAACCGCTGTCGCGTCCACATCTTGGTTTGGCGCCATTTCTTCCCACTTTCACTGCCGCACGCGGCTGTCGTCGCAATAGCGGTTCAATTGCTTCGTCGACATAACTCTTCCCTTGATCGGCTGTTTTCCGTCACTTCCTTCCACTTCATCTACCTCCCCTCTTTGAATCGTGTAATGGTACTTCCGATTGAGTAATAAAATTGTGAGCTGCTGTTTTGCCTCATCAAAAAAAAAAACATAAGAAAGAAAGAGGGATTCTTTCATTTGCACTGCGTACGTGCGAAACTACGCGAATACGCTCACGTACGCTCTCCTTCTTTCTCTCTCACAAACAAACTTGAAGCTTTGTTTTTTTGTACTACCGTTGTGAGGAAGACGCACGCACACACACACACAGCGGTTGAAACGACGGTATAACCTTTTTTTGGAGGGGGGGGGTCTCGTTACGGTGCGCACGACGATGACGGACATGGGCGAACTCGCAGCCCGGCTGCAGTCGCACTCCTGGCGTGGCCGTACCTGGATGTGGGACATCCGGGACGCCATCGGGCACATGTCTATCGCACAGGTGGCGATGGTAGGCACACACAACACCGCCACCTATGAAATCACCCGAAAGTCGAAAATTGGCCGTGATGGCCCGAAGGCGCTGCGCAACAACGGTGCGCTGGTCAGCTTCGTGTGCTTCTTTGGGGGCTTCTTCTTCCCCTCGTGGGCGAAGTGTCAGCGGATGACAGTCGAGGAGCAGCTCAATTTTGGCGTGCGCTACTTCGATCTGCGCATCGCTCCCGACTCGGCGCTCTCGACGACGCTCTACACCACACACGGACTCCTCTCGACAAAGCTGGAAGAGGTGCTGATGGCGGTGAAGACGTTCGTGACGGAACCTGCGACGTCACACGAGTTTGTTCTGCTCGATTTTCAGCATATTTTCCTCAGCCCTAGCGACCCAGGCTACGCCACCTTGTTTCGTTCACTCGTGCGGATCACAGAAATATGCGTGCATCGGCCACCCAACGGAGAGCGCTTTCCTTCACTTTCAGAGCTGTGGAAAGGGCAACAACGTGTGTTTATCTTCATGAACCGCAACGTCGACCTTAGCCGATTGCCCTTTGTGTGCTGGCGCGACAGCTTTCTTACCTCCCAGTGGCTCAACAAGCACAACAAGAAAGACCTCTTGCAGGCTCTTGATCAACACGCGATGCAGTCACCGAAAACAAACGCAGAAAGGGTGTTTCTGACGCAGGCCATCATCACTCCAGACCGCAATACGGTGTTATCCGGCATTTTTAGTCTTGGCGTTCGGCCGAGTTCGCTGCGTGGGCTCGCCAAGAGCGCCAACTCCGATTTCATGCAATGGTTTTGGCGGCGCAATACGATCAAGGCCTCTCCGGCAGGGGTGCATCAAAACGTTCTGCTGTTGGACTACCCGGAGCTCGAGATGATCGAGGTGAAGTGGGACGGCGGAACTCTGCGAGGGACGGTGGTGGACATGTGCGTGTGCATCAACCTCCAGCGCGGTCTGACGTCGGGTGACGCCTGAGAAGATGAAGAAGTGCGGCCGCGTGAGAGCAGACCCGAGGGACGGAACGGGAGAGGCGTGGCTTTGCTCTGTGTGTCTCTCTCTTTCTACGCACTGAAGCTTCTGTTACAAACCAGTGCAGTCATACAGCACAATGTTTTTTTTTTCTTTGGGGAGTCGAAGCAGCTCATCTCCGCGCGTGTTTCACACCCTGTTGTTGTTGCGTTCTGATGTCTTTGCCACTCTTTATGCACGACTCACTCATGAATTTTTTCACTGCGCCGAATTCGTAGAATGACAGCGCTATATATGTAATCCTTCTCTTTCTGTGTATGTCCATTTTTGACCGCCATTCGAAGCTCTCTGCCTTTGGTGTTCCCATCACCGTCATTTTTTTTTGTTTTGCGACTTGTATTTGCGCGCTTCTCAACTACGCAGCCGTCGTCTGCAGCGCTGATGCGACGTCCTCTCGAAGCAACCGTCCATGTGCCTGTTTTTTGCGTGCTCTTCTCGCCCTTAACGCTGTGCATACTCGTGAAGTGTAGGTGACACCTTCTGCTGTAAACACCCTCTTAGAAAAGAAATCCAACTTCATCCCACTTTTTTTCTTTCTCGTTGGTCTGTTTGTGAATTAAAATGCCTCCGCTGCATTCCTGAAGTATCGTTCCGTATTTCATCTCTTATTGGTGGCAATGGAGAACAACAGACGGGTCCCCCACTGGCGCGCAGACCGAAGTGAGCTATCCTGATTCTTATCGTTGTTGTTACTGTTCCCCTTGTTCACCCACGCTGTTCAATCTTCCTTTGATCTGAAATCTCTCCTTCCTTCTTTTTTTTTTAAAACCTCGTCTGTAGTGGAAGTAAAACTTTGAAAAACTGTTCCAAAAACGTAGATTGTGTTTTTGCAGCTGGCCACCGTGACGTGTTGAGCTGGCATGGTGAGTCCTTTCTCAACGGCACCCAACTAAGCAAAGAGGTTCTACCAAAAAAATAAACTCCCTACGGTTTTCAGCAGCACAACGCCCTCGACTCAACAACCGCACATAACTTCCAGCAATAGCAAGCAGCAGAAAGAAGCGCAAAAAATAAATAAAATGTCTGTCGGGACGGCTGCCACGGTGGAGTTCACGGCATCCAGCCAGCGTGTGAAGATGGTGGACATGCATCCGAAGGAGTCCATCTTCATCGCCGCGCTGTACTCGGGTGCCATCAACTTGTACAACTACCAGACACAGGCCCTCATCCGCACCTTCGACACCGGCACGGCTCTGCCGGTGCGCTGCGCACGTTTTGTGCCGCGCCTGCAGAGCTTTGTGTGCGGCTGCGACGATATGAACGTGCGGGTGTACAACTACAACACGATGGAGCGTACTAAAACGTTTCAGGCCCACGACGACTACATTCGCAGCATCGCCGTCCACGACCAACTGCCGTTGGTGCTGACCTGCGCCGATGACATGACGATTCGGCAGTGGGACTGGAGCAAAGGATGGGCCCTGCAGATGACGTACGAGGGTCACCAGCACTTCTGCATGGCCATCGCCTTCAACCCAAAAGACTCCTCGACGTTCGCGTCTGCCTCGATGGACTGCACCGTCAAGGTGTGGCGCATCAACAACCCCACGTCGAACTACCAGCTCGAGGGCCACGAAGACGGCGTGAACTGCGTGGAGTTCTACCCGCGCGGCGACAAGCCCTACCTGCTGAGCGGGTCCGATGACCGGACGGTGCGTCTGTGGGACTACCAGACGAAAGCCTGCCTCCAGGTCTTCTCCTTCCACGAGGACAACGTGTCCTGCGTGCTCTTCCACCCGGACCTGCCCATCATTTTTTCCATCTCCGAGGCGGACAACATCGCCGCCTTCTCAACCGAGACGTTCCGCCTGCTCTACACGTGCAACCACACCGACATGGGCCGTGGGTGGTCGCTGACCTCCAAGAGGCAATCCAACATGCTCATCGCCGGCTTTGACAACGGCGTGCGGGTTTACAAGGTCGGCGTCGACAAACCCGTCTTTTCGATGGACGTCAACGGCCGCGTGCTCGTCGCGACCGGCAACGAACTCACCCGCATGGACATCAAAGGCGTCGGGCCCGACACGCCAGACGGCGAAGTTCTCAGTGTGGCCAGCAAGGACATGGGAACGGTGGAGGCCACGGCGCGCGCTATCCGCCACGCCGCCAACGGTCAGTTTATCTGCGTCCTCGGCGACAGCGACTACACCATCATCTCCTCTCTCTCTCTCCGACCCAAGTCGTATGGGCAGTGCACGTCTTTTGTGTGGGGTCCGGAGAACGGCGCATACGCCGTGCTGGAGGGATGGATGACGGTGAAGATTTACAAAGGCTTCAAGGAACGCGCCGTGCTCTCCCTCCCGGCTGCGGCGGACGAACTCTTCGGCGGCCCGCTGCTGGCTGTGCGCATGGCGAACAGCGTCCTCTTCTACGACTGGGGCACGCTCGCGCTGATTCGGCAGATCGACGAGCGGCCCGTCACCCTCGAGTGGAGCCTGACCGGGGAGCTGGTGGCGCTGGCGACAGACGCGGGCGTTTTCTTGTTGAAGTTCAACAGCGAGGCGGTGGCGCAGTATCTGGCACAGGGCAACCCGACCGGCGACGACGGGCTCGACTTCTCCTTCGACCTGGTCGAGGAACTGGACGAGAAAGTGCGGGATGTTGCGTGGGTTGGGGACTGTCTCGTGTACATCAACCAGGTGCACCGGCTGAACTATTACATCGGCGGCGAGGTCAACAACATCGCGGTGCTGAGCCGCAACCAGTATCTGCTGGGCTACCTGCCAAAAGAGAACCGCCTCTTCTGCATCGACAAGGAAAAGAACATCACGAGCTATCTGCTGCAGGTGGACGTGATCGAGTACATGGCCGCTATCGTGCGCGAGGACTACGACGCGGCCAATACGTTGCTGCCCAATGTCGATGTCAGCCTGCGCGACAAACTCTCGCGCTTCGTGGAATCGCGCGGGCTACTCGAGATGGCACTCGAGATTGCCACCGACGACGAGCATCGCTTCAACCTCGCAGTGCAGCTCAAGCAGCTTCCCCTGGCCCACAGCATCGCCAGCGCCGCCAACGTCGCCTCTTACTGGAAGCAAGTTGGAGACATGGCGCTAGAGCAAGGATTCTTTGACATGGCCATCACGGCGCTCGAGAAGTGCAACGACTGGAGCGGGCTGCTGTTGATTTACACCTCGTTAAACGACCTGGAAGCCGTCTCGCGCCTCGGTGATCGCTGCGTCGAGGCTGGACAGGCGAATCTCGCGTTCACGTGCTACCACCTGACGGGCCGGCACGAGGAATGTGTCGAATTGCTGCAGCGCACTGGCAAGACAGGCGAGGCCGCTTTTTATGCGCGCACTTACTGCCCCGCATGCATCGAGGACGCCGTGGCACAGTGGAAGGTCTCCGTGGCAGCTATCCCTCTCGTGAGCCAGGCGCTCGCGAACCCGGCGGCGTACCCAAACCTTTTTCCCACGCTGCGCGACGCGGCGCCGAAGGAGGCGAAGGAGGAGTTCTCACCGCCATCGTTCAAGTTCGCCGAGTCACCGACCCACGAGGCCGACCAGAAACGGGACGAGGAGGAACGGGAGACACGGGCGCGGGCACCAGCGCCGCATGAAGTACCATCTGCGCAGCCCACTGCGTCCCATCCCGCGCAGCCTCACCCCACTACCCCAACGGTGGACGAGCTTTGCCGCCCTGCTGCGGAGGCGCCTTCCGCAGTCGCCCCTGTCCCAGCAGTTTCCGCGGCAGCTCCCTTTGTTCACCATGACCACGCGGGGTCCGAGTCCAGTGGGATGCAGGAACTAGAGGAGAATGAAGCGTGGGGCGAGTAAGTGCTGTAGAACGACAAGCAAAAGACGCGCCGCCGTCGTTGTGTGTACAGCAGCTGTACTGCGAGATATTGTCGGTGTAGGTTGTTGTATTTCAGGCTGAAATGTGACCGCTCCATCTATTCTTGTGTGGATGTTCATGTGTGTGTGTGTGTGTGTGTGTGTTTGGGAGAGAAAAAGTGGCGTGACGGTGGTAGGCGTCAATTGGGTTGTGCTGCATCTCTTTTCATTTACTCATTGATTTTTTTTGTTTGTTTGAGTGTCGTTCTTTTGCGTTGCGAGGGTGCAAAGAGAGACGGTTATGTTCGATGGTCGCGCTGGAGGCTTCTCTCTTTTCCCACCCTCTACGTTGAGAGTTATCCGATGCTGGGCTGTCTGCATCGCAAAGTACCGAATTTCTAATCCAGCAGCGTTCCAATCCAAAAGAGAAAAGTGGATGTTGTGGACCTTGAAAAACACATGTCAGTTTGATGTCTCAAGGCTGCGCTACGGTGAAGCGAACAGTGCTGTCTTTGTTTCTGCATCCATGAAGTACTGCATAGAAGTCGCTTGCAACTCTTTCAGTCCGGCGTGGAAGTACGCGCAGCGGCAGGATTTTTGTTCGCGTTGCTGCGGTGCGCTCACTCGTTTTCTCCTTCTTTCTCTGCCGCCGGCGCTGAAGACTCCGCAGGCTCATTCCATACGTTTCTTCTTCGAAGTTTACGCACTTTTATCTCTCTTTACTGTCCTGCATTTCTGCATCCTCGCGAGCTTTGTTGTGCTTCTGCGCGCCACCCCTAAACATAGAAGGACCGTCTTGCGCATACGTGGTTGTTAAAGAAAAGGAGGGCATGCAGCAGCTGAGACATGTCTTTCTCGCTGAGGTGCGTGGGTCGCGGCTGTGTTTTTCGCCTCTTGTATCCACTTCAAAGCGTACGTGCACCACAGGATTCTCTGCCGCTCGTTGGACCTGCACGTGCGGCTTCAACAACTACGGCTTTCACCGTCAGTGCTTCCGCTGCAACAAGGCACGCGATGACCTTTCGTCGTCCAAGCAGATCTCGCTCGCGGCGCTGCTGGACGACGCCCATGCTGACACAGCCACAGTGAATGACGAACAGAGCATCACGGCAGTCAGCACCCCCGTCGTTCCAGCAGAAGGGGTGTGGATGTGTGCGGCGTGCAACACCTTCAACAACTCAACGCGTGGAGCTTGCGTGCACTGCGGAGAGGTGCGTCCTTCAGGGCGGCTATCTGATCGTGCATCGGGGTCCACATTAATCCCTGATGCGAGCATCGCTGCGTCGTCACACAGGGCGCGACACCCCGCCGAGGCACCGCAGTCATTCAAGCGGGGCGATTGGTACTGCAGCTGCGGAGCCCACAACTTTGCGCGCAACACACACTGCAGAGACTGTCAAGCCCCCGCTCCGGTCCAGAGGAGGGCGGCGCTGCGTCACAACGCCAGCAGCCAGGACTGGGTGTGTCCCGCATGTGACAAGTACAACTTCTCGCGGCGAACGGAGTGCATGCGCTGCCATCACTCGCGGCCGCCTTCGCAGAACAATGAAGCGAAAGGCAGCGCAGCGACAGGAGCGGAGTCGCAGGGATGGGTCTGCCAGGCGTGCCACTCGATGAACCCGTCGGACTCCGCGTCCGGCTGTGTGATATGCGGGACCCCTAAGTAAATAGCGGGTGAGCGCGTATTTCTTCTCGTTGAGTCCCAGGAGAGATCAACGCTCACACGCGGGTCATTTTTGTTGAAAACGCGCCCCTTTCGAATGAGCCTGCGGCGAGTCGAAATGAGTGTTTCCTCTCGTTGTTTGCGTCGATGAGTGCGGGGCGGCATGCGTGTCTCTGACGTCATCAACGGTGCGTGAGAGGCAGTCATGTGTGACGGTGGTTCTTTGGTTGCGGCAGAGTGTATTTCGTTTCGCTATTTAATAACACTGAGTTCACAGATGGCGGAAAAGTAAAACAAGAAGACGTGGCCACTCCCAGAACAGCATAATTGGCTCGACAGCTTCCATCGGGGGGGGGGGGTGTTGTTGAAAAAATGGCGGGCATACTTGAAGCAGGGTCCGTTTTAGTTTTAGTGAATTACGGCAGCGCATCCGCACGGACTCTTTTGTTGATGTTTCGCTCCTCCGTTGCTCATTCGGTGCTTTCTACCACTCTCGTTCCTCTGGTTCTCTCTCTCTCTCTTACTTGCACACACATCAACTCTACTCACCTTTCATTTTCTTTTCTTTCCTTGTGAGGACTTCCCGCTTGTCAGTGTACGGAAGGCGCCGCCTCGGTTGCGTGTGGGAACACTTACAGTAAAGCTTATTGGCATTTTGGACTTTTTGTATGTTCGGTAAAATGTAGGTGTACGCACACCATCCCCGTACTTTCACACAGAGCGCCGATTTGTAGAAGCGAAAAGAGGAGAGTGGGACCTCTGTTGAACGTCACCGGTCGACGAGACACCAAAAAGTGGCAGCCTATTCTCTTTTTTTTCTTACTACTGTTGACTTATTACTATTTCTTCTCTCCTTCCTTCCACGTACGCATCTACAGACACGCCCAACCTTTACTGTCTCGCCACCATCATGGCGGAGTTACACATGAGCACGCCGTTCAACGCCTTCGACGTTTGCACGTGGTCATCCTACATTGATCAGGATGACCCCCGCATGATCTCTTATGATCTACGCGTGGAGCTTGAGAGGGCGTACGAAGTGTACCCTTACTCCGCCAAATGCAGACAAGCCGTACTGAGAAGTGTGGTGCTGTGGGCAACCATGTCGCGTACGCAGCGGCAGGTCATCGCGTGGGACAACGACATGAATCTACGTCTCGGGCAGGCCCTCGTTCAACACATGCTGGATCTCACCGCAGAGCTGAAGGGCGTCAACACGGATGAGATCTACGCGGCCTTGCAGGCGGAGCAGCACCCTTTCCTAAAGAAGATGCATGAAATCGAGCAGTCGAGGAAGACGCACGAGGGGGAGTGGAGTGGCCGCCACGACCGCGCCGCGGCAGCCATCACCGAGGCAACGCGGAGCACCACAACCTACGCCCTCAGTCCTCTGCCGCTCGGGGAGGTGTCGCAGCGCATGCCACAACGGGCGCCGACCGTGATGGCCCCGTCGTTGGCGCGAGAGGAGTCGCTCGCCGCTGCCGCATCCGAGCCGGCGATTTTGCAGACGGTCGATGCTGAGACGCCGCCACCGGCGTACACTTCACCAGGTGCGGAAAACGGGCGCTTCTCGAAGGCGGTGACGAAAGCGATGGGCAGCAAGGAGACGGCGCAGCCCCCCAAGCCTGCTGCAGCTGCCACGGCAGAGCCAACTACCCGCCCGGTCAAGGTTGTTGCCGCCGCGCCTGCTGTGGAAAGTAAGACGGCGGCTGCGCGTCCCCCTCCGCCGCCTTTTGTTGCGGCTGTGAATGCCACCAAGGCGAACGGCCATGCCGCTCCGCCACCACCCTTCTCTAAAAAGAAGGAAGAAAGTGAACGTACCCCTGGTGTCTCTCTCCGTCCTCGACCCCCTCCACCACCACCAGCTCAACCAGCAGCACCAGCAGCGCCGAAGAACCCCGCGCCTTTGGTGCAGGCTGAAAAGGAGTTCGTGTACTCCGACTCGGAGGAATTTCTCTCCTCTCGCTCCTCCAGTGCTGCGTCAGCGCCAGCACCCAAAACGGCAGCCGTCGCAGTGGCAGCGAAAATGGCGGAGCCTCCTCCATCGGTGCCAAGCCGCGGCGCTACAGCCCTCGCCACCGAGGCGGAGCTGCTGAAATATGGACACGACGGCACGGAGAACTTACTGCAAGCCTGCTTGGATGAAATGCCTGCTGATCCGGACGGCGTGTCGGCGTGGACGGAGTTGAAGCTGGCGGTGACGGAGAAGGACAGAAAAAAACGCCTGCTCGCAGAGGCGCCGCCACCACTCCTGCTGGACAACATCAAATCCCGCATGGAGGTGCGGGTGGTGAAGCGGCTGGATCAACTTTTTCAATACCTCTACGCGGACGCACCGCTGGAGCTGCTGCCGCACAACGAGGCGGCGGCGTTTCTCTCCGCCGCTGATATCGCTCAGCTCGCAGATGTGGGGCTCATTCGTCCCTCAAAGCGACCCGCAGGGCCGGACACGGTGATTGCCTTCTCCGTGATGGACGGGACTGAGCAGGAGACGACGCGGCGCTTTTTGTCATGGCCGTGCGGAAGCAATCGAAACGCGATGGACGACGCCTATGACCCGAAAGTCTCGCTGCACCACATCTCGACCTACCTAAACGCGGTGAACGCCCCGGCGGGCTGTGCAGAGAGCTTGGCCGCGTGCTTCGATCAGATTTTGCTGCCCACCGACATGCAGGAGCGCTTCGTCTTCACGGACGCGACGAGCAAGCGTTGGTGCCTGACGCGGCTGCCAATGACGCACATCGTTGCGGCGGAGATCGTTCAAATTCTCCTCTGTACTCTGTGCGGACATCCGTCGTACACGCTGCCGAAGTTCGCCGCGGACTCGGCGGTGTTGGTGGATGTCTGGGTGCGCCACGTGCGCTTCTACGGCGCACAGAAGGGCGTCCAGCAATCGCGGGACAAGTTTCGTGCCGCCTGCAAGGAGTGCAGCGTCGCGCTGCAGCTCAACAAGGGCGGGGGCGGTGGTGTCTACACCTTCATCGGGGTACACTTTGACCACACGGCACACACGGTGTGCGTGGAACCGGAGCTGCTCCGCCGCATTGCCGCACCTCGTCGGCTCCTCAACACTCGTGATTTGGAGCGGCAATACACCCAGCTGCTCTTCAGTGCGGCGGTGCTGCATATCGCCGTCTCCAAGTTCTACACGCTTGCCCGAACTGTCTACTGGCGGCTCTCGCAGACGTTCGCAGAGGTGGAGCTGCTGCTGAAGCCGGAGCTACTCCCGCAGGACTCCTTCGCCCACCTCGAGAAGTGGCACAAAGACGCGTTGCACAACGCGCCGCGGTCCGTTGCAAAGGTGGCGCTGCCAAACATGACCCTCTTCGTGGAGCTGTCGTTGGAGTCGTGGTTCGCGGTGTTGATTGGCGAGGAGACGCAGGAGACGTGGACGAGCTACGGGTCGCTGGAGGATATGCTCGGCACCAAGATCGCCTGCGCCTCCATCACGAGAGCCATCGAGCAGTTCCAGGAGTGTATCGAAAAGGGTGCACACGTGACCATATTGATCATTGGTGGCAAGTCTCTTGGTCGGAACGACACGCCCATCTTCAAGAACGAGTCGAAGGATGTCATCGCTGATTGCATCCGTACGCACCTCGTGACGCGCACCTTCTCTTTTGAGGTGAGGTACCTTGGATTGGAGGCGTCCAAAGCCAACGGATCGGCGGCTGCGGGGCAGAAACCCGCCGCAAAGGAGCAGAGGAAAGAGTATGCACGATAGATGGGCCTCGTCGCCGTGCAACGCACCAAAAAGTGAAAAACAAACAACACCGAGAGCCGCGGGTGTGTCCTTGCAGAGACGTTGTGGGTGTTGGCTTCGTTTCCGTCTTGTGTTCTGCTTTCCCTCTTTTTTTCCCTGTTTTCACTTCTCTTCACGGCGAACTGATGAGTTGTGCTGCGTGTTAGCGTTTTCCCTTCATTCCTAATCCACACACACACACACACACAAAGAGTTGAGATTGCCGTTATCGTGGCAACGTAAATAATATAAAAAAGAAGAGCGCATCATTCATAAAAATTTGGTTTTCGGTGGGACGCTGCGTCTCTTGCCATTTTCGTGGTGTTTTAAAACCAGCCCACATAGTCGTCAGAAACAAGGAAAGGAATTTCGCGTAAAAAGCACGCCTGCGCTAACAGCGGCTTCGTGGCAGAAGTTTAATTCGGTACAAAGCTATATATATATATATATATATATATTTGTTTTCTCTTGTGTGTGTCCCGCGTCGACTCCCTTGATAGCATGAAAAGTTCCAAAGATCTCCTGAGTCGTTGTTTTCTTCGTCAGGACAAGCATAAGAGGGGAGGCGAAGCAGCGCAACAGGCAAGCAGCTGCAATAAACGTTTCTTTATATGTATATTGCAGCCTATGCACAGGCGCCGCAGCACGCGCGACAGCTTCGTGTGGTTGAACAGCGCATGCGTTGACGTCTCGTAGGCGTACCAAGGAAGGGAATGTGTCTGAAACGCGTTTGTTTGCTTATTCGCTCCATCTTCTCACCTCTTTTGCTTTTCCGCTCTTCCCGCCCTCTCTCGATGCGAGTCTTGTCTGCTTGTTTGCTCTCAGCATGCTCGTAAAAGGAGCACACTACGTACAGTTGAATTCGATGACCACCTCTAGCAGTGCGATGTTCCCTCAAGGCTACACCATAGCAGAACCGATGCGGGCAGCCCTGGAGGAGGCGTACAACAAAAAAAAGGAATACCTGAACAGTCGTGTGGCGCCGCTCTACGCGTCGACCAACCCTGCGGCTCTCTGGAACGCCATTGTGAAGCATCGCCTCAAGAGCGAAAAGGACGGCGGTGCGGTGGACTCGTACGACGACCTTGTCTTGAACTACGAAGGCTATCGCAACATGGTATACGAAATCTTATTTCGCAGCTCGCCAGAGGAGGAAGCTGCTGCGAGGCTGCAGGTGAAAGAATGGCGGCGCAGCGTCTACTTCAATCACCCTTTCTTGTCGCCTGCCACATTCCTGGCCTTCGCCCGCTCCTCCAGCGCAGCTGTGGCAGCGGTGCCGCTGTACGCCTTCGCTGCCAAACGCCTGCTGCTGTTTCGCATTCGAGTCGAGTTAGAGCTCGACGCCTCGGTACCGCCGCCCATTTTCCTTGACCGCGCCCAACGCGCCGCAGGTGGCCGGCTGCCCTGCCCGCCGAGCGGGTCTTCCCCGCTTTCGAACGGGCTGACGCAGGAGGACATTGAAATGTTCATTGCGGACCTCGTGCCGAACCTGCGTTTAGTGCGAGACATGCCACCGTGGATGCTGCCGTACTACCTGTGCCACGCATCACGCAAGTTTATGTTCATGTGCGACAGTCGTGGGGTCGGGGCAATACCGATCGACGTGTTTATGAAGAGCGAAGTCTTTTCAGAGCTGCTGCGCATGTTCGAGAGTGACGCGCAGGACGCGATTATTTGTTTTCCTGAGGGCTGCGTCGTCGAGGTGCCGGCCTCCGTCGCGTCTGGCGAGGCCGAGTCCGACGACACGGTGCCTGCCTTAGTCCTGTCCTACGAAGGCAATGGAAACACAGCGGGAGACGTGTACCAGGTGCAACTGCTCGACAGCGACGTTAAGCTAAGCGTGACGCGGGATCGCCTCTACTGGAGCACGGCGTCGATGGACTACGTCTCGCCCGACGCGCTGAGCATGGACAATTGGTTTTCCTTGGCGCTGATGAGCCGCATCTATGAACACTTCACCGCCCTAGACACCGACGGCGACGGCGTCCTCACACGCGAGGAACTCTCCCACTACAGCAACGACAGCTTCACGCAGCTTTCCATTCAACGCGTCTTCGAGTGCCACGTCAGTCACAGCGGCAGCCGCCACATTATGGACTACAAAACGTACCTGAACTTTGTCATTGCCACAGAGCACGCCGCGACACGGCCGGCGATGCGCTACATATGGGACCTGCTTGACTTGGACGGCACAAAAACGTACATCAAAATCACAACGCTCCGCTGCTTCTGCAAAGAGATCGCCAACGAGCTCATCGCGAACGGCCTCATGGTGGACATCTCAGCACAGTCGATTCTGTCCGAAATTGTCGACATGATCAACCCTGCCTGGCATGAATGGGTAACGTTCGAGGACATTGAGAAGTCGGGTCAGCAGGTGACTGTTCTTCCTATTCTGCTGAGCCACCGCAACTTTTACGCCTACGACTGTCGTGAGCAGACCGCCGCGTCGGCCAACGATGAGTTCACGGATATCCCGGAAAAGTAGACGGCTCCTTTCTGTTAATCTGCTTCGCTGGCGTCCCGCGGCTGGACTGTACGGGCACCGAGCTGCGCACACGCATTCAGTTCAGATTAGAGTACTGCAGGTGTTTTGTCTGTTGTGTGCTTTCTCGGATCCTTTCTCTTTTGTGTTTGTCCGATAGCGGAGAATTACGACACGCTGTGCTGCGTTTTTTTTTGTTGTTGTTGTTGCCACTCCTTACCTCGACCCCAAAAGTACTGCTTCGAGCAAACTGCGCGCCGACGGGAATGGCAAAGCGGTACAAGCCGTTTTGTTGTTGCAACAGTTCAAGAAGCTCATGCGGCTTTGTCAACATTATCGGCATTCGGTGCGGGCCGTGTGCGCTCCGTGTCGTCTACGTATTATTCCGTTGTTGCTGCCACCTCTTCTCCTTTCTTTCCTCCTCACTTTCCATTCATTCTATTCTCCTTTTCTTGGTTTGATTTCCTGGTCCTACACAACGCGCTGCCTGTCCTCTTTGAATTCTTCATCGAAAGAGGTACGCAATGGTGAACTACCCGAAGAAGAAGGTGATGCACTGCGGCGACGCGCGCTGCAATGCGCACAAGTCGTTCAAGGTGGTGCAGTACAAGGCCGGTAAGGCCCGCCTGTACGCTCGCGGCAAGCGACGTTACGACCGCAAGCAGTCGGGTTACGGTGGTCAGTCCAAGCCTATCTTCCACAAGAAGGCCAAGACGACCAAGAAGATCGTGCTGAAGCTGCAGTGCTCTGGCTGCAAGACGATCCGTCAGATCGTCCTCAAGCGCACCAAGCACTTCGAGCTGAACGATAAGAAGAAGACCGGCAACAAGGACCCCACCTGGTAAGCACCCCACGCGCACCACTCTTTTTTGTCGTGCTCCATGGCTTTATCTTTTAGTAATTTTTATCTTTACTTTTACAAAAGAAAGAAAAAATGTTAAACTGTACGTGCAATCGAAAAGCAGACGCCTTTTGGGGTTTCCTCGGCTGGAAATTGGAGGCGAGGTTGCACAGCGGCGTACTCAACCGGAAAACACTAGCCACGCGGCGGTTGTCCTGCTCCTGTCTTTCTCTTCTCCTCTACACCCATTGCATTACGGTGTTAATCAGCTTCTTATCACGTCACTTTTTGTTCTCTATCTCTTGGTACATATGTGTACGCGTTGATGCGCACGATCCCCGCAGCGAGAGCCTTCTCACTGTCCTGCTTTCGTTGTTCTCTCTCCCCCGCCTACCTTCTCTCTTTGCCTGGTACTCCGTCCTTCCCCTCCCTTCGTTGCACCTCAAAATATATAAACAACTAAAAACCATTTATCTTGCAATAACATTGTCCTCTCCTGTCACCTCCAATGCAATACGATAGAACACTTCGCAAGCTTGCCTATCGCGCCGTTTCCTTTTGTTTTCTTCCGTGTTTCTTTTCCCCCGCGCTGTGAAGTACTCGCCTAATAGTACCCCACCGCAACAACACCCTTTATACCCTTATCTCTCTTTCGCTCTTGACTGACGTCATGCTCCGTGTGACCGTCCGTGCTCTCGTCCGCAAGGCACCGAGCAAGGTGGGCTCCAAGGCTGCTACCTCCACTGCTGTCGTTGCGTCTGGGGCTGCTCCCGTGCCGTCGATCCCGTCGATCCGTGCGGTGCCGCCGGTGGGTGAGTCGAAGGTCAGCATCCCGCCAATTCCCGGCGTGCGCAGCGCCCGTGCGATGCGTCATCAGCAGCGTGCGGCCACCCGTTCCGCCGTTGGCGTCGCGCCGTCGAAGAGGCAGCCCACTCGCAGTTGCGCGAAGCCTGCGCAGCCCACCAAGGCGTCCCGAGCGATCAAAAAGGCCGCTAACAAGGCGCGTGGCTTGAAGAAGACGGTTCAGCACAAAGTGAAGACGGCGGCTCACGCCATCAAGACCAAACCGAAGAAACTTGCAAAGAGCTTATCGAAGAAATCCGCTTCCAAGAAGGCGCACAAGTAGAGGGAAAATGCAAAAGGAGAGGTATAAGCACGTGTCTCCTCATTTTAAAACGGAGTGAAGCAGCGGTGTGGCAGAACCTATCTTTTTTTCTTGTCGGTGCAAAAGCAATACAAATCGTACGGGGCCACGCAGAAGAAAAAAAGAAAGAAACGAAAATGAGCGCGGTGAAGGCTGAAACACTTCTAATAAGAAAAGCGGCGGCGACGAACAGAGAAGAAAGTCATTTCATTTGGCCACACCTGTTTCCTTCTCCCACTTGCTGGCGTAGTTTACGTGTGGTTGCCTGATATATTAGCCCTTCTTCATCTGTTTTGCTTCGCCCTGTTTTCCACGTTTCTCTGTAACCCTGTGCATTCTTCGGAGCGTGCCAGTGATCGACTGCGCCATCACTCACCGTAACACTAACGCAACTTTTTTCCCTTTTTTCTGTGTACCGTCGCTCCATCAGTATTCCTTCTTTTTTATACACCTATCAAGTCCGTGAGCACATCATAGAGATATTTAAAAGGGAAACGAAAGAAACTCAATGACGCGCACTTTTCGTTTTAGGCGAGAACGCAACGTTGGGGAAAAGTGGGAGAAACGAAAACTGGGTTTCACGGGCGTCGCAGTTGTGTGTTCCTGAGACTCCACCCTCCCCTCTCCCTCCCGCCCTTGGTTGTCCCTTCTCTAAACTCCATTTGCCTCCTTTCTCGCTGCGTATCTCTTCTGCTTTTTACGCATTCAGAAGGGAATCCACTACTGAAAACGAGCTTGCATGGGTCTTCTTCATTGGCTACGAGCAGGGTCCACGCTTCAACAATCTCTTTCAGTTCCTCTCCCATTTTCTTTCACTCCTTCAAGGTCATATTGCTAGTGTCTGCGAGTCCACAGTGTGAGTCAACGACGGGTGTAAGCAGGTTTTTTTTCTTGATCCCTGCACGTTAGTCTCATATAGGCAAGGTTCTTTCTCTCTCACTCTCTTCTTGTTTGTATGAATACCGCCTTTCATACGCTTCTGTGTTCTCCCTCTCTCTCCCTTTTTTTTTTGGTTTCTTTTCTGGCCAGGCTGTTCAGTTCCGTTACGGGCACATAAGATAGAGCTTTAACTGCGGTGCGTCGTTTGCTGTCAGACCGTTTGTCCCGCCACACCGTGTTCGGCTGTCTTTCCTTTTTCCTCCACCGCCCTTTCTGTTCTCTTCTCTCGCTCCACGATGTTGAGGACGATGGTCCTTCTTGGCGGTCGGGTGCGCAAGAGCCCGGTCGTACACGTTCACCGCCGCAGACCTCTCGTGAGGCGCGCCGCCACAGTGACACAGGCGACGCGAAGGCAAAATGAGGCTGCAGCGGAGAGGCAGTTCTTGAAAATGATCTCTGACGCTCGTAGCAGACGACAGCGTCAGCTGCGACAGGCAATCAAGATGGCTCTGGCCGCCCGGTCATCTGAGCCGCCGCTCACCAAGCGCGACGACCGCTACGCCAAGAACCGCCAGCTTGCTGTAGCGGAGTTGGAGAAGGTAGAAAACGAAAAGGCACGCGCCGCCCTCAAAGCCCGTGGGGTGGCCGCGGCGTCCCAGGCAGAAAGGAAACAGAGTGACACCACCACGGCACGGCAGGCCAAGAAGAAGATCGAGCGAGAAGTGCGAAAGGCGCGCACCGCAGCCGCGGAGCAGGCTGCGGAGGCGCGCTTTGCCGCGGAGCTGCAGCGACTTCAGGAGAAACGAGATGCGCGTACGCAGGCGTTGAGGGAGAAGCATAACCGGGCAAGCAAATCCGCCGCAGCGGAATCAATGAACATGCAAGAAGAATTAAAGGCGGCCGTAGAGGTGAGTGCGAAGGAAGAAAAGGAGAAAGAGTCAACAACGGTGCTCTCTTCCGCCAAACCGGCAAAACCCGCGAGGAGGCCAGCCGCAAAGAAGGTCAAGGCGATCGCGTCGGAGGCAACACAGCGTGCTGCGGAGCCGCTGGTGGTGCCCGATGCGCAGGAGGAAGCCCCTGTCCCAGTCGCCCCTCCCCCGCCAGCCGCCACGACCAAACCAGTGGTGCAACGCCCCCCATCTCGTCTTCAGCCTCCACCTGCCGCAGTAGCAGCGATAGAGGACGTGTCAGAGGTGCACGACGAGTTTGTGGCGCAGTTAGAAAAAGCGAAAGGACGCGCCACGGCAGTGCCGACGCAGACGGCGATCGCCACGCCTGCGAAGACTCCTGCCGCCCCGACGAAGAGTTGGGCCATGCCGGAAAGCTCGACCGGGTTGTTCCGTCTTTAGAACGCCCTCACCACACTTGCGGGGGACGAAAATAAATGATACAGAAGTGTACTACTTGATCTTCTTTGCATAGAGCATCGTTGCTTTCCAATGGCGCGGTGTAGGGCTGACAGCATCAACTGTGGTGAGATGTGCTGTCCTTTTCTTTGTCTGTTTCTTTGTTTCATGTTTTGCCTCTGCTGCTTCTCGATTGAGCCAAACATATCGGCGGTAGAAACGTCTTCAGTTCTCATGTCCACGAAATTCGGAGTGAATTGATACAAGACTTGTTGTTGTAAGCTCCTCTCCTTTTGCATATAAAAGAGTAGAGGTTGATCGTTGAGGCGGAGCATATCTTGGTAGCTCTTCTTTTTACTTCGGCCGGGAAGAGGGAAGAGGGGGGGGGGTCCTTGCTGTTTCACAACTCCCCCTCTTTGCTTCTTTTTTTTTTTAGAGTATGGTGACACCTTGCTGGATATATACGTCTAGATATATACGTGTTGAAGGCTGCATGTTTCTTCCTTTTGTTTTTAGCGTTTCGCCGTTGTCACTGATTTCATAGACCTGTGCTTGAGGAATCAAATCCTGTGTCGTGAGAAAACAAAAGACGCTTCTTCAAAGAAAAAAAAAATTTCTCTGTTGTCATGCGTGGCAGATTTGCCCCGAATTTCTGTGACACAATCATCTGAAGTGAGAATTTTCCCTCTGCATTGACGTTGTATTTGTAGGGAGCTGTTACAGGGTCCCAATACGTACGCTCATGAGTGTAACGGCACGTTGAATGCCAGAGAGCTCAGCGTAGTGAAGTGGTCCCCCCGGCCGGCTGTTGAGGTACCTGTTGGGCAAGATGGTTAAGGTTGATTTAGTTATTTCGATTTCTCTTTTTAGGTCACTGGCGTAGAGCGTTACGGCGATTCGGCTTTTCCTTTCCGCACCACCTTCGATTGTCCTGACATTTGCCTTGCGCTTTTTTTTTTCTCTGCTCGATGATCTTTCACCGCAGCGATAAGTCAGCCAGCAACAACAACCAAAACACACATAGTAGCTGTGATGTTCCCGCCACCTTTGGTGGGCACACAAAAGTGGCTCGTTGTCTCCGTGTTAGGTCTTGCACTCCTGTCGGCGGCGGCGGCTCTGCAGAACCGCGCCAGTACCGCTCGACTACGACATTACGCAAACGTCCGCATTGTTGCAGAGGCGGAATCGATTATTGCAGGTGTGACGAGGATGACCACTGATGACGATGGTGAACCGTGCGTGTATGTGTACTTGAACACGGTGCAGCAAAATCTGAGAGTTGCGCGGCGGCGCCTCCGCACGACAACGCATTTGCTGCCCTCTCTTTTTGACTGTTATGCGACGGCGTGCTTATCGGCACATGTTCGGGACGCCTTGAAAGCAGATGTTTGGAACTGTCTTGGCGCAATCTTGGAGGAGTCCTTGTGCAGTTATGTGGCCGCCGACGCGCTTTCCAGCGACTCTTCCGCCGCCGCGGCAAGCCTCGCTATGTGTACGCTCCTACAGAAGCGCTACAACGTTACTCACTTTCTTTCCTGTGGCATGCAGGCGTCGGTTCAACTGCACACGCTTGACTCCCGCGTGATCGCAGCGGCGCAGCGCAAAAATCAGTCCGAAGGCTCCACGCTGCGCTCCGTCATCGCCTTTGCTCAGTTGCTGCGAGGATCCTGCTCTGCTTCGGAGCCGCTTCTCCTGTGTGCGCTTGCTCTGGTCAGAATGACACACATCTCTCGTCTTCTGGTGTCTGCGACGCCTTTTATGGCACCGTCGAACGTGATGTATGCCACGAGTGTGCTGAGCGCGGTGTCCAAAGGCGTTGACGGCGCATTCATTTCGTGGAAATCGGCCTCATGCCGCGTTCTCGCTTCCATGCCAGGGCGCCTGCTCGCCGGGGCGACCGTCGGCGCCCTCTTTTCGCACCTCTTTGCCGCTGCGCACGACGCGGCCTCCGATGAGTTGGTGCGACACCTACGCGCCACCATCACAACCGACACGATTCTTGCCCTCGCCCGCTTCGACTTTGTCGCCGATGCCGCGTGGGACGTGCCCCACCGCGTCTACAGTGCGCTCAGCGACGCAACCAACTTCTCTCTTGCCGACGTGGATCGCCTTTTCCACGTGTTTGCCGAATACACCGCTCGCTGTCGCACGACCCTTCGTGCGCCGCTGTCATGCCTTACTGGTTGGATGACACGTCAGGCTGTCTGCTTCGTTGAACGACAATGGCAACGTGCAATTTTTATGCGCTCTTTCGTCGATGCGTACACTGCTGCCATGCCGTTGTCGTCACATTGCGCGAGCCATGGTCCCCATCAGTGTCTCTGCGGCCGACCCACGCAGACGGAGACGTTACACCCCGTGCGCCGTTCATCATCGGCGCCGCAACCATCTGTGTGTCACCACGGCCTCCAACTCCTACTCCTCGCCGGTGCCGGTGGGACTTCTGCGCGTTCAATGGTCGCGGTGAGGGCGTCGCTGGCGATGCATACGCGCTGGCCGCTGTTCCCCGCCGCCAGTGCCCGTGCGACCGAGCGCGCGCTGAAGGCGCTCTCGGAGTCAGGCAGCGCCGCACTGCAAGCCAAGTACACGGCCGCCCTGGCGCTGTCTCCACACGGCGCAAGACCGCCGAACTCGCCTTTTATTGCGGAGACCAGTGCGACCCATGTTTCCTCTCCTTCTCCCCTGTTTCCGGCTTTCCCCTCTGCACTTGGTTTGCTGCGCAGCCGGGGCGAGGAGCGGCACCAGTGGCAACGGCCGCAGTTGTCGCTTTCGTCTGCAGCGCGCGGAGCGCGTGATTTGTGGGCTGCGCCGTCTATCGGTGACGAGGTGGTGGATAAAGTCTTTGTTGGGCTGGAAGGGCTGCCGCTGATGATCGCGTTGGCGATGCGCAGAGGACACCAGGCGGCACCATCGTCGTCACGTCCATCCCGCGCAGAGGAGGACGACGATGGGAGCGCGTTGGAGGCGGCTTTTGAGGTGACGAGGACAGTGGAGTGCGGCGACGTCTTTGCGATGCCGCCTGCCCGGCCGTTTTCATCCGCCTCTGCCTTCCAGTTTGACGTGGAGGTGGCACAGCTGCGCTACCGCGAGTATGGGGCCTACGTGCAGAGCGTCGCGGCTATCCGGTACGTGCAACACATACACACACCTTTACTGGATCACTGCTGGCTGCCCCAGCACCGCGCTGCGCCATCGTGGCGGGTCACGTTCGACCGCGTCTGCTTCCGCTACCCGGGCTCGGACACGGACGTGCTGCGCGACGTCTCTTTCGACGTCGCCTCGGGGGGCTTTCTCGGCATCGTCGGGTGCAGCGGTGCCGGCAAGAGCACGCTGCTGCTCTTGATCTCTCGCGTGTTTGCCCCGACGACGGGACAAATTTACATCAACGGCTGGCCCATCGACCGCCTTCCCCCGCGTGCGCTGCGCCGGCGGTTGGGTGTGGCGTGGCAGGGCGACGGCCACACAGCCTTCCTCGACGGCCTCAGCGTGGAGAGCAACGTCGCCTACGGTGCCCTTCACCGAGCCTCTGGCGCAACGATTGCGCAGGCGCTGTCGGTGGCGTGTGTGGACGACGTTGTCGCGGCGCGGCCCCACGGCACCCATGAAGTGCTGCAGTCCAGCGAATGGAGTGGCGGCGAGCTGGAGCGGCTGAGCTTAGCGCGTGCGCTGATGGTCACCCCGGAAGAGGCCGGCGCCTACCTTTTCGACGAGTGTGCGAGCGGGTTGGACGCAGTGACCGAGGCGCACGTGTTCTCCAACAGGCTGCGAGCTCATCGTGATGGTGGTCATTCTCGGCACACTACACAAATTATGGTGTCGCATCGCCTCTCCTCTGTGCAAGGGGCGGATGAGATCCTTGTCCTCGCCCTCGGCCGTGTGGTACAGCGCGGCACCTGGTCGGAGCTGCTTGCCTCCCCCAAAGGGTCGCTATTCCGCGCGCTGTACGACGGGCAAATACTCGATTAATGTCGGTTAGGGATGCTTCTCCGCTGCCGCTTTGCTTTTTCTTCTTCCTTCCACCTGGGAGAAAAACAATGATTACAACGGCAGCTGCGCACCGGCGCGCACAGATACGATGAGGCTGTGGTTGGCGACACCAAAGGGGGGGCGACGATCTCTCCCATCTCAACCCACACAGACCCCCCCCCCCTCCTCCCCTTTGTCTCTCGCTATTCAATCGGTGTCGTCCTCCACCCTCACTCTGCACTCCTTCCCCTCTTTGTCCTTTCGTCTCTCGCACCGCCGCAGTGAAGGTGCCGTTGATTTTTCCTGTCCACGGAGACTCCCGCACGGCACTCGCTGCACGCGCATCCACACACACACACACAGACACACACAGAAAGGACCGGACGCTTTCACCAACCCACGATGAAGTCCGTGCTCAAGGCGGGGCTGAAGGAGGATGTGGACGTGATGGTGCCCACGTCAGAGCTCACCATCAAGCAGATCCAAGACCGGATTCCTGCTAAGTTTTTTGAGCGGTCGACGATGCACAGCGTGTTGTACCTTGCCCGCGACACCTGTCAGCTCTTGGCCGCGTACTTTATCATGTACCGCTGGGGCGTGCCGGCTTTGGCGGGTTTGGAGGGCTCCGTCTACGGTGCCAACGGGTCCAACGTGGGGAGCTGGCTGCTGGTGGGTGCGGTGAAGCTGCTTGCGTGGAATGCGTTTTGGTTCGTACAGGGCCTGAACGGGACCGCCTTTTGGGTACTTGCCCACGAATGTGGCCACCAAGCCTTCAGCCCCTACCGAGCTGTTAACAACTCCGTCGGACTCGTGCTGCACTCAGCCCTCCTCGTCCCTTACCACAGCTGGCGCATCAGCCACGGCATACACCACAAGCACACGAATCACCTCACCAAGGATACAGTGTTTATTCCTCGAAAAGAGAACAAAGTAATCGAGCTGGTCGAGGAGACGCCGCTGGCGATGCTGTGGGGAATGCTGGTGCTGTTTCTCTTTGGCTGGCCGATGTATCTGCTGACCAACGTGGCCGGTCAAGATTATGGCCGCCGCACGAACCACTTCGAGCCGTCCTCGCCGCTCTTCCGCAAGGAGGACGCAGCGGACATCGTTCTGTCTGACGTCGGCGTTCTTGCCACGCTCTCCGTGTTGGGGTTGTGTACCTACCAGTTTGGCTTCTCCAGCGTGTACTGCTGGTACCTGGTGCCCTATCTGTGGGTGAACTTCTGGCTGCTTTACATCACCTACCTCCAGCACACCGACATTCGCATCCCACATTACACCCAGGAACACTGGACGTTTGTGCGCGGCGCCATTGCCGCCGTGGACCGCGACTACGGGTTTCTCCTCAACGACTGGCTGCACCACATCAACGACTCGCACGTCGTTCACCATCTCTTCAGTCAAATGCCCTTCTACAACGCCATCGTCGTCACCCGCGAGTACATTCGAGGCATCCTCGGCGACACGTACGTTGAGGACCACCGCCCACTTGTGGTGGCGCTGTGCGACAGCTGGAGGCACTGCCGCTACGTCATCCCGTCGGAGGGCGTGAGCGTCTTCTACGGCTGTAACAGGAAGCGCGCGTGATGGCAGAGGCGCAAGAAAAGTGTGTGCCGCGGTGCGTTGCTACCGAGACATCAACGGTGAAGGCGGGTTGAAGGGCGGGCCGTTTATAACCTTCCTGGCGGGATCTGTTCGCTTTCCCTCTCGCTACTTCGAACTCGGTTGATGTTCCACTTCAGTCCGAATGCCCTCCCCCTTTCTCCTTTCTTTCTTCTCGACTGAGCCCTTTATATTTAAACATCTGCCCCGTTTTCTTGTTTCCTGTCTTGTTGTAAGTTTTGGTGGGAAGTAGGTACGGGGATGTTTGTATATTAGTGTCTAGCTATGCTTTGTTTTCTCTCATCGTCGCTTACGGACCTATGTGGGAGGCAGGTTGAGAGCAGAGGTACGTGCTCTTCGATGGTAGCGACGGGTCTCCGTGACGTGTTGTTGCAGTCCTTGAATGCATGCTTGTGACTTCAAGGGACGCATGATGCTCATACTGGAGGACGCCTCTACGTCTTGCCGAGGTTGCGGAGTTCCTGTCAACTGCTGGTGTCATGTCTTTCTTCCCTCCTTCTTTGGCCTTTTCCCCTAGACCGTAATCCCAGGAAGCACACCGGTGTGGATGGCAGCGACGAGGGTGACGAAATGCTTTCCTCGTGCGAAAGGCGCCAAAGATGTGTCACGAGGCGCCTGCTGTAACGGAGGCTTGGAGTCCTCTTCTTCCCCCGTGGGTACCGGATGCCGCAAACTCGGATCAATTCGTTTAGCGCTATTTATTAGCATATCGCCGTTTGTTCCATCAAGGGGCAAAAGAGCGGGGTGTATGTTTACGCGCTGTAATAAAATGTAACGGAAGAACTGCTTCACGTCACATAAACTTGTCCTCTTTTTTCCTCGTTTTGTTTAGTAATCAGCAATCTATGCTTTTGGCCAAGTAGGCGCTGTCTCCCCAGAGAAGGTGACACTGAAGGCAAGAAATGGAAGAAGGCGCAATGCATGCTTGCTGCTGTGCAGTGTAGCGCGCGTGAAAACGCGGACCTTGATGCCCACGATGTGCACGCAGTGGTGCACGCTTCCGGCTTTCTTCGTCCCGAGCGAGAAAGCAGACCGTGGCGCGTTCAATGTGTGGGGTTTGCCAAGCAATACGCGTGTCGCTTGCTCACTCTTAGTTGTTGACAGCTCGGTGAGGTGGTTATCTCCCTGCCGTTTTCCTCTCATTACCCATGTGTTCTCGAAAAGGTGTACTCTTCGGGACTTGAACGCAACAGCGGCATGTGCTGTTGGCGCCCGCTACGCGTCGCGACGTACACACTCCAAAATAGCTAGAGCGACAGTCGTTGACTAATGTCTTTTTAGGTCAAGCGCTTTATGTCTTCTTCTCTCCTGTTCTTCTCCGCGTATACATATTTGACGATTCAACAAGAAGTAAACTCTAAGCACTTCTCAACTTTAACAAAAAAAGGCAGAGGGCTCACTCACGTAAAGGCAAGTCGTGTATCAGCACCGCTTTCGTTCTCCGTTCTCCTCCTCCTGAGCGCACACCCACGGCAACGATGATGACTGAAGGCCACGGAAACGACGAAAGGGATTATTCCCCGCAGGTTCCGGATGACGCGAATCCCCTTGACAACAACCCTGACAATCATGGCGCATACGATCGTGGCGGCTCCGACGAGGAGCGCGATGGACCAAAAAAAACGTGGATTGGCAGTTACATGGACGACTTCACGAAGGAAGAGCCCAGCTATGGCTACGCCCCCACCGTGTTGCCGTGGCGCATTGGGCTTTTTCTTCTGACGAGCACCATCATGCAGAACCTCAGCTACGACATCCCTGTCTACATCGGTGCGAATTCCTTTACATGGTCGGTCGCTCGTCAAAAGCAGTATTCTTCTCTTTGCTACAACATGATATACCTTGGCCCCGTCTTTGGTCTCATGATCGATCTTTTCCGTGTTTTCCGCGAGCGCTTCCGCCCTGTTATCATCATTGCATGCATCATCAACGCCGTCGTTGGTTTTGTGTGCTTTGCTGCCAAACAGGTACCCGAGCAGTATGGCAGCGCTCTCATGCTGTCGTGGATGGTTGAGGTGGTGACGATGTTCGTCTACTTGCCGATGAACGCCGTCGTGATCAACTATGGAAATCGCATGGTTGAGTCGCCTGGTGAGACCTCGGCGCGCATCGGCGGGCTGATGGCGCAAGCGATGGTGTGGCGCACTACGGGGACGCTCATCTTGGGGATTTTCACGACTTTTATCAATGAACCGATGGGAGTCCAGCACATGCCCCACCGTTATTACTGTCTAATGGCGGCTATCTTTTGCCTTCTCCTTGTTTTCCAGATCATCTTCCTCACGAAGCGCGCCTACTACACCGACTTCCGCAAGGTCAGTCTCAAGAACGCGGAACAGGTACGGTTCCTGAAGACTGTTCACAACGTGGGCAAGGATGCGCTGTCGAGCAGAGTGGAATCGCCCGGCCTCAAGCTCATGTTCGTCCTCTGTTTCAGCCTAATCTACTTTTTGATCCCTGAGCCGCTGTATAACACAAGCTGGATGATGGAGGGTCCGTACACTTCGGACTTCTCCGTTGGTCTCAATCAGGCCAACTCCGTTCTCAGCAATATCGGTTCGGTGCTCGGCGCACTGGCGTACGCGGTGTGGATGTTCCTCGCGCAGTACTTCAGTGCCGCAGAGGGCACCCTTTTCCGCGTCAACCCCTTCATCATTGTGTTGGCCGGAACCTGTGCCTGGGCCTTCGGCATCTTTTTTCACTTCATTGGTGAGATGGGCAGCTCGAACCCGCACTTTGGCTGGAAAGTCTTCATCCCGTTTGAGAAGCTCGTCACGGCGACGGCTCTCCGCTTCGCCTTCATGCCCACAATGTCGCTAGCGGCCATGCAGGCGCCGCGCTTCTTTGAGACGACTGCCTTCCAGCTCTTCAGCTGCTGCACCACCGGTGGTGGTGCTATCAGCAGTCTCTTGTCCTCCTCCATAATGTCTTCACTCAACGCCACCGGCAGTCGGGGGTACTGGAAGGTGCTTCTTATCTTCCTCCTGATGCGCTTCGTCCCGATGGTGGCCGCCGGCTCGCTGCCTAAGTTCCGCGAGGATGAGACGATTCCATGTGAGCGTGGCGACAACGAACCTTTGAACGAGATGAAGTCTGACCGTGAAACGCCGAACTCGCGGCCGGTAAACGAGGAGCAGCAGCGTCACCGCGAAGAGGAGTCTTAGTGGTCACCATGCAAAAGAACTTCTTTTGACTACTATTTGTTTTGCTTCGACTTCAAGATGCGCTGTTCACTTCACCGGCTGAGCGTCGTCTAACGTTCTTTACCGCACCGGAACCAAAAAAACTTTTTCTTGCTGTAGACAAAAAAAAACTCTAAGCCATCAAGCCACACCTACGCAAAAGGCAGTTTTTTTTTGTGTTTCTTCTCTTATTTTTATTTACTCCTCTAATTATCCTTTTGTAATATATATTTTTTCTATGGATATCTCTAGTTGAGTTTGTGTTACGTTTTTCTTCGTTTTTGTAGCAGTTGATCAGGTAAAACAGCGTTCCTAGAGAAGTACCGCATTCATTTTTTTTCCTAAGGACCGGTACTCACGAGAATTCTGTGAGTTGTCGCATCAGGGCTTGCAGCACGCGAACTGCAACTTTTCATTCTTTGCTTGGTTCTACCTGATACATACGAAACGACGGAGTCAAACCCATAGCAAATCAGCCTACTGCATCACATCAAAACAACATCGATAGTTTTCTTATTTTCTTGTTCTTTTTTTCTTCTGTATTTTTTTTTTTTGTTCTCTTGATTCGCAGACCAATAACTGATTCGTCTCTCTCTATATGTTTTTTTTTTCTCTTAATCCCGTAGGACTGTCACTAAACCTTCAAACTTCTGATAGGCCGATTGCTCCAAAGTTACGTTCACAACTCTACTTGGTTGATGCATGTGACATTTTTGTGAACGTTTCAGCACGTTATAGAAGAGTGACAAAGGAAAAAAAAAGAAAGTTCACGAAGAACATTCCTAAGTTTAAGAAAACAACCTTGAAAGTCAAAACTTGACTGTAGATTGGCGATTGTTGAAACGTAATGATGCGAGATGCCCCTATGGGTACTCGAAGCTCTGCGTAACGCAGTCCTTTTTTTCTCTCCTTTGTGGGTTTAACAATAAGTCATGTTTTGTGCTCTTTCAATGGTTTAATTTGAAAATATTATTTTCTTGACAGCGTCCGTATACCAACCCTTTTTTTCTCTGGAAAAAGAAATTTAACTACAAGAGTTCCGCAATAGGCACGTCCTTAGGTGTTTGTTTTTAAAGGATGGCGTTTTTGTGTTGCTCTCACGCCAACGTGAAGCCGGCACAATCTTTCAACTGAACTGCACGGTTGAATGCGTCGAAGAAGTGAAAAAGTCGACTCGCTACGATGACAAGTTGAGCTCTTTTTCTCGATGGTTGCGAACATACCGTATCGACGTATGTTTGGGCGCAAACGAGCCCAACCCTTTGGTGATGACCACACACACCAAATAGGTGGTTCGAAGTGCTCTCTTTTTCACTTCTGCTGAAACGGCACTTTCGATACTCCTCTCCTTTCTCCGGTACATTCTGTGTTCTTCGGCGTTCTATTTCTGATGTTGACAGTGGACTGTTGCACAAAGAAGAACAAGAAAAGATTGTCGGGGCCCGTGATTCAACTCGTCGTTTCAACATAATTTTAAAAGGGAATCGAAGTTGTTCAAAACATGGTTTCGGCCACGAGCACGCCGATAACACAGAAATCAGCGCTAGGCAAAAGAGCTGAAGTACTCCTTATTCTCTTTAGCCCACTATACACTGGTCATTCAATTCCGCAGCGCAGTGGTAAAATGCTGAAACGCAACTTCTCGCTCTCATCTCGGCGCACAACTTTTTCTGGTGTTGTGTTTTTGTTCTTTTAAAAGAAAAAAGGCGTACGATCCTACACCTCCACAACTGTCGTTCATCAACGATGCATCGGAACTGCGAAGCACTCAAGCCCCCACTTCTGCGACGGCCTAACGCTGACAATTTCTCGGTGGTGCGTCGGCGTTGTGAGTGCTAACGGGGCGTTCGACCACGGCGCACTGGCGTCAGTTTTTGACCCATGAAACGAGGCCGCTGCGGTTGTGCTGGGGTGTCTGTGCGGCTCGACGCTGGAGTGAACCCCCCAGCAGTGCATCCGCGCAGCACATCACCCACAGCCAACAGCCGGCCAAGATGGTCCACTGCGCAGCCATTGAAGCACCACCGCTCCTCTTTCGCCTTTGTCCCTCACGGTGTGCTTCCGTTAGCTGTTCCTTCAACCCGAACGTGAATTCTATGTTGACCAGATGGATTCCTTTTGTACCAACGCAGAGGCACTGAACTGGAGCCGCTCTTATTATGTTTCACAGTGGCTTCTCTTGGCATATGGCGCAGATCGACTATGCGTTTGCTTGCCTTCTCGAAGGCGATATCTCCTCTTCGTTTTTGACGACGTTGAATAGGCAAGCTTACCAGGCCGATGGGTGAACTGCCTCCATACAGGGTAGTGCGGTTTGGTTGTGAGAGGGTATCGAGGTCTTGTTCCTTGCGCACCCGGCCATGTTCGACCTAGTTTTCATTTTTCTCCATTGCGCTCGACTCAGACTGTCCTTTTCCCGCACCCCAAAGGCTTTGTGCTTCACGCTTCCTTAAAAACGGAAACACCCACACAAAACCTTTGTAGTTTCCTATCAGCAGTCAGCGCTGTAGGAGCGAAGACCGCTGTGTTACTCTTTGTGCAGGCTTTACTTGTTGCCTCGATCTCCCGCTAAACCACGAAAGCAGCTGCAACGATATGCTGTGGGGACGCTACGTGCGCCGCTACGCACGCATGCGAAGTCTTGCAAACTGTCACACGCATCTCACAGCTCTATCAGCAAAGCAAGCGTTAAACCGCAACCACCAAGAAGCGCCTCATTGATGTGGACTGCGGCAGCAAGTTGAAAGAATGAACGACGCTGAAAGCAGAGGAGAGAAAATGTTATCAGGGAGGAGAGTTATTTTAGACCTCCGTTCGTTAAAAAGAAAAAAGGTAGATGTGCAGTGAAATGGGACACAACTAATCTAGAGAACACGACAACCGTCAGGGACATGCGAGACAAGAAAATGTGCACAAGCAGTTGACACGTGGCTGCATCTGTCAAGTGGGTGGCAGCTTCTACCTTGCGATGACGAGCATTGCACTATTGAGGTCTCTCGCCAACAAAGAAACAGATGTAAAGGAAGCGGTGCGGAAGTCTTTCCTGTTTCCGAGCGTGGGCCTCGGCAGTGTGCCAGAAAAAGAATGAGCGTTACGCCGCACTGCCGTTGAGGCGATAAGAAAGGGAATGAACATGGTCGCTCACATGGAGAATGAGCCAGCGGGATAAATACCAAGAGACGATGCTGCTGATGAAAGGAAACAGGCTTCGCCATCTGTACGGTACAGCAGAGGAGGTGTTTTGTATTGGCAGAGGCAGCGAAGTAAACTGAATTTGTTCTGTGTAAGTGATGCCGATCGTGTGCAGCACAGCGTGTGATTCTCTAGTGTCTTTCCAGCAGTAACAGGTGTTCTGGCTAAAGAGCCTTCCCATCTGTGTGTGTGTGTCGCTCCAATCCTTGTAGCGGTGGGAGACAAATACCGGTTCTCATTTCATCACAAGAAAGACGGCCACCATTGTCCTCTTGGCTCCGCGAGCTATGGGCGCCATATTAATGACCGCCAACAGCAGCAGCTTGCACAGCAGGGCGTCACTGTTGCGCCCGTCCCAGGCAGCCACTTCATATGCTCTCTCTGCTGTGGCGCCGTGCCGCTGCTTACTCTTCCCACGCAGCACAGCAAAGTTTGTTTCTTTGAACCATATGAAGAGGCTGCGCTGTTGACTGCGGAAGTCTCTTACCGTTGCTTCGCACAAGTGCCAGAGATGCTGTCTTTGCTCGCAGGAGCGGCCCAGACGTTCCGCCCCACCCGCAGGCCGCCCGCAGACCCATTCCACTTTTGCTCACGCCATTCGCGATGCACACGTCGTCGCTGTTTACTTTTTCTCCTCGCAACACCTGACTTGGCTGCGGCGAATTTGTGTTCGTCGTAACGGCAAAAAAGATGAAAGCGCTGTGACAATCTCCGGCTGGACTGCCACCTTCGGCTTTGAGTACCGGGCTAACGCATGCGCGTTTGGTGATCAGCGCTGCCTCACCGTTCTTCTCGCGTCAATTTAAAGCCGACAGCAATCCTTGCCATCTTTTAGATCCGCTTTGCAAAACACAAGGACTGAATGGCTGAAAGAAGAGCGGCCTGTTGTAATGCTGCTGGTTCTCCTCCAGGTAGCAAGAGAGCGCCAAAAAGACAGATTTTTCCGAAACCTAATAGAAGAAAAGGCAAGCAAATAGCTGAAGTGAGGTACTTGGCAGAGGCTGATGGAGACGACGATAATTGACGGCAGGCATTTGTGCTGAAAGCAGAGGCAAGCCGAAGAAGGAGATGTATGAGGTCGAACAAGAGGAGCACGACTAAATATAGCTGTTGAAGGAAAGAAGATGTGACTGAAAACGGAGTAGAGAGTGAGAGTGATTTAATGATAAGGTGCGAAAGCGACAGAAACAAAAGCTGACACGCGGTGGTGTTCCTAGCTGCCGAGAACGCCAAGTCACTCCCGCAGAGCAGATACATCATCAAAGCGTCCTCTATCCTCCATTCTTCGTCGTGAGGCATTGCGTCGCCGGCATGCGGTCACCACCACCCGAAAGCAACCACAGGGTGCCTGCGGTGGTGCTGACCACGCACGGCTCGGCACCATCGCCGGTGGTGGAGAAGCAGCTGTGCTCTGCTTTTATACGCGTGTGGCCGGGACTGCGTCTCGTGAAGGCACACCGTCCACACCAAGAGCGCGACAGCAGCGATTGCAGTCCCTAAACGACGATATCCTTTACCGGGTACGTTATGAACGTTCTTATGGTCGACTGCCGCAACTAGACCGTGAGTCTGCGCCGCCTGCTGTCAATCGCAAAGCAGTACAAACCGCCGTAGCACTATTCCTTCGAGAGGTTGCGCCGGATGCTGATGAGCCGCCGCATCCCGGGCAAGAGCCCCTTTTCTTGGGGGGTTGCGCAGGTGCCGTGGGTGCGGCGCGGTCGCTTTGGCCGTCTGTGATGTACCCCCCCCCCCTTCCCATCCAAGGAG